AATGGGAGACGGGAAGGATAATGGCTTCGTCGGGACGACGAGCCTTAGGAGGGGGGTAATGTGATGAGAAGAGAAGGACAATTTATTTTCGCATTTTTCATTTCTAAATATGGACTTATCATTTTCCTTTTCCCACCTTTCCTTTTCCAAAGTCACGTGACCTTCAGTGGCAGCAGTACAGCATCATTGACACTGCCTTGCACTGCCCTGCACAGCCACCGGAGTTTTATTCCGCTTACTCATAAACAATGACTCGTTATTCCTTCTAACTCCTTGATTCATAATCCTGACCCACCTAAGTGGGTCGGTCTTACTCATCCTTGTGCCCTGCATGTGATTCTCTTGTACTATTCTTGGACCATGGATTTGTGTATATAAGACCCCTGTAGCTCGCCCTAAGTCCCCATCTCGACCTCTTGTGTCTTGGGGACTTAGGTGAGTAACCGTCTCTGTATTAGATACTATGCTAACTTGTGTCTTGGGGACTTAGTGTGTGACCTTGAGTCCATTAGGTGTCCATTGCGTCGCTGTCGACCTCGTGTCCAGTGACCTTGAGTCGAGCTCAGCTCCTCTTTCTTCGCGTGTACTCTTGCCTATAGTAAGTGCCGACGACGCTGCCTTTCCTACCGACTCTACCCGATTACTTGGACATTCCGGCTGTCTAAGTAGTTGGTAACCCCAACGGGCGTTCCTCTGCACGTCGCTCGTCACACTCAGCTTCCTTATCCCACAAACAATGTCCACGCCGGCCGAAATTCCCACCACCCTCATTTTTGCGGAAACTATCGACCTAGGATACCGCATCATGCGGTTTCTCGATAGTCTCATACCCCACCACGTACCACACCGCTCGTCTATCATCAAACTCTACAACTCAATGTGGGACCGTCCGTATCGCGAGCGATTCATGGAGGACATCCAGTTCGGGGATACACTGCGAGTTGGTGTTTGCACGGATACATGTGCTTACGGATTCGATGCGCCGAACATCGCACGCGTGGTTGTCGCAGGGATCCCTACGTTCGAGAAGGGCCGCCCGCCGTCTTTTGCAGCAATGATGCAGAAAATCGGACGCGCAGTCCGCAATGGCGCAGACGGAGTTGCATATACATTTGCTCCGCCTTGGGCTCGTATCGTCCCGGAATCCGAAATCAAGACCATCCAGCAGAAGGAGGATGCAGTTCGCCGCTCTAAACTCGATCCGGTCATGCTTGGATGGTTCAATCCGACGTCCAGCCGCTGCCCTCGCCAAACCAACCTTACTGCAAACGACGAAGCCTACTCTCCTCGCAACAGGTGCTGTAGTATCCATGACCAGGAGCCTGAGCTCTCGTTCGACACGGCGAGTGTCTTGAAGTGGAAAGCGCGCATGGAGGCAGCGATTACGGCTCCCTTGCATGTCATACCACGTTCCGACGGGACCTACAAGCCACTCGAGGCTCATATGAAGCTCTCCTTGACGCAAATGCTCATCGAGTGGCGTATCCGGAGGTGGCGACAGATTCGCGGGACACAGACAGGTATACCATCCTTATGGTTGTTGCCCACGTTTCTCGTGCAACGGTTGGTAGAAAAGGCACATATCTGCACAACGTACGAGCGATTCGAAACTGTGGTAGAAGGATGGACATACCTCATGGAGCAAGGAAAGCCTTTATTCGCGTTTGTCACAGCCGCTCTCGTTGGATTTGGTGCCGTCTTGGATGATCGCCTTGTTGTGGAGTCAGGGTCTACGGAGGTTATCAAACAGGACCCCATGGTGGAACCTCGACTCCGTGTCCGCTTGCTAATCCCGAGTAACGGCAGACGAGTTGATGATTCGTCACACCATCTCGTCAAACCTCCGAAGCGTGCACGCCAGCAGAAGGAGAATAGGAACATTGTTCAGTAGATAACCTCTGTAGTAATTATTACACAGTGGTACACTACAGATCATCAAACATGTCGAGGTTAGCTTCCCCATCTATCACATAGAGTGCAGTAGGAGGTGCAACTTGCACTCCACTGTCGCTGTCCGCATTGGGGTCTTCTTCTGCATCCACGATACATTGACCATTCATTGTCCGTGTTAAAAATGTCTGCAAATGACCACTCTGAAGCTTCTCGATGCCTTCTGCAAACTCATCAGGTGCTGTATATGCTTGGGTTCGACCAGGTTGAAATTTGAGAACATGTTCGAGACGGTAAATCTGGCCGAGGCGATTAATATCTGCACTTGCTGAGATATCGGCATGTCTCCCGCTGTTTTTCTTCAGTCCAAACCATTGGCGGAATCGAACTCGAAGCTCCTGGAATCCGCTGAGATTGATGCTGACCTTCTGTGCAAGGAATACACTGTCGAAGCTTTGGCTTTTTGAATTGAAGAGTCGCTTGAGCAGATAATTAATATGCTCTTGAAGCAAGTCAAGTTCAATCCAGTGACCAGCCTGCCCACTTGTGTTGACAAGCCAGTTATTCTTCAGGGCTGTGAGAAGATCTGGAGGAAATTCACGCAGGAAATTGCATGCAAGTTCGAGGAGTTCATTGCCGTAGTTGGTTGATCCTGCGCCCCAAAATGAGAAGCGTAACAACTGTTGTTGTTCTCATGAGCTCATGTATCACATGAAGGCTAGCACTGAAGACAAACCTTAGTGATTTCCAAAGCCCTCCCAATGTCCCCTTCAGCAATGCTATTGCACAGCTCCAAGTACCAGAATGAGATGCGCATGAAAAGAGTGTAGTTTGCCAAGCATCGGTCACCACACCAAGTGTGCTCGGGCTCAGAAAGTGCAGCTGCAGCTGCACCACGTCGGCGGCGAGATTGAGCTGCAGACTGAGAGATAGAGTGGTCAGGGTAAGCCTCGCCCGCTGAGTCCTTGAGATCCGCTTGTGGTGATTTGGCAGAGAAAGCCCAAGAATCCTCATGACTTGCCGTAGTGAGATAGCAGGAGTAAACCTTCCCGGCTAAGCCTAAGATGTCGTCATAGGAATAGTCATGAAGTTCACCATCTGGTCCAAAGTAGGAGTCGACGACACCAAGTAAATGTTGATTCGATGGTCTGGAGGCGCCAGTCATGTCCTCACATGAAATCCTACAAAAGTATAAGCATTGTGAAAGAGATAAAACCAGATGAACAATTTACCGGAGTGCTTCAATACACGTTGCTTCAAATATATCCTCGACAATGTGGTGTCCGTCGTAAAAGTCACATTTGTCTGGGTTGAATTTGCCCCGTCCAATGTGTGCAGCATCCCGATGAAGGCCGAATGTGCCCTTTTCCTGTCCATCCTTCCACCAGTGGAGCTTGAAGATGCATTTGAGTAATGCCCATTTGAGGTGGAAAAGCTGAATAACAGGCAAGATGTACTCGCCCCGCTCCACCGGGTCACCACCTTTTTCGCTGTAGATCTTGAATTTGCGTAGTCGATCTACGGTGAGCTGATCACCGCATATGAGCACATAGCTGGTGTATATCCAAGACGCAACAATCTGCAGCTGCTGGAAAATAACATTCCGCAGGATACTGCCGGTACCTGTGGTAGTTGCCTCGTTGATCCCCGTAGTGCGTAGTGTCTGATACTCTGTTTTGCGCAGTGGGAGACGGTGTACAGCATATGTCTCCTTGAAGTTCCTTTCGACCTCCGCACGATGCTTTGATAGTGATGGGACATGCTTAACCCAAACTCGGAGGACAGTTGCTTTCCCCACATTTTCAATATGCGACCAGTTGATGTCGAAGAGGAGGTCGGAGACAGTGATGTTGCCGCGTTTCCCTGCCTTCATTGCCGCAATGACGGGTGCAGTATCAAGAGCACCCTCAGGTACGTCTACAAGCCGAACAAGTGTTGTTGCAGTGCCATTCTCAATGTCATTCTGACGGCCGAGGACCTGACGCCAAGCTTGATGCGCCTTGTTCACATTGTCGTAGAGGATGAGACATGTGAGGTGGCCTGTAGACGACGCAGATTTTCCCCAGCTTGTGATTTTTGCAGCCGAATCCAAAGCGAGCAGTCCAAGCTTAGAATGAACTGTGCTATAGCCAATTGAAAGGCCAACTTGACTAAGGAAGGCATATACGTCGCGGTGGGCATTGCATGAGAACAGTATGAGTCCAGTAATCGTGGCAAATACATTTGCACAGCGGGTACGGAAGAACATGCATATCAACATGATAACCGTGATTCCCTAACAGATTGGTTAGCATGCAACATGAACATGCCAACAGGTAGACATACCATGAACACATTACGATCTGCTCTTCGCGCGTGCTCGGCATCTTCCGCTTCCGCTTCCACTTCCATATCCTCCTCGACATGTTGGTCTTCTTCAGCCTCCATCTCCTCGTCACGCACGACATCCGCAGAGAGCCTCCTACGAGCTCGCCGACTAATGCCGGCGGTGGTAAGAATCGAAAAGACTGTCGGCGCAAGTGTTGCAAGCTTCTCTTCCATGGCCGGTAAGTCAAAGGCTAGTAGGTCGTCCCATGTGAGCTTCGTGGCCTTTGCGGAGGTGAATCCGTGCTCCGGACGGAGCAGCGTCTCCATCTCACGATCGACGGTAGCCAGTACCTCGGTGATAGCCCATTGGAGCAGGCTGTTTCGAGTCGACAATATCCCCTTGCGCGATGAATTGCTACCAGGGGTGAGGCTGCGCTGCGACGGTGGTTTGGCGTAAGTCGGAAGAAATGACCAGGAAGGGGGCTGCGCCTTCCCGTTGTCGTAAACCTGTGACTTCGGATGATCAAATATGGCCTTGACGATCGCCGCAGGCCGCAATTGCGGGTCCGGAATGTGTTCGCGACATCTCAGGAACGAGGCGACACCTTGGAACACTGCCTGGTGTTTGGAGTGATGTTCGGCGAAGAGAGCGTTGAGGAGGGCACCAATACTACGAAACCCCGCACGATCTATAGCACGGAGGACAACAAGCAACCGGTCCTCCACGCTGACAAGCTGATGCCAGTTTCGTGCCTGACGGCCGTTGATTCCGTCTGGGAGTGCGATATCATCAAAGATACCTCGAGAGAACATCGCTTCGACGCCGCTTATAGCGATTTGGGATGCAGGAGGATGATGAGAAGTCGGAATCGGGTGCGTGAAGCTCGTCGGTGTCCTGCGAGCGTACGATGTACGAGATAGGTCGGCGTAGCTGAATGAGCCGGACGAGCGCCTTGCATCAGGCGTACCGGGTGGTGTTTCCGTCCCATGGCGCACCTCCGTGTAGCTGAGACTTCGAACTGGCGCGGTAGGGACAGGGGATGCGGGAGGATAGGGGTGTGCAGCAATGACCCGGTGGAAAATTGGCGTAACCGGCGCAAAATGTGCATGGAGACTTGCGGCGGGCATGCTGTTGTCGAAGGCAGCTTGAGATGCCATGGCTCCGACGCCGCTTGTAGGCATCTGCGAGGTGGGAGGGTGCGGAGAAGTCGAAATCGGGCGCGTGAAGCTCATCGGCGTCCCACGAGCGTCCGGCGTATGAGATAGGTCGGCGTAGCTGAGTGAACCAGACGAGCGACTTGTATGAGGCGCACTAGGTGGCCTTTCTGTACCGTGGGGCATCCCCGTATTGCTGAAACTTCGAGCTGGTGTGGTAGGGACAGGAGATGCGGAAGGATAGGGGTATGGGACATAGACCTGGTAGAGATTTGGCGTATCCAGCACAGATTGGCTGTCTATCCTCGGGAATGGTTCCGAGTTCTTGTGGGAGTCGATATACTTGGGTTTATGGAGCGGATCCATCGCGATCTAAAGGTACTGAGGTCAGTTTGGTCACGGCCTGAAATGTGCGAGCAACTCACTGTCACGGTACTCTACGTTATGTTTTGATATATATAACAATAGCTATACTCCTATAGTATATTTGGGCGGCCTCTGGACGCGATTATCGGGTGTGTAGACTGGCGGAAAGGGCGTCAAGCCATGCGTGCTCGCAGCGAGTGCAAGACGAAGAGAAGTGAAGCGTATCGCGGAGTTTCTGCCACGTGTAGCGGGTTCCCACGACCCATCTCTCACTGGGACCGCGCGTTCTGTACCAGCCTCTAACCCCAAGAACGATTGTCTTCTTGATTGGGTTAGAGGCGGGTTCACGAGCCTACGTGGGAGCCACAAGTTCGAGTTGTCGCGCACAAACCTCCGAGCTATGTACTACACCCCTTCGCTATGCTAGTTACTCCGACAGTGAACTCTTTCGGAATCGACTATGTAGGTACACTATCACAACACTTCAGGATCAAATTCTAGTCAGCGTACGGCGGTCACGTCCATCCTGGACCCACATCGATAGCACTCTGTCGTGCATCATCTCATTTCACGATACGTGTTGGACAGCATCGGCCCTCAGCGCTCAGCCTCTTCAGTTGCCCATCTTACCACATGCGGAGGCTTGAGATGCTGTAGCAGGTGGTGCTATCTTGCGGCATAATCTGTATGCTTGGTGTTCGACTATGCGCTACGCTGGCTTGGTATGGAAGTTGACTCGTTATGCGGCTTCACAGCATGCTGCGACCGCTTATTCCAGACGGTCTACCGAATCTCATGATGACAAAAACGGCCTATACTGTGATTATGCCGAAGTGATGTCCATGCAGTCAGGCTGTCCTGCTATACCGGTGCCAGAACATCATCGGGTGCTGTATTCTGTGGGTCGTCATATGGACCTGTAAGGAGACGGTTGGAGAACTCTCCTGTCCCTTTCAATACGGCTCTGCTACTCGTCGGCAGGGGTACCGTCAAGTTCCTTGGAGGCAAATAAGTCAGGCGGATGAAAAGTATAAAGAGCGGGTTTGGTGCTTCATGTTACCAGCAAACTCAGGCTTCTCACCTTGCAACGTTCCCTGAACCTCACACCCTCTACTTACATCCAATTATAGCTGGCATGAGCAACAACCCCGTTCTCCTTCAGCCGCACTCGCTGTATATCTGCCTCACTCAGCTTATCTTCGGCTACCACTGGTCTCTGGATATCACAAATGCCTACGGAATCGCCACGAGATACAACTGGAGGGAAGCCCACGAACGTGGCAACGCCCTCGCTCTGCCAGCCGAGCGGTTCAGTTATTCCGTTGTCACCCCGTCATGGAGATGACCCCGTCCAACCACCTTCATCTGGTTTTCATCCGAATCAATAGCTATATTCCACAGAGTCTCGCTTTCCCAATTGTCCCGCTTTTCCAGTCGATTTTCTTCACGACCTTCCCTACTGTGATGGTCAACCGGAGGAATCGCACCAGCTGCAGGACGTGGCTGATGCACGCTTTGGAATTGCTTCGGCAATGCGGATGCATTTCTCTCTCAGAGCGGCAAGTGCAAGCAATTGAACAGGCTGCCATTCAAGTCGCAGAGCAGGTGGTAGAGCTCAATGCGCAGCTGCAACGGAGTGGCCAGTGGCGCTCGATCCGTACCCATGTGACGGAGATCAACTGGCAAATGCAGATGTGATCGTACCGGTAAGGACTTCCCTGCATACCTTGATTATTCATGTGGATGATCAAGAAGTTCTATTTTCCAGGAAGGTGCATGACTGAATCGTGTTTGACTACGAATATGTGTCTTATGCGATAAATGCTGTACTTCTGAATCTCTCGTGTAATTTACTGCACGTCTAGTGAATACTACGTCTATTATACAACAGTTTCATTCTGATGTCGGCCCCGATGAATGCTCGAATGTACAGAATCGCAATCTTCCCTCACGATTGCGAAGGGGTACTATCCGAACAATGTCCTGCCCGTTGGTGTGACTATGGGGGGCGATATCCTTTCGCACGCGCCAAATTGAAGTCGTAGAGTGACATGTGTCGTCCAATATTGTCCCAACTTCGTGCTTTCCTTCTCGACAGTACCTCACGCCTCGACTGTGCAGACGTTAGATCAGCCGTTGGGATTGCCTTCGAGTAACTCTTGAATAGTTTCGAACATCTCAAGTTTAGCGATGGTTTTTCCCAATTTGTCTCTGTTTGCACGAAGGGTACCTTTTAGATTCACAGATCCCCACTTCTGCCCACTAAAGCTTACGCGTTGAGTACGACGCTCTGAAGCCTTCCGAAGTCTACGTAGATCGGATTAGCTCAGGGTTTCCTCGTGTACTGAGGTAGACGCTGACCTGGTGTGCCGAGCCCCGTAACCTATGTGAGCATAGTTTGCTATCAGCATGCGGCACCAACGTATTGTTCCTTCTATGTGACTCACCGGGTCCCATCCAGCGCGAGCTGTGAATCCATTAGTCGAACAGCCGGGGTTGGAGCCGCTTGTGATATCCGTCAAGCCGGTAGTTGCACTGTACAAAAGCGGGTTCAGGAAGCCCAGGGAGGATTTCCCGTTCGAAAGCCGGAAATCGTTGAGCAGAGCAACGATCCCAGCGAATGTCTGAGCGTCTTGAATGAGCATGGTCTAGGTGTGATAGATCGAACTTACAGGGGCGCTAGCACTGGTTCCGGCTACAGAGGTGACCCGTCCACCAATCACGACCTGGAAGCCTTCAGATTGGGCAGCAACATCGGGGTAGGCGCCTTGAACGAGGCGTCAGAATGCATGATCTCAGCATTTGGGTCCGAAGCGACATACGTCCACTGGCGTTGAAAAGGCCCTCATTGGTGCTACCAAGTGCTGTCAAGAAAGTCTGCACCTTGGCCGTCTGGTAACTGGGCTGGGCAAAATAGTTGGAGAAGCCTCCACCGGAGAAGGACACGGCAACCTCCGGGTTGATCTTGATGGTGCCACCGACTGCGGTCACGAAGGGACCTATAACGACGTAAGATACTTCCTCAGGGCCAGTTCAAGGCACGTACACGACGCGGGGAACTCTGGCTGGAAACGCACAACATTGGTACCGTCGTTTGTTCGGCAGCTGCCACCGCCAACACCCCTTACAGGATAAGGCGCGTCAGTATACCTGCATGACAATACAAATAGCGGGAGCACTCACTCGTCACCGCTGCTGAACAGGAAGCTAGTCCCTCTGGCGCCAAATTGTGCGAAGAGGTTGCAGACCGAAGTGGCATAATCCTTAGGGACGGTCTGCTCGTCGTCACCGTATGAGGTGCTGATGGTCTGCGGGATTGAGCTTTGGGTGCCAAGGAAGTCCAAAAAGTCGAGGTATGGTTCATTGCTGTTGGTGGTCGTCTTCGAGAATTTGAGTGCCATTCATCGAACGAAGGAGGCTGCACTCACGAAGCTGTCAGGAGTAAACGGAGGGCTGCCTCCAGTGCTGAAGTAGACATTGGGTGTCGGTGCCGTGATCCTACGGGGTGCTAAAGTCAGTAAGGCTTCGATGTGAACTATGCTCCTGAGAACATACCCTTCCGTGTATTGGATATCAAGGCTTGTTACAAACGTGAGCTCATAATCTGCTGGTAAACAGGGGGTCTACATACTTGGCCTCGGTTCCCGGCTCGTTCTGATTGTTACCGCCACCGTTAACTAGCACCGTCTCGAATGTCTGTCCAACGGCATCGGTCCGGAAACGGTTGAAGAAAGTCTGCAAGTCCGCGTTGTTCGCGAACTCTTCCAGATATCCCGCGACGCCGATAACGTTCGTTGCAGTAGCTTTGGGCACATACGTAGAGGAGTTGTAGAGCGCCCGGAGACAAGTTGGAGTGATAGTCGTAGCGCAAGACGCAGGAACAGTGGCGAGGTTTCCGGGGCTCACAAGAGCCTGAAGCTCGTGGTCGTTCTCGATAGGCTTCACTGGAGAGACGTGGTTGGTCGCTCGCATGGCGCGCATGGTACCGAAGTAACTGTGTGCAGGCAATCAAACGTTATGTACGAGGTCAGAAGGTGGCAGCTCACGTCGTTGGGGCAACGGTTTCGATATGGCCTTCGAGGACGCTAGGGAGGCTATAGCTCATGGCGCGAACAATTTGCTCTCCGGTCGTCTCATGAGTGTAGACATTGTACTTGGTGCCTGCCGGCGACTTCGTCAGGATCAGTGCCGACGAGAGGGGGACTATAACATACTAAGCATTTGTTCTGCCTGCTCGACGGATACAGAAACTTTAATCCAATCTCCAGCATCGGAGCGGTGGCAGTCCGACGACTGTATGCCATGATGCGCGAGCCATGCTTCGACCAAGTCGGCGGTATCAGGGTGAGGAGCGATCAGAGCGTCGACCTCCTCCTTGGACAAGTGGTTCCCATAGCGCTCGTGTGTAGGCTCCGAAACCTCGTAGAGGTGCCTCACGAGCTCATCAAAGCCGTCCTGCTTCAGGGCTAGGCGCATGACGAACTGTGCGCGTACGTCTGTCAATTTAGCCCCCTTGGACACAGGTTATTCGTACCTTGTGCTCCGCCGGAGCTGGTCCCTCGAGCGTCCACCCGCGAGGTACTTCCACCCATTCGTGCTTGATCGAGAGTTCATCCCATCGCTTGGAACCAAGCGGCTTTCCTTGAGCAACCTGAGCAAGACCGTACACGACGACGGTAACGAGCGAAGACCAGAGCATGTCGGGCTGGTAGCGGTTCTGCTTGGGCCGGAGTGCTCAGACTGAAACCTCAGGCAGCAACTGGTCGCAGACCGGCACTCATATAGGAATGAGACCACAGTCCGACGGAAGGTCAGGTCGATCTCAGGAGGCGAGATGCGCAGCGTGGGTCGTGAGCGTTTCGTCGCTATTGTTGCATGGCAGGAAGGCTCAGGGAGGCTTCTGCGAGAAGATAAAGTCCGAGACGGCGAGTGACCGCGTGCTGCGCCATGGGCTGGCTCACCATCGAAGCCGGTGCAACATGGACTCTGCCAACGACGGAATATCTTTCCTCAACTCCATGGCGGACTGAGGGAACACATAAGCAGCATATCGATATATAGAGTAAGGTCAGGCCAAGCTCTACGACGGCGGTGATACTCCACTCGGCAGGTTACAGATATCGGTTCAACCAGACTCCTTCAGCTCCGATGCTCGTTCTTATTTCGCCGACTGTGAGCAACACGCGGACTGACGAAGACCAAGAGAGTAGTTTATGGCGAGAGCTATTGCGACAGTAACCAAACTATGCCTAACGCAGTCTCTAGTTCTTCCATCTGGACAAATACAATCAGCGTCTATAGTCACCGGAGCGAAAAGCAGCGCAGAGGAAGTAGTAGCGTACATCTTCACTTTCCGGTCGCGGCCACCGCTCACGACCTTATCAGCTACGAAGTCCACGCAGTACACTTCGTCCGTGTGACCGGGAAGGTCCGTTTTTAACTTGTATGTCTTCAAATCCCAGATCTGTGGATCAGCAGGATCAACGTCGTGCCCAGCGACGAACAGATCAACATCGTGCCCAGTGACGAACAGAGCACGCGATATTTCGCGATCTCGGACGCACCTTGAGTGTGCTGTCCTTGCTCGCGCTAACGAGCAGTCTCGAGTCGGCGCTCCAGGCTAGGCGGTAAACTGCACCGACATGACCTCGCAACGTGGCTACAAACTTGCCCGTCCGTCCCTCCCAAATCCGCACGCTATTATCAAACGCAGCGGAGGCCGCGAAGCGTCCGTCTGGGGAAAAGGCGACGTGCGACAGCTGTTTTTGATGTCCGGTCAGACGCGCAACAGGCTTTGGTTTCCCCGCATCGCCCGAGGCGGGGAACAAGGACCACAAATAGAGCGTCTGATCGTCCGAGCCGGAGATGAGAAGTTCGGGTACGGAGGTGGCGAGCGCGTCATATCGTGCTTTGGAGAGGGATTGCGCTGGTAGGAAAACTGTGAGAAAGCGTCGTATTGGCACGGCATGAATTCGCTACCTTCTTGATCTGACTTCGGTTTCTTGCCCGTGTGGTCGTAAGGTCCAGTTCGAAGAACGAAATCGGTGTTGAGGGCCAATGTGGTCACCCAGTGCGCATGATCTTTCAGGGTATAGATCGGCTTTCCCTGCGTTTGATCAGATGAGCGATGGCAGCATGCGGCGCAATAGGGATACGAACACCATTGGCATCCCACACGCGGACAGTGCGATCGCTAGAGGCGGTATAAAGAACACCTTTACCTCCTACGCCGCCTCCACCCCATCGCACAACGTTTACACTGGCTGAATGCCCTCCAAGCGTGTATTCAAGCTGTCGCGTTGTCGATGCTAACCATACGCGGACCGAGCCATCCTTAGAGGAGGAAGCCAGGCGAGGTGCTGCGGCATTGCTATCAACGACATGAGGAAGATGGGATCGACAGCGCATGCAGCTTGACGTACATATGTATCGGTTCCCATGCAATGGATGTGACCCATTTCGTGTGGCCCCTCATGGCGTCACCTATCGGCTTGCCGCTCTTGGGATCCCATAGTCGTACCTGGCAGACATCATGCGTTAGGTACATGACATACCGAATCAAGCCTTAAGGACGTACATGGCCATCATGTCCGCCGGTCGCAAGCTTCCTCTCCATGCCGTCCCATTCAACGCATAGCACCCAGCCCTTGTGCCCTGACAGTACATGGCTAGGTGTTTCCGTGAACAAGTCCCACAGTCGTGCATTACAGTCGCCGGATCCGGTCGCAAGCAAATTACCAGTTGGCGAGAAAGATGCGCAGAGTATAGGCGAGGAGTGTCCGCTCAGAGTCGAAGAGCACCGCGTTGCGGGCCGCACCTTGAATACGGCTTGTGGGGAGCATTGTATCACGAATATATCTTCAGGCGAGAAGTCATGGGTAGGATGTGATAGTACATCTTTTTCAATAGAGTTGGAGATGACGATCCGGGTAGGGGCGCCATTGTTGGATGTGTCCCCGGGTACAGCTATAGAAAACGAGAACGGCACCGGATCATCGTCCTGGCGAAAGTCATTAGACAGCCTACAAGCGAGGAAATGATTCGTGCACACCGTTGTACTTAGTTTGTTCACCAGAGATTCCAAGGCATCCCGTGGAATGTTGGCAGGCAAATTCACGGCAGGAGCTAAAGGCTTGCCATCATCTTCGGAGACGAATTGCACAACGACATTTGGTGCAGGCTGAACGGGTTCTGGTTCTGGTTCTGGTACGCCGTGGTACACCTTCTGCCGCTTGGGTGGGGGAAGGAGAGTCGCCATACCGTTCGAGGAGGGAGCAGCCTGCAAGCTGCAAGCTTTCTAAAATTCGGGAGGAAAGGGTGGCTGTGTTGCTAATACTCAATGCGTACACACGTGGTGTCACCTCGTAGGCGTAGCGGCCTCGGCCTCCTCCGAGTCGTTCATTCCAGTCCCACTAGCAGTGCATAGTGGACAACGACAAGGACGCTATGTCCACTCTAACTTATACAAGCTCGAGCGAACTTGTTCCACGATTGTTCTTTGGTATGCCTTACGTGCGACATTGTAATGGCGTTGCACAAGCCACAGATGCGCAGGTCACCTGTAGAGTCCCTACGATGATCTCGAAGTACTAGCCTTCCGTCGTGGCCGTATGATCCGGACACGGCGCTGGAAACAAATTACTCCCGCTGGCACATATCCCATTGGACTGGTCTGCATTGGGGCATTGGCGGTCCACGGGAGTGGACAAGATCGGTGGTCCGGTGGCCTTGCAAGCTGACAATGCCACCATGTCTGCTGTCTTAAAAAGACACGTATCACCTGGACGCGTAGGCAACAAATCCTACGACTGTTGGCGCTGCGCTTACTAGGCTACTCCTAATCCTCCCTGTTTTCTGGCGCCGCAATATATGGTTCGTGGTTCACCTCTTCCTATTGATTAGTCGATTGACCTCCATCATGCTAGCCGAGGCAAGTAGCGGAGCGGATCGCCGCTCGGAGGAAGAGCGACGCGTCCAAACCTCCTGCGCTCAGTACTACGACGCCACGCCGTCGGCGAAGATCCACGGTATCACGCCGCACCGTCGGGAAAACACCCTTGGTTGAGGATGCGTCGCAGGCTGTGGCGCGCGAGACGACTGTGGCACGCCAAGTGCTCCCCATGCAGGTTATGGATACCGGCGCGAAAGCAGGCCCTCTCACCCAGTCAAAAAAATCCTCTGAATCGGGAGCGGATCAGTGGTTCAAACGAGCCTGGCAGCAACTCCATGCAGAGGGCCGCATCGAAAACCCTGAACCCCCGAATCCAGTGGTGCCTGAAGACGAGCAGTACCAACGCGACCTCACCAAGGTACGTGAACTGCACGAGATGTGGTTCCAGCATCTCGTCGCCAGGAGCTTGGAAGAGGACAACGCCAAGAGACAAGCTACTCTTGCGCTGCTCTCGTCCAGTAGTGACAGTGGCTTTGGTGGCAGCAGCCTAATAGATACCTCGAGATTCACGTCTGAGATCCGCGAGGCAAGCGGCATTCCGTCCATGGCGAAACTGCGAACGCGCGTCCGCATACGCAGGTCCCTCGTAGAACACTTCCTCGTCAGTTCATGTCTTCTACCACTTCTCGACGACATATTTTTGGCTGATGTGGCGATGGGTATACAGGGCGCTGACAACCGATCCGTCCTCTTCCTTCGGGAGGAGGACATGTTAATACCTAAGCTGAACAGTCCGGGGGAGCACGGTTCCTTCTATGTGCGACATGCCCAATTTCAGTCTCGTATACGGAGGATGCATGAGCCCCTCAGAGACAGCCTTGCGTTTGAGCACCACCGCCCTTCTCAAGCACAGCCATTCAGCTTGTTCGTGCACCGGGGAGCTGAATGGGTCACGTACTTTGGAACGTACAGATTCGTTCAGACGTGGGATTGGATGCCTCTGCCAATTTGGCTGAGCCTTGACGAAGAGGTCGGTGTTGCGTCTCTCCCATCATATAACGAGCGCTAACAGGAACATGCAGGTGAAGCAGGACGTCTTGCGCAGTTGGCACGCGTCTGACCCCACTCGGAACTGGCGCGCTCGACTGGACGTGGGGCAGAGCGGGATCACCCTTGCCGTTCTGCAGAACATGGGCTATGATGAGCTGCTGGGCACAGCATTTGTATTCCTGGCGCAAGGAAGGAGTGTACTTTGGAAACGGGAGTAGGACGAGACGCGCCAATCGAATGTCGTCCAAGTAAAGTGATGCCATCACATGAACGCGTTTGAGCATGAGCTGCAAACTTTCCAGCACCCCACCGCAGGACCAGACGACGCGTACTTCCCTACTTGAACCCAACCTTACAGCTGACGCCGCCGTATGGACTGCTTTAATCTGGTACACCGATAGTGTGTGATATGTCTTCCTCCGAAATCTGATGGTTTTCTGCACGCAAACCAGGAAACCAATAGTGTGGCGCGAATATGTCTGAACGGCTTTTCGGGCCCCCTGGCTGCTCCAAACGTTTCTTTATCGCGAAACAGTCTCCACGGACTATATACCTATCTGCCATGACTCGACGCCGGATCCTGCCGGTGTGTCGGCTCGTCCGCCTTCAGGGTTACCTCCTCCAGGCTCTTTGACTATGGAACTGTCCTTGGGCCCTCAGATTTCCAGTGGACGAGTAGGAGTCGTTCACCGAGCGACTGAGGTTCAGGTTCGGCTCTGCTGATAGTTCAGTTGTGGCTGACGTAAGGGTGCCTCCGTTGGTCGTGAAGATAACAGGTCCAGATTTCTCAGATCGGCTCATTTGTGAGACTTGGTTCTATACGACGAGATGCAGCATCTGCAGAGCTCTGTATTACCCCGTTGCTTTGGCTTCTTCGAGGCGCTCGCGCCTCAAGGCTGCGTCCCTACTCCGTGGGCATCACGCGAATGGAGTGAGGACGGCAAGAAACCCATGTCAAGAGAGTCGTACGCGAGTCGTGACCCCAGGCGCACCATTGCTCGCGGCAAGGAAAGTCAAATATCCGTGCTTCTCCTGGAAGAACTTGGTGAGGAGGAACTACCGTTCGGCCTCGACATGACAAAGGATCTCCAGTAAACATCAGCATGGTCTTGTAGCGTGACATGGCTGCGCCAACATTATGGCTTTGGTGAAGGAGCTCGGCCAATACAGGATCGAGCACGGTGACATCAGGCAGCACTTTCGTCGTACCCCGGCTTGTCCTCCCGGTTTGCCGAGCTTACCGTCCCCGTACACGGGCAGAACCTACCCATGGCGTATCCTCGATTTCGATATGTCAAGGAAGTACGACAGCACCCGTTCGGTGTCGGAGATACCGGATTGGAGCTGGACTGGAAGGTTGTTGCCTTGCGAAACGGGTACGTTATGGAGCCTTGGTATGATGATTAGGTCCTAGAACCGCGCAAATTCAATCCGCGTCGACCGCATACACACTGCTATCGTTGATAATCGCGATTGCTGGCTGCGCAATGTGCCGTGTGTTCAACTGTTCACTCAAACTGGAGCTCAGAAGGTTTGTGGGGCGGGGTTCTAGCCTGCTTGCTGTAGAAGCGCGGCGTCGCGGGCGTTTGAAATTACAAGATTGATCTGCTCAAAAAAAGTTGGGCTCAAGATCAGTATGACGCAGACGAGAGTCGATGCGGTTCTGATAAGTATGAAGGTTTGAATCGATGCGTCTCTTATATGAAGGAAGCAGGGTCGAGATCTGCTTTGACGGTCGAGGACGGTCGGATGACCTCAAAGGAACTGTACATACATTCAATGTATGTACAGTTTCCCTGCGGCCTATGCGGCAGAGACCCGCGCGATTGATCAGTATGGCTGGGAAACGACTGTTTTGGAAATCTAACTGCCACGCTGTCCCATGGTGCTGAGAAACGGATATTTCCTGGGGCGGAACGCGAGTGGCGCCTGTTGCAGTGTGATGTGCAGTCAACCAACGCCTCTGATGAGCGTTTCAAAAGCAGCATGCGGTAGTGAAGGTAACAAATGGAGGTGAAAGCAAGGCTATGTCCAGTCCCCCTCATGGTCGCGCAGATGGCCGACGCCCGACGGAGCGGTGAGGAGCGGTGTCGTGTGTGAGATGAGGCCCAAGGTTTCCACGAATCACGGAGGCATCGCAGCCCCGCGATCTTACCAAATAAGGCGATTGCTGCGGGCGCTTGAGCGTGAGATGGCGGCGCTTAGTAATCCTGGGCCAATAAGGGCGTGGGAAAGGACCGCCGATCGGGGCTTCGCCTGCTCCGACGCGTCGTAACTTATCACCAGATGTCAAACCTACGGCCGAGCGAGGCCCTCCTCGGGATAAAAGACCGCGGTGCGTCGGCCAAGTCCCCACCGCCGTCCCCCTCCTCCACCGGCACCGACGATGCCCTCGCTGACGCCCGCCTCCGCGATGCGCCGCAAGGTATCCGACGTCCTCGCGGCGTTCACCCTCTCCGCCCTTCTCTGGTCCATCGGGAAGCGCATCTGGTCGTTCTTCGCTCCGGCTCCGGCTGCCCGCGAGGGCCACTGGAAATGTCCCTTTCACGCGTTCTCCAAGGAGATGCGCAGTAGGTACACCGAAGACGAGATCGCGATGCTTCACGACGATCCGCACGCGTACATCCCTCCAAAGGAAGGCGATTCGCGTGCACCGTGCCCGGCGCTGAACACCATGGCCAATCACGGTTACATGTAAACCATTTCTTGGAACGCAGACGAGCACGGTTAGGCTGATAAGTATGCGCGTTCACAGATCGAGAGACGGCAAGAATCTCTCTGGCCGTGATTTGGCCAATGGCTTGATGGCATGCTACAACATCTCCATGCCTCTCGCCTATTTCCTCTCGTACGGTGCGTACATCTCATTCATATCAGCCCTCATATCTTCTCATTCAGTCGTATATAGGCGGCTTCTATCTGTTCAATAACCCTGTCATCCAATTTCCCACGCTCTCTTGGAACCCTATCACGGTCTGGAAGTCTGCCCCCGACAACTGGAAGACCATCACGAGTTGGCCCGTTAACTTCTTGTGGCTGATCCGAAACACGTACGGATATTCATAGGGCTTGGAGCATTTAATCTCAATCGCGATCCATAGGCTTCTGCATCCCCGCGTCGAACTGTCCGATTTCGCTCTCCACAACCATGTCGAACACGACGCCAGCATTTGCCACGAAGATGGTGAGATTGTGTAGCATATGCTCATCTGCGATTTGCTTACCACCGTTTAACAGCCCCCGTTCGCTTCAAGCCGAAGCCACAGGCAAGCCTGCACATTGACCCCAACAAGTTCGACCTCTTTGCCCCATGCCCCGTGATCCCCAAAATGTTTGACGACTTCGTCAAGGACTCTGCCACTGGTGCGCATTGCGATCCAGAATCTCACACAAACGCAATGCTCACTGACTAGCGTAGGCACACATTGCAACGCTCGAGACATCGCGGCGACACGCGTCCGGCGCGAAGCTGAATCGCTCAAGGCACGCGCCGCGCAGTTCGCGCGCTTCACGATGGCCGCCACGAGTGATTACGACGGTCTGCACGCTGAGATTGCCCGCGGCGAGACGGCCCTTGTGCTCGGCATATTCGGCGGGGGTCACCCCACACCTATGGTCTCCTTCGACGTGCTGCGCTCGTGGTGGGTCGACGAGCGTCTGCCCGACGGCTGGCGTCCCACGCACGTGCAGAAGCTCGGGTACACCGTCGATCTCAGCAAGGCTATCCGGCAAGAGATGAAGGACATCCGCGCCCGCGCTGAGGCTCGCGAGAAAGCGCAAGTGCTCCAAGAGCTGGCGCTCGCGAAGAACGAGATTCTCAACGATGTCCGCGCGAAGGTGGCTCGCGGCCTCGCAAAGGTCAAGAAGCACGTTCAACACCTCGAGACGGCCCACGCGAGCGCGCAGGCTGGAAAAGACGAGGCGGCGGCGCACATCTCCGGGTTTCCTTTCGTTACCTCGCCGCTGTCGCAACGGACGGGATGGGCGAGCACGGTTTCTACCTCGTCATCGCAGGAGAGCTCGGTCATCAGCGTGGCTTCGCCGTTCTCTACCGCCAGCGACAAGACGCTCTTCCCGATCTCCCCGCCCCTTTCTCCCAGCTCGACTCCTGTCAGCTCGGCGTTCAGCTCTGCGTCGGGCTCTCGCGTGCACGCGGACTATGCTGCCGATGGATCGTTGCTCGCCTTCGGTATGCCGGATATCACGGCCCCCACCGTCAAATCTGCGGCGTCACCTCCTCAGGCCCCGGCTTCCCCAGCGAAGACGCCCGACAGACCTTCGATGCACGGCAGGGTAGACACAGGAGCTACACTGGTCGACTCAATTTCCTGGTCGTCGTCGACTTCGCGCTCGCGTCACCATTCGTTCATGGGCAAGGTCGGCGAGAAGGTTGAGAACTTTGTCCACCGCTCTCGGACGGCATCCACGCGGTCCAAGCGCTCGTTCCTCAGCTCCCGTTCGGACAAGCTCGGCGCATCCGAAAAAGATTTCTCTAGCGAGGAGGAGGGCGCTACGCCTGTCGTCGAGCAGATGCCGACCCTTCCCAAGCTGACTGTCGAAGCGGCCGAGCACGATGTCGAGCCCCAGCTCGTCGTTGCAGCGGCTTGAAAAATATTGCGCCTGTTATTGCGAGATTGTACGAGTTGTAGGAGATGCTCTCTTTGCTTTGCTGTTTACTCTCGGTTTATCATCAACAACCACTAACACGAAATGGAGGGCGTAATAGTCTCCTCCTTTGCTTTACTCTACTCACATACGTGCTTCCTTCGCGTTATTTCGTACTCATATATGCATTTTCCTGTATACGTATCCGATCTGTTGTGAAAACAACGATGCCTTGACACGAGAGTCATCACATGCGTGATGTTTGGTGCTCTCTGCTACACTGCAGCAGGTTGCATATCGATAGCGTGCTCGAAAAAACTTGTCCCTGACGAAGTTCTGCAACCGACGTACTGCTTCGGTAATGCAGACGCCTCGTGGGCACTTATTATCTGCTGTATTTCCGCTGTACTTCAGCACACATTGCCTGATGCTCCATCGACGAGCTTCGCCGACCGTAGCGACCACAGAAATTAGTGAACGCTCTATCGATATGCAATTTGCTGTGATACTCTGCGCGCGATCGATCATATCCCCATATGTATATACGTCGCCCACCTGCTAGGACGAGCGCCAGATTCCCTCAGTTCCTGGCTCGCGGCGTCGAGTGCGTATGGGATAACATCAGGCTGGAGCGCGTCCGATCCATTGAAGAGTGCACTGTAGACGTGTCTAGCAACCAACGGCCCATCCGCGTCGTTCATGGACCTTGATACGAATTTATCAACCTCAACCAGCATCTACAGTATAGACGAAAGGGGCACACCACATCGTGCCGATCACGGATTTGAAGCCGGCGAACATCATGGCCGCAGAAAGGCTGATCACTTCGTCCGGCTGCTGTGTATCACCCTTGGCGCTCTCACACGCGCTCAAAAACGCGAAGAACGCGTCGGGCAGCTTCAGTTCAGTGAGTGCGGAGATGGTCAGTTTCCCGTCCCGGAGGATAAAGCCGCTCTCGAGCGCGTCATCACCGTTCTGTTCGCCGTGACACGCGAGGTGGAGAATCGATGCCTGCGGGCACGCCGCGAGGATCTCGGAGACCCCGAGCGGACTCGCAGTTATCATTCCAGCGAGCACAGAGGAAGGAATGACGTGTGCGATCTGCTCTACTTCGACAAGCGTGTTAGGAAGCGGAGCTAAACCTGGTGCATTGGGCTGTGTAACGAGGAGCGCCTTTGCGGTCGCAGCTTGCACTTGCACAGGTCGCCTACGCGCGTCGATGAGCTGGCCAACGCTCGGAGAGTAGGACGACACCGCAAAATCTGACAGTGAAACCGGCGAGTCGCCCGAATAAATTCCCGCGGCGTGGACTGGGAGAAAGAGGAATACTCCGGTGGGTACCCACCAAAGTCGCGGGCGGTCACGGCCCTGTCGCCTCTGGCACGAACGTCAGTAAGGATTCCAATTTTAAGATTGGTGCTCGTACCTCCCAACGAAGAGCCTGGACCACCGGATGGACGACCTCATGCCATAGAGTTGAAAGAAGGCTATCAAGTGGATCGTGCAGATGTACAGTAGGTCTTGTGATCGACAGTCTTGAATCCGAAGTCGAAGCGTTCAGGTCTCGCGGTTGATGTGCGTCTCTCCAAGCCCTGGCTGACTTGCTGATAGTTTTGCTAGCGCTCCTAAGCAATTCTGGGGCAACGGAGAGACGCACTCGCATCGCTGGTCTAGTGGAAGAGGGAATCACGATGGCCTCTGCACTGATTTTGTCCGCAACTAGAATGATGACGGGACCGTGAATGGCCGCTACGCGTAGCTTCTCGAATGAGAATGGTTTGAGGAATTCTCCGCAACCAGGGTGTGCACGAGCGGCCCGAACGAGTCGTTCAAACTGCTGCGCCATTTCGCGACGTTTTGTAGCAACTTGAGAAACGCTTGCGCCAGCTTTTCGCTCCTCAAGCTTCGATGCAACTGCACGTAGTTGTTTTCCTAACTCGCCTGGTACCGGCAGTTCCTCTCGTGGATCTCTCAATCGTGAGAGCTGGGTCCAGAACACACCTCTATCGGCTACGATTTGAATACCGACTTCATTGAGAGAAGGAAGATTCGTACCGTCCATCCTCCAAAAGTTCAACGGCGGCTTCTGGCAAACCCTGTGCAAGGAAATGGAGCGCGCCCTTCTGGACGAGCCCAGGTATTTCCCTCAGGACTTTCAACGATTTCAGACGTTCTTCGGGATCCAACGCAAGGTATGCAATACGCGGGAACAGCCCAACGGTCCGCTGGTAGGCCTCTGATACCAACTCGGGTGATTGCACTTCCTCTGCATGCCTGATCCAATGCACGGAAGCCTCGAAACGAGATCGAATGACGGAGCCTTCGTCTAGTACGGCCTCTCTGTAAGCCAACATGCTTTTCGCTAAGTCTTGTTGGTCTGACGTCGCACGAAACCGCAAATAAAGATCATTGCCGTACTCCATCAAGTGCTCGGCACGGTGGGGATGACCGGCGAGAGTGGTAACAAGAATTTTCTCGTGCAGGTCAATTGAGATATCCAGACCCTGGGGGTCTACACCATCCGCCCATGCTCCCCTGAGCACACAGCTCAGACTGGCGAGGGTGTAGCGAGACTGCTCTGGTACAGAGTTCAGGGCCTCTTTACAAAGCTTAGAAGCTTCCTGCCAGCATTCCACCATGCCTCGCTTAGTAGCGGCGCTCTCTAGCGTGAGCGCCAAGTTGGCCAGGTAGAACGTTCGACGGATCTCCCGAACGGGACAAACCGCTAGGACCTCCCTCCGTAGGCGAATAGTAGTATCGTTGTCCGCGACGTCACCCTTCACCTTGAAGCGTAGCCCGTGAAGATTGGCGAGGTTTTGCAGCAAGTTGTGATAATCGGCATGCGTGTGAGGTCCAGTTTCCTTGCAAGATGTGAGCAAACGGATAGCTTCATCCACATCATCCATCACCCCCCGGACCCTGAATTGGGTATGAAGGGCTGCGCCAAGACCCGCCGTCGCAAGCAAGCAGTCCTGACAATCCTGCGTTGGAGAGGAAGCGATAGTATCGCGATAGAGACCGACTGCGTCGTGAATAAGCATGTCAGAACCTGCAGCTAGGTACATGCACATCGACGCTTCTGCAAGGACCCGCGTGGCTCGGACGCGATAGAAATGACCAGGAGGGCATAGCGTGACGGCTTGATGGGCGAGGAGTTTTGCTCTCGAAACATCCTCTGCCGCCTGCGCCCTGTATCGCTGAAGGACGAGGACCTCTGCCAACGCACACAATGCCGCCCACTGATCGGGATACGACGGGTGAGGTGCTGCTGAGATAGCTAGATCCAGCAGCTGGACGGCCTCTTCGAAATCCTCTGGCTGACTCTGATGTGTGTACCGAGCTCTGAGGGCAACACCAAGAGATACAAGAGATGGGACGACGTTCAACGTCCACATCGCCGTCGAGGTCAAGGCCACGGCAGACCTAGAGAGCATGATCGCTTCTTCAAGAAGCTCAGCCCGTCCCGTGGTCCAGTAGCGAAGCATCAATGCATCCGATAGCGCGATTAGTGCAGGGACGGACTGCATGTCCGGCGGGTGCGATGATGACAAGCCTAGGCGAAGGCACTTGATTGCTTCTTCAAGTGGGGAGACGTGGAAGGGATGATAACGAGACAACGTAGTAAGGGACCTCCCGAGGCCGTAAAGACAGTATTTCGCGTCGAGCCCATATTGCAATCGGAGATCCAGCGATGTTCGATGTAACGCTATGGCCTCGTCAAGGTCTTGCCGCCTTCCTAGCTGGCAATGTCTGTCGTAGAGCGATGAAGCGAGGGCGTCCAGAGCTTCAGCTTTCGCTAAGTCTTGGCGCGGCGATATAGATTGTTGAAGTGCTATGGCCTCGTTTAATAAGGCACTCTCGCCAGTATGGAGGAAAAGCTCGTGTAAGGAATCCCCTAAAGCTGATGACACATTTGCATTGAGCAAGTGATCTTGAATGCATTCAAGTTGACCTCGGTATGCGGCGATGTTAGCTTGTAACTGCATGGTTGTAGCATGGAATCCGCCAGCGTAGGTCTCAGACATGGTTCTAAAGCGTCTCAAGGCATGTCAGTACACATACGAAACCTGGGACCGACATTCGTGCTCACGTGGAATATAACACCAGCAGGAATATGTCGGGATGCAGGAGAGGATCGCGGAGTTGCCGTGGTCAGGAGGGTACGGCCTTATTTAAGCGCACGATGAGGTCCCCTGTCCGAGCGGCGACCGCAAATCCACTCGCGGTGGATCAAAGCTGCGGAGTCGTGTGCATCGAGGTTTGAACCGAACACGCGCAGGCACAAGTTACCCGCCCAAGCAAGGAAAATTTACAGTCAAGCATCCCCGTTACCGTACCACCGTAGTTGTCGGAAGTCCGGGCTGAACGCCATCATTAAGATACGGGTGCGCCTAAGCTATTCGTGTTCGACCCGACGGCCGATGCTGGAGCTAGTGGGATTAAGGAAACATGTCTCGATTAAGTTGCTGTCGGAAGACTGGAAAGCAGTAAAAGCCATACCGACGGGGATACTTGAGGGATATCGATGCTCCGTCATGGAGCCCAGAAGCTTCCTGTTTCTAGTACGTAGGTCCCCGCACTTTTGGCTTCTAACCTGCACTTAAATGCTCCCGTTGATTGCCGAAACGATGGCGCTGACTCGAGTGCCGAAGAAAATATTTGCCGCACAATCACCGGAGGGACGTGACGAGATGCGTTACTGCAAGGACTGCCATTCTGTTATATGCCCACGTGGATGTAAGTAGCCCATCCTCCGGAACAATTGCCAGATCGTCTCGGCTGCGGTTGCAGCGTCAAGGGCATAGGGTATGGAATCGGAATCGAGCGTCTCCTTTCCTGTGAGCAACGCCTCATACACGTGTCTGGCAACTACTGGTCCGTCGGCATCGTTCATTGCCCTGGTGGTTGCCATTAGTTGGAAGACAGAGGCGGAAACAGGCCAACTCACCACATCGTGCCGATCACAGACTTGAAACCAGAGAAGATCATGGCTGCTGACAGACTGATGACCTCATCCGGTTGTTCAACGTCACCTTTGGCGCTTTCGCAGGCGCTCAAAAAGGCGAAGAATGCATTTGGTAGCTTGATTGACTAAGCGACGATATAGTCGACTTGCCATCGGGAAGGATGAACCCGCTTTCAAGAGCGTCGCCAAGGTTCTGCTGGCCATGACAAGCGAGGTGAAGAATGGAGGCCTGAGGACAAGCATCGAGCGTCTGGGAGACGTCAGCTGGTTTCCGGCATCGCGATTCCGTCCAACGAATGCAGACAAAGGCACGATCTGTGCGATCTGCTCTGCTTCAGCAACGGTAGTCGGCAACGGTGGGTAACCCGGTATGTCAGGTTGTGTGACGAGCAACATCTTTGGGGCCGTCTTGTGCAACCACGGTGCAGACCGCTCCCGAGCATCGACTAGCTTCTCGATGTTGGGCGAGTAGGAGGAAACCACGAAGTCTGGTAATGACGGAGACGACAGTCCGGAATACACACCCGCTGCGTGTACCGGGAGATGGAAGAACCTCCCCGTCGGTATCCACCATATCCGGGGTCGGGCGCGGCCTTGCAATTTCTGGAGGTTACGGTCAAAAGTAATTACAAACGGAACGCTGGACACGAACCTTCAAGCCAAGGGCGTCCACAATCGACTGCACGACTCCGTTCAAAGGATCGCGAGTATGTCTTCAAGAGGATCGTGACAATGCCAGGTGCGCGTTTCAATCATAGCCCTGGGGCCGGTGTTACTGACACTCTCCCAGATTCTAGCCTCAGACCCTACGGATGCGCTATCTTCCTTCAAAGCAGCATTGCCTTCGACCGCAATGAGGATGACGATAGGATCATGAGCTGCGGCCATCTGCAGTATCTTTAACGATAGTGGTTTGAGGAATTCCCCGCACCCAGGGTAAGCACGAGACACCTGAACCAGCCTTTCGAACTCGTGCGTCATCCGGCGTCGGGCAGCAGCTTCCTCTGGATTACTTGCGGAGCCCTTCTGTCCTCCCAACGTCGATGCTACGGTTTGCAGCATCCAATGCGGTCGCGCTGTCTAGGGACTCGTCCGGGAGCAGACTTGAAGCGGAAGGCTGGAGAACCACGGCTTCTTCTAATGGGCTGATGTCGCCCGTATGAAGGAAAAGGTCGTGCAAAGACGAGCCCAACACGGTTGCATGCCTTGCATACTCGGTTGTGTTCGAGGTAAAAGAGGAGAGCCGCTGGCGGTGACTGTTGATAATGGCTTGTTTGCGCGTGACGATGACGGTGCAGGCTGCCGCAGGATCAGCAGATATGACCTAACGCGTGCAATACCTTGGAGGAACAAAACCAGTCAGCAATCGCTCGATGTTCCGAGGACAATTAAATTACAGTGGGTGTCCAGGTACAAGTCACTTCGGTCCATCGAGCATCGCTGATGTACTCAGCGCACGTCCAAGACGCAGTGCTAAGATTGCTCGTTGCCCCGAACCATCGAATGGGATAACAGAACCGCATCCGCAGCCACAACCCTATCAGCAGTCCCATCCCGGTTGGGGGAGATGTCAGAACCGAGGTGTAGCAGCGAACATTCCGTGACTTCCATCAAGATTCGTGGACTTGAGGTTAGGATAAGCATTTTTTTTCATTGGCATAGTTGTTGTCAGATATGAAAGAAGGGAGGTGCATGAACATGGGGCGACGTTGAGGTCGCTGGTAGGTCGCTGAGTCACGTGCATATAAGAGCTCAGGAGTCCGGACTTGGACGCCGACTTCACTGCGCAGGTCATCCTCTGGATTGTTCAACATCGTACTACGGGCACATCCGATACCGGGTATGCCATCCCTATGACCATTGCTGTAGTCCATGGGCCTCAGCAAGAACATTTGGCGCAGCTTGGGATCGGCAAAGGCAGCAGGCAAGAGGACACCGAAAAACGCAACATGCGTATGCTTCGCCTTAGAGGGGTGAGGCGTGACTCACACCGTCGCATGCTGCCGTTCCAATTGACTCTCGCAGGCCGGGTCTGAATGGAAGCGCCGTAGCCATCACCGTACGGTCTCGCACGCGGCGCTAGCGCGCAGGATCTTGCTATAACGGGATGACAGCCGCCATTACGAACGTCGTGGCCACGCGACTCTGCATCGGATTCGTCCACATCCGACCAGGCGTGCATCGGGCACGCATCGGGGCATGACTTTGACGGCCTGAACGACGGACAAGGGCTGTTCCCGAGCCCCCATATGTAAGGACGTCGCCGCGTTCAGTCACCTCAAGATCACTCGCCTTCCACCATGCCAGTCCTCGGCCCCATCGCCGCCATCCGCCTCCTGTTGGCATATGCAGTCGCCAACTTTTCCCTCTATTCGCTGCTGTCGACATCATGGACCAGGCTTCTTGCTTCCCTTGGACCCTTCCGAAATAACTCCGCCCTGGAGCCCAGCTGTCCTTACTGCGACCCTCCCTCGTACCGTGGATGCCGTCTATCGCACCACTCTGGGGTAGCTGCTTCTCTCCAGGTCGAAACGATGTCCCCTGAAGACATCGATATACCCCGCACATCGTCACCGGTCGAAACCTCCAATCCTTCCGACATCAACCCGTATACAGATGTTCCCCCGCCGCTACCTCAACCGGACTACCCCCTTACGCCGCTCACCCTGGGCGACGGCTCAACGCTCTTCGTGCCGTCCACGACCACCAGCCCAGAGATTTCCCAATCCGTCCATGACGCATCGCCACCGGCGCGGTACAAGCCGCACCTGGAGATCGACGACTCGCACTCTGCGGCGGACAACACAAGGCCGCAGAAACGCTACCTTCTGGCTTTCGGGTTGCCCGACGTGGAGATGCCCGTTGCGTTGAGCTCAACCCACCCAGCGCCACACGTACCCGGCTCGGCGGAGGTTCCCGGGGCGCAGCAATCCCCCACGACTCGAAGATCGGGGCGCCGATCATCTCTACGGGAGAGGATGGGAGGCAAGGTGGATGGCTTATTCATTCGCACCGATACGTGGCGGTCGAAAAGCTCGCTGGCTGTGTTATCTGACGAGCAGGAGGGTTGAGCGATGGAGGACTGCACGCAGTTGCGATGGCGACCCGTTTTTGCCTTCTTGTCCAGGGGACAGCCCGACGTTCGGTGTGCCAATACTACAGTGTTCCTAATATGGACTATACGGACACAATACTCATGATGATTGCTGTGCGCTATCGAACGCGGCCCTCTGTTGCTATCGAATGCACGAACAAAGCTATCGACGCGCATTGTGGCACCTCTTGAACGTATAAAAGGACTGCTAACCTCTCGGTTGCCTGTACATAATCCACAGTTGGCTCAACACCCATACCGACACTCGCGATATTTCCAGCGAAATGACAAACAACTTTGAACACAGGTCCTCTCTCGGCCACTTCTGGTCGCGGCTAAGGGGGCACACTCCCGACCCCGATGCTCCGGTAAGTGTCCGCTCACACCACTCGCGCGTCGCTAGAGCAGCTCCAGGTGAACGACTCAGCGCCTATCCCGGAGACCTGGCTCCTTAACGCTCATGTCAGCGAGGCCCAAGGGACGCGCGAAACGATGGAAGACATGCACATGATCATACCCGATTTCGCGGGGGTGGACGGTCAAGGGTTTTACGCCGTCTACGATGGCCATGGCGATGACGTCGTCGCCAAGTACGTCGTAGAACACTTGCACGAGGTAAGTACCGCCATCACACGGCCGCCATATTTTAGGAACTAATGTCGCTCGGCCACTGCAGATGCTGCTGCACGAGATGACCAAGCGCCCCAACAAACCCATGGCCCGGCACTTCCGGGAGACGTTCCTCGAAATCGACAGCAAGATCAACCGTCTCGGAATCTCGGAACGCGCTGCAGTCAACGACTGGGCGGGATCCGGCACTACGGCCGCGGTGGCGTTCGTGCGCCTGGAAGCCGCCGATGGCGCGTCGGCGAAGGAGAAGAAGGGAGATCCCACGCGTGCGGGTGGCGGGCAACGGCAGCGAGTGCTGCACTGCGCGAACGTTGGCGACTCGCGTGTAGTGCTCTGCCACGGCGGAAAGGCGATCCGCCTCACGCTCGACCACAAGCCGGATGACCCCGAAGAAAAAAAGCGGATCCTACGCCGTAATGGTACCGTCGAATACGGACGCATCGACGGGGGTTCACTGAACATGTCGCGATGCCTGGGCGACTGGCCTCTAAAGCGACCCGGATGGGTCATCGGGGTGCCGTCCGTGGCCCAACGGGTGCTCGGCGACGAGGACGAGTTCCTGATCATCGCGTGCGACGGAGTGCGTGACGGTTCCTTTTCCGCTCTGGTGGCTTGAGATGGCTCATGCCGGTGTTTTCGACAGCTCTTCGACTTCGTGAACGATCAGGAGGCGGTAGACGCGGTTCGCTCCAAGGCCGATCCGCGCGATGCAAGCTCGAAGTTGATAGAGCTGGCGTTCGAACGACGTACAAATGACAACGTCACGGTGATGGTTGTACGCCTGGGACCCGTCCCTGATATCTCCTGAGCTATTCTGTAGTACTAGTAGTGACGAGAGCAGAGAGGAATGATGAATTAAGTTCACAGACACCGCCACGATGTTCTCACGGATTGCCCATATCTGGCGACGAAAATCTGACGATGCCGCTCACCGTCGACGCAGTCTCTGGGCTGCACTCGGGCGTTTGGGTGAACGCCAGGAGTAACGGAGCGACGGGAGAGCGACGATTGTCCGGTTCATGTATCCATAGCTTACGGCCCGTCCGCGTAAATATGCACGGGCGATGTACATAGGACAGACAGCCATCTACCCAATCGAACATTTCCCTCGTCTTCACAGCTCCCGCGATATGACTTGGATCGCTTCAGCCGCGACGACTTAAGCCCAGGGGTCGAACCCTTCCTCCGACACACTAGCCCTTCTTTGCAGCGACTCTGACCAAAAACCGCGATGTCGCGCGTTGCTCGCCGACTCTTCGCGACCGCCGCCAGCTACACCAGTCGGCCGCTCCCCAACAAAGCGCACCACCATGCCCCCATACCGGATGCCGCCTTCCCCCATGGCTATCTAGCGACGGGCCTGCACTGCGGCGTGAAGAAGGCCGCAGGAGTGCCTGACCTCGGCCTGCTGCTCTCGACGTCCGAGCGGAACACGTCCGCCGCCGCGTGCTTTACGCGCAACGCATTCAAGGCTGCCCCGGTCGTCGTCTCCACCGAAGTCCTCCAGCGGGGCGGCGGCGCTGCACGGGCCGTGGTCGTCAATAGCGGGTGCGCAAACGCGGTGACGGGCCGGCGAGGGATGGACGACGCGTGGGCGATGGCGCGCGCGACGGACGCGTTGCTGGGCACGAAGGGCGACGAGGGCGAGGGCAACAGCGAGACGCTGGTGATGTCCACGGGCGTCATCGGCCAACACCTTCCGATCGAGAAGATCCTCTCCGGCATCCGCTCGCAGGCGCAGACGGAGGCAGGCTCGACGCTCGGCACGGGTTTCGCGGCCTGGGAGCGCCTTGCCCGCGCGTTCATGACCACGGATACATTCCCGAAGCTGCGCGCGCGCGCGTTCACGCTGGACGGGAAAGAGTACCGCCTCGCGGGGATCGACAAGGGCGCGGGCATGATCCACCCTGACATGGGCCCCGCGGCCACGCCATCCGCCCCCCGTGCGCTCCACGCGACCCTGCTCGGGTGCATCGCGACCGACGCTGCGGTCTCGCCACGCAGCTTGCAGTCCGCGCTGGCGTACGCGGTCGACAGGAGCTTCAACTCGATCAGCGTCGACGGCGACATGTCGACGAACGACACCGTCGTCGCGCTCGCCAACGGCGCCGCCGCGGACGCGGGCGTGCCCGAGGTCGACGAGGAGCGCACACCAGAGCTGTATGTCGCGTTCCGGGACGAGCTTACAGCGTTCGCGGCGGACCTGGCCAAGCTCGTGGTAAGGGACGGCGAGGGCGCGAGCAAGTTTGTGACTGTGACCGTTGAGGTATGCGCTTCGCATGGGGGTACATTGGTTCATGCTTACGAAGTCGTTTTGTATAGGGCGCCAACACCTACCAGGATGCACACAAAATCGCGGCGCGGATATCAACCTCCGCCTTGGTCAAGACCGCACTGTACGGCGAAGACGCCAAGTGAGTGTGCAATACTCTTCCTTACTAAGCCATCTACTCGCGTCCTAACCCATTCACAAAGCTGGGGCCGCATCCTCGCCGCCACTGGATCGATTCCGCTCAGCGTGCCGCTCGACCCGACGCGAGTGACGGTTTCGTTCGTGCCCGCGGACGGGAGCACGCCGCTGCCGGTGCTCGTCGACGGGGAACCGGAGAACGTGGACGAGGCGCGCGCGAAGGAGATCCTCAGCCAGGAGGACTTTGGCGTCCGAGTCGAACTCGGGCTGGGCAAGGAGAGCGCGACATATTGGACGTGCGACCTAAGCTACGTGAGTTGTGTTCGCCGTTTTGGATGTTGCAAAGGTCGTAGGGTGCTGATTGCGAGGATGGTAGGAATACGTGAAGATCAACGGCGACTATCGCAGTTGATGCGCACGCGCCAAGTGAACAATAACGCATTGATTTCTAGGCATGCACATGCGGCCCTACTGGAGAGTACGCGTTCGGATATCCGACCGTGCCACGACTTGATGAAACCAGGATTTCCTGAGGGGACGTCGTCAGGGCTGCATCATTACGATATCATTGACCGACGAGCCATTGAATACATGAGGAAGTGCCCTCGTCTACAATCGCACCGTAGTGTGAAATAGATTAAACATGAAATCGCGTCAATTTAAGCAGAAAATGGTCAAGGCTCGGTTTCCTGAAAGCGATATTGGCATGGCCATGGGTCATATTAAGCCGATATAGGAGCGTTGCCTCTTCTGAACCGTCAAATGCGCCTGGTGCGTTTCTCAGCGCCTTTTCCTCTCTCTGACCGTTCTTGCCAGCTGTCCGCTCATCCCTCCTTGGGCATCCTTGAATCTGTTTGTTTGTTTTTGATTACGAAAACCCGATGGTTATCGAGAGCATTGGGAGATAATGAAACGACGAGAATGTATTCATGTATCTGTGACGTATAGCTCATCGTGTATCGAATACAACCTTGTCGAGGACGTGCTAATCGGCCGTACAGGAACAGTTGCAAGCGGGAAAAGAATGATTACCGATGCGCCCACAATCCTGTGTCGCAGCTGATACGTGGATGAGCAGCGAACAAGAACGGATTAACCGCTATGTATACATGTGAGTTGGAGGAGGAGCAGAGTAAGTCTGGTCGAGAGGCCCTGAAAGCGACGCGTCGTTGGAGACGACCTCGAGCGTGGGTGCCCACTGGCGGGTCGTAGCGGGACAAAGACGAGTCGGGGCTAGCATAGCGGCCGGCAGAACAGAGACAGCGAGTGGGTGAGCGCGGTATGAATGGCGTTTCGGTGCGTCCAGGTGCTATCCGAGCGTGAAGTGGGCGAAGGCGCGAAAACCGTCACGGGCTGCAGAGCGCGTTCGCCAACACATTCCTCCTTGGATGCCGGTCGAAGACGCGGGGATGCAGCATGGCGGCGGATACCGTGAAGAGGACGCCGGGGACGATGGTGTGGTCCGGGATTATGGGAGCTCCGTGCGCGTCGCATGCCAGCACTGTATACATACGGTCAGACGTTTCTGCTTGGATGTCGCAGCGCTGATCGTGTCCGGAGGATGGCGGCGCGAACGCTGCATCGCCGCGGAGGATGTTCAACGTCTCACGGGCGACGTACGTACGACGAGAACGCGGCGAACTTTGGTCTGACCGTAGTGGTATTCTGGGCGCAGTCGAGACCAATCACGACGGGCGGTGGCATGGCCTCTTTTCGGGTGATCTGCCAAATCGTGTCTGATTGTGCACCGTCCGCAGCGACACGAGGCCTGTAGAGAAGGAAGATCCATGAGAGAACGGGCGACTGCGACAACCGCGACAGACGCGAAACGGTCTGACGGCCTTTTTGTTTTTTTGTTTAGTGGTCTCCGAGAATAACGGAACGAGATGCGCGCGCGCAGGCGATCAACTATGTCGTGTGAGCGGCATCGCAATAGAGACATGGACATGCGATATGAAAAATGCGTACGCACGGTCACTAGGCGTACATGAGGCCAACGGACGAGTCCGGGGAGCATAGATCCGCGAAATGGACCACACGCTGGACGTCTTCCAGACGACTTCTTCGCTTTCGAGCGTATGCTCTGGACACGGCCTTGGGCGACCGGGCTCGTCCAATAATATTGCGACGAGACAAGAGGCATATGATTCCAAGTGGGCTGCCGCGGGCGCGTTAATGAATTTATTATTATTCTGGATCTGGTCGAGCTGATGGGGCGGCGTTGATGCGGATGGCAACGCGAAAGGAAGCGGGCGAGGGCTTCTTCGCGAGCGAGGCCAGAGCGGGCCCTGCGGCATCAGGAAGCGGTCGGGCGGAGGCAGCGAACCCTGGGCGTGAGAATCGGGATCGTCGACTTGGGTCGCGGTTGCCTCGAGGAGAGAGGCAGGGAAGAGAGCACAAGGTTCGGGACTATCGTAAGCACCGCGTGAGTGGGGGAGGCTGTCTGGGGCGTGGAGGGCTGCTACTGGACCGCCGGCGGGTTGAGGCCCGTGCTTGGTGTATCCAGGCTGAACGGGGAATCGCAGGGGGCGACGGTAGGGCGGCACATCAGGCGGAGAAGTCGAAGGCGAGGATCGATGGGTGGGTGCCCGTGCTTGGACTGCTGGAGGTGGCGAGGACGAGCGAATGCGGTCGCTGATTGCCGCGGCGATCACCTGGGGACGACATCACCTCGGCTGAAGCGCTAGGGGATGTTGCTACGAGACATCAGTCATATCCATCGGGGGGCAGTAGTATACGGTACATCGCACGAGTCATCAACGGTAGGCGTCTGACGATGAGACTGAGACTGAGAGGACGGAAGGGCGTGGCCAAACGCCGGGTCACGTGCGCCAGAAGCGAGGGCTCGGAATTTGCGGTCGTCCAGCGAGAAAACTGCGGCGGTCGTCCGTGCGGTCGGTCGTCCTCCACCTTCCGCTCTCTGCTCCCCGGCGTCCGCGACGCATCCTCACGCTCCTTGTCTCCCGCCACGCCCGCACGGCCACTGCTCGCGACGACCGACATACCACGCCCTGCTCTGACATACCGCGCCAGCACTTCGCCCCCCTCGTCATGTCGAGCGATAGCCGCGTCTGAGTCTGACGACCGTGCCCATGGCGCACAGCACTCACGACCGCGACGCCCACCACCACGCGAGGTCCTCCTCCTCGCACTCCGTTCGCAGCCATCGCTCGCTGCCCCATCTCTCCGTCCACCCTCAGCCCGGAGCACCGCCCATGCCCAACCGCCCGCCTTTGTCTCGTCAGTCCAGCTCGCCGATGGGCCCTCGCCCGCCTGGCACGGCCTCTCCCCTCTCTGGGCCCCCTCCAGCCGCCTCCTCGCCCTCCTCGTCCAGCTCGCCAGCCACCCTCCAGCCGCCCCCCTCCGCATCCAGGGCTCGCTCGCATTCCCCCGCGGCCTCCCACACCGAACGCGGCTCAGGCGGCCGACGTCCTTCTACCGCACAAGAAGCCTCTTCTTCCCGCCCTACCGCCCGCCACGAACCCTCGAGCTCCCGCCGACCGGCCACCTCCTCGCCGGCCACGCCATCGGCATCGTCTGTCCCCGCCGCTACCCCGCTCTCCGAGGCCGCCTTGAAAGCCTACTCGGCCCGCTACCTGTCCTCGTCCCACCCGACCAGTTCCCGCAAGTCTTCGGGCAACGCCTCCGACTCGGGCGCCTCCGTGCTCGACATGAAGCGCCTGCTCAGCAAGCCCGCGCCTTCCTCCACGCGCTCCGCGCCGTCCGAAGCGTCCGAGCCGCCGTCCGTCCCCCGCGCAGGGCCCTCTCGCGGCCGGTACACCAGCGCAGCCGAACCCAAGACGGCGTCTTCGTCCACCGCGAGCGCGCAACGCAGCACGCACCGGTCGGCGAGCTACACCGCGTCCGCATCGCACTCGCGCGCCGCCCCCACGCTCAAGCCCCAGGATCCTTCCCCTTCTCCCCGCCGCTCCAGCTTTTCCGCGCGAAAGTCCGTCCCGTCGGACAAGGACAGGGACAGGGACAGGGACCACCGACCGGCCGCGCTCAAACACCGTTCTAGCCACAGCACCATGCGCCCCTCGCAGGCGACGCCGACCGCGGGCTCGTTCCCCACATCCGTCCACAGTCCGCGACGCGCCACCACCGCGCCCGAGCCAGCCTCCCGGAGCCCGCGCCCTCCGACCGAACGGAACGAGAGTCCGCTCCCGCGGAGCGTCACGCCAGCCGGGTGAGTCCCCCATCAGACCCGTCTCCGTTACGGCCCCGTTGCCAGCTTCGGTCGGGGCCTGATCGGATCTTTTTTTCTTGATCTCTTTATCTATACGTCTTATAACTGACCGCCATCTCGTGTGTGTGTGTGTGTGTGCATAGGGCGATCATGCTCGCGTACAAAGAGCAGGAGAAACGTCGGTCGCAGCTCGCCATGCTGGCAGGGGAACAGACGCCGGAAGCGACGACGACGAGACCCGCGCAGAGCCCGAATCCGGCAAGCTCGCGCGATTCGAACGGGAGCGCCGCCGGGGTGTATTATACGGTGTTTGGGAACACGTCGGGGAAGGTGGTCGCCGTCGGCGGGCCGGAGGACGACGCGTGGCGACTGAACATGGACGCGTACTACGGCTGGGACGCGCCCTCGCACAAGTCGGCGAGCGTCCACGCCGGGAGCGGGAGCGGGAGCAGCGGGGTGAGACGCAGCTTGTCGCGGAAGGTGTCGGCGCGGTGGAGGAGGGCGAACGTGCGGGGCGAGTCGTCGCCGTCGACGTCGGGGACCGGGACGGAGGACAGGCGCGCCGAGGCGCCGAGGCAGAGCCTGCAGGAGCGTCGGTCGGCGAGCTTGCCGAAGGAACGCCGCAAGTCGCTCCGGTTGTCGATCGACGGCTACGTCGACATGGCCGCCGTCGCGAGCCCCTTGCCGTCCGCGCGGAACGGTGCGCCGAGCGCGGGGACGCCCAAGGCCAAGCTCCGCAAGCAGCGCGACAAGGAGAGCAGGGAGGACGAGCATTCGCCCGGGGGAAAGCTGTGGAAGCTCATGAAGCGCATCAGCACCGGCGGGCTGAGGGACAAGTACAGCAGCGCGAGCCCGGAGGTGTCGCCGCCGCCGGTGCCCGCGCTCCCGCGCGACTTGCCAGCGCACAGCCGGACGACCACGCAGACGTCGCCGTCGTCGGACAGCCAGGGCTCGAGCCCGAACCCGCTCACGCGCTACCTCTCCCCAAGACCGAGCATGACCGCGCTCCGCAGCACACCCCGGACGCCCGTGCACCCGCGCAGCTCGTCGGGGCCGGCGCCGACGACGTCCAGCGGACGCAAGTCGACGCGGACGACGAGCACCACCGGACCGCGGCCGAGCACGACGACGCGCTCCTCGTCCCCGATCTCGTCCTCCGACGTCGCGTCCTCCTCCCGCTTCTTCAAGAGCAACGTCTCCTCGCGCTCCTCGAGCTCGTCTTACGGCGAGGAGATCCAGAGCACCACGCACGGCACCGCCGCGATCGGCAAGTACATCATACCGCCCGGCCAGCTCGAGGAGCTGCACAAGCTCGACCTCAGCTTCATGAAGAACCCGGACCCCGCGAAGCGCTCGCCCACCGCCGCTCGTAGCCGACAAGCGGACGACTCGCCCCCGCCCATCTCCGCCGTCGACGCGCATCCCGCCCCGCTCGCGCCCCCGCGCTCCGCCCGCCGCGCGTTCCGCTCCGAGTCGCCCGAGATCCCGTCGTTCTCGACCGACGGCCCCGTGAACGACTTTTCGGCGGCGGCGCGGACCAAGCGCGCGCGGCACGTCACGTCCAGCTTTGGAGCGCGCCCCGCGACCTCGCCCGTCACGGGCTCCTTCCCCGCGTCCGAGTTGGGCGCGCTGTCGCCGCCCCCGCCGCGCCCGGCGAAGAGCCCGCGCCGGCCCTTGTCGGCCGCCGTGGCCCCGACCACGCCGCTCATCCCGCCGCTGGCGCCGCTGCCGACGATCACCATGGACCTCGAGGCCGTCGCCGCCTCTCGCGAGCGCCACGACGAGGACAACGAGGACGACCGCCAGAGCCGCGCCGTTCGCACGGCCAGCAACGCCTCCACGATGAAAGACGGTCGGCGGTCCCGCTCGCGCTCGCAGGCCCCCGCCCCGTCGCCCGTCACGTTCCGCGAGCTCGGGACGTCGCCCGCGCGGCTGCGGTCCGAGCAGGAGAAGGCGCGCATGTGGGACGCGCTCCTGGAGCGCTCCGATCGCGCCGGCGGCACCCTCCGCGTCGGGGGCGACGACGAGCTGCCGTCGGACAGCCTGCGGCTGTCGACCTTTTCCGACTTCTGAGGCGGGGCCCCGGTGTCCTCTGTGTGTAGCAAAAAATGACCGTGCCTCCGCGATAAAGTAGTAGTGTGTTTTATATGGTTTTCCGTCTCCGTCGCTTGCTCATTCCTCTCTCTCTCTCTGCTCCTCTTACGCGTCTGTATAATCGCACGTTCCTCGTATACCCGCCCACAACCCCTGCCTGTTCCTGCCTGCGTGTTATACATAGTAGCCTGCAATGCGAATAAATAATATCGCTATCTGGTCCTGCTGGTCACATGAGCGAATGGTGTGAGACGTGTCTGCCGTGCGCGCAGCGGCGTACCACTCTCTATTCTCGGCTACGCACGTTACACACCGTCTCTCCCCCGTCGCTCGTTTCTGGATCCACCACCCGCCGCCACGCCATGAACTTCTCTACGGAGCTCGCCCTCTCCGCCGTCGTTCTCGTCGGCACCGTCGCCGTCGCGTACCTCCAGTTCAACAACGACTCTCCGCCCGCGTCCACACCGGCGGCGCTAGCGGACGAGAAGGCTGCAGCGGCCGGCAAGAAGGGCAAGAAGAAGAAGGGCGCGGCCGCCAAGTCGTCCGCCCCCGCTCAGCCTGCAGCAGCAGCAGCTCAGCCCGCGGTCGTGCCCTTCCCGCCCGTCGTCCCCGGCGAGTTCGGGTCGACGTCGACCGCGGCGGAGGACGGGTCAGACGCGCTGTCCGCCGCCGCGGCCAAGAAGCCGAAGAAGAAGAAGACGAAGAAGGCCGCGGGGGCCGCTGCGAGCGAGGGCGGCGCGGGCCCCTCCACCCCGAAGCCGCAGGACGCGCAGGGCAAGGGCGCCGCGAGGGAGGAGCAGTGGACCCGCGTCGAGTCGCGTCGGCGCGGTCGCGCGGCCGCGGGCGACGCCCCGCCGCCCGCCGCGCCGCCGTCGACGGCCGACGTGGGCGCGAGCGACGCGATCACGACCTCCGTGACGGGCACGACCACGCCGACCACGGAGCGGACGGACGAGGAGAGCGAGCCGCCGGCTGCGGACGAGCGCAAGACGCTCGCGGAGAAGCTCCTCCCGAGGCCCCGCAAGACGGGTGTCGACGAGTGCGTGCCCTGGCGCTGACCCTCCTCCTCAGAAAGATGGCTGACCTACCGCGAACGTACGCAGCATGCTCGAGACGCCCGACTACCCCACGATCGCGCGCGTCATGCGGGTGCAGCCGCGCCCGGACGAGAAGCCGGCCGCTGGGTTCTCGTGGGGCGACTACGAGGACGTTCGGGTGGCGGAGGAGGCGGACGGCGAGGGCGACGATGAGGGCTGGGGAGTCGTCAAGAGCAAAAAGCCGAGTGAGTGCATCTTATCTCTCCACCTTTCTCATACGTCTGCGTCGTACTGACGACGGTATCGCGATCTCACAGAGAACACTCGGCCATCTTCTGGTACCCAGACACCCTCCGCCGCCTCGGAAGCGCCAACGAAGAAACAGCGCCAGAACGCTGCCAAGCACGAGGCGCAAAAGGCGGCCAAGGCTGAGGCCGAGGCGCAGAGGCAGGCGCTGCTCGCGAAGCACAAGCGCGAGGTCGAGCGCGCACGCATGGCGGAGCAATTCAAGACGAGCGCGAAAACCCCGAGCGGTGGGATGACCGCGAGCGTGGACGCGTCGGGCAAGCTGGTCTGGGACTAACTTGTGGACGTTGGTGATGACGGTTGTCGTATCTTCTGTTGTTGCTGTCGCACGACATCTTAATGGTCGGATTTAAGCCATGCCGTTTCGTTCTTCGCAACTGAAACCATGCTTGTCAATGGAAGCAATCGAATAATAAGAAGGTTCAGGATTCTGCTACAAATCATGGTGAAAACGGACAAGAAATATGCGCTGCTGTCGATAAGAAAGCGAGGATCCCCCACGAAAGGGCAAATAAATTACGATAATGGCGCTAGCTCGTGCCGCCTCAATTGCGTAGCTGCTTCCTTGCAGTGCCTAGCATGGTATTGTTCACCTGAAGAAACGGGTTAGGCCATATCTCACTCCGTGTGGTTCCATCACCAACCTTGGTGGCAAATCTCAGTGAGCACAGAGACTCGTTCAGATGCGCGGCCAAAGGCGACAAGTTGAGAATCATCTGGCAGGACGGTCAGCTCCTGGGTAGGCGAGGACGCTGAACTACTCACGAGCGTCTTTGAATTGCCGCTGAGCGAGTTCATCAGCAGGTACGTGAGCTGAACGAGGGAGTCAATATGTGGCAAGGACGCGACATTCGGACTTCTTGCCTTGGAATTCCTGTAAGGAATGTGCTTCGCGGCATCGCCGCTGGCTCCTCGCTCTCCCAAAGCCGCAATCACGTCGCCGAGCGCGCTCAAGCTCTTGTTAATGTTTTGTGTCTCACGCAACCGATCCTTGTCCCCGGCCGCACCGCTCGCGTTGAGCCGCTCCGAGCCGGCGAGGTCGACGAGATTCAGGCACCCCTCGCACCTCTCGCCGTTCTGCGCGTTCGTGCCAGAGATCCGCAGAGTGAATACGGAGTGCGACCGGGAGGATCGCTCGTTCATAAGCGTCGCGGCTACCGTCCGCCTGGACTGCGCCGCGGCAAGCAGCGTCCGAACCTGCGACGGGGAGCGCAGCGGCACAACGTTCACGTCGGTGACGCGCGTGCCGTTCTTGGCGTCATGTCGTATTTCGTGCTTCTTCTTGTCTAGTTCGCCGTGACCAAGGAGATCGTTGATGGTTTCGTTATACTGGCACAGTAGGTTCAGGAAAATTTCCAAACCTCCAATGAGAGAAGACGCACAATTTCAAGGAACTGCCCTTCCATCTTGTATTCCCAGCCCTTCGACTTCAAGTCTTCGGCGACTCGGAAGACCTGCTCTACCGCCCGTGGAATCATACCAGCCGTGGAGTCTGTCTGTATCTACGTCAGGGCACAGGATTGTACGTAGGAGATAGAGACAGCCTTACGATCCCGCCCTCCATCGTGAACGATTTGCCGCTGCCGGTCTGCCCATAAGCAAAAATGCAAACGTTGTAGCTATGCAGTCGTCAGCGACGTTGATGACACGGCAGACAACTACTCACCCGTCAACACAGCTTTGAGCAAGATGCGAAATCTCTTCGAACACCTCCGCTTGCGTAGAAGGAGGCTCGAATACCTGGGAAATCGTCTAAGTTTCGGGCAAGGATCAGTCGTACCAAAAGTTATCACCGACCTTGTCGAAGGTAAAGTTCCATGTCTCTTTGCGTTCATTGCCCATCGCACTTTCCGAGGAGGAGGCGACCACGATCTCCTTGTGGTCAAGCGGATCTGGGAACGTTATTGCAGCGACCTCTTCGTTAGCTGCAAGCGCCGGGCGAACTCGGCAGAACACCCGTATGTTGCCTTTCAGCTCCTGGATAGTATTGTGGAGTTTCCTCCGCACCATCTCGCCGTCGATGACCTCGTTCCTTAGTCGCTCCTTCTCCTTCTGCACAGTCTCCACCTCCAGCTGTAGCTGCGCGATCTGGGACAATGCAGTGGAATAGGTGGATTGAAGAGCGCTCAGCTGCGCCTGCAGAGCATGCATCTGGGCGGCCTTCGTGAGGTCCGCCGTAGACTGGCTCGCGACGGTGGCCTTGAGCTGCGAGACGGATTCCCGTTCTCGCGCAAGGTCGGATCGGCAGCATTTGAGATCCTCCTGGAGCTCTCTGTTTTCTCGGTCCTTCTTCCTCATATCCATCTCAAGATCCATGACCTCTCGCGCGTGCTTCTTCCGCATCGTATCAAGCTCCTCGATCATGGAGTCGATTTCGCGCCGCTGGTTGAGCTCCTGGTTCCTGGTGATCGTCATCTGCGCTTGCAGCTGGGTGACCTTGGTTCGCTCGGCGTCCATCTCCTCCGCTAGCCGAGCGCTATCTGCGGCCCGCGCGGCTTCAATGGAGGACACTTGATCCTGCAGTTGTCTGAGGGCGGCATCGTTCCCGGCCGTGGTGCTCCGCGTTACTGGCCGTCGCGCACCAGTCGTACTGGGCACGCTTCCGCTGCTCACGGTCCTGCGAGCAGGCACGGTCCGCGCTGAGCTGGAGGCAGTTGTCGAGCTAGCAAGTCTTGGCGCTTTGGGGACCGTGAGGTTGTTCGAAGATCGCGGCACATTCGTCGCCGTCCGATTCGGTCCCAACGCGCCTGGCCTGGAAATGGCGGGGAGTTTCCGCGGCTGATCCTGGGCCTCGTCGTCGGTGGGGGATTTTCTCTTTAGTCTTGAGGGTTGCATATTTTCCGCATTCGCGATGGAGGGCGCATAGGCTGTCGGCTCGGGCGACGAACGCAGCCGCGGCAGGCGGGACATGGTCGTGGGAGTTGGTTCCTCGTCCCGTGACCGCGCTCTGCACGTGAGAGCGCGTCGGCGCGACTTACAGATAGTAACACAGCGGACGCTCGTAGCCGTTGTCGACGTCAACACACTGGGTGGTGCATTCGGAAGCTCCGGGAGCTTGCGCAAGGGTGAAAAATATGAGCCCTGGTACCGGCCATATTGTACGTCCAGTATACTACGGGAAAAGAGATGTCCTGCAACAGCTTCTCTTGAATCGCGGAGAAAACTTGCGATCTCCCTGGGCCCACAAAACCTCCAAGCTGTTGGTTCCCCACTCATTATCGGTCGCTTTGGACCGTGAGCTCGCGTCCGTATCGAATCCTCCCGCGCATTGCGATAGGTTTCTCGAATCTCTCATACTGATGGCGATACTTCGGGGACCGAATCAAGGCTGTTGTGGTACCGACACTGTGCGTTATACTCTAATACGGGCCCTGGAATGCTGGCTCTGAGGATCGACGATGCCAGCTCTTGACCGGGCGTGATCCAGGGGCTAGCAGCGACCCATTCGCCCAGGGTCGTTTCCTTCAGATCAAAAGTGAAGTTCTGTCTAAGTTTTACCCCGCCTTTCACCCATCGCCCTAGGTCGGGGCCAAGGCGTATCAAGAACGAGAACTCCGCATCATCTCCCAGTCCGACGATCCGACCTGACTCCGCAAACCCTGGACTGAACTGCTACTGGTTGGTCGAACAAGCACTGACGAGAGGCTGGCCTTACTGTGCGCCCACTCTCCTCCAAGCACGTCTAATAACTAGTTACTATAGGGCATGGTTTATCCTCTAACTGGGAGCGCTCATGCTTGCAAGGCCCTGGCACTATCCGACCCAGTCAGTGCATGGGAATGAAGCAAAGGGCGGCCCTATTCTTTGGACAGGTACCGCGCCAAGGCCCTATTCTTTGGACAGGTACCGCGCCAAATCCCTCTGGATTTACCATGTCAAAATACGGTTCCCCAGACAGTGTCAACTGACATTGATCCACTACGTACGTTCACCCCTGTTATACGTAGTACCGTTGCCTGTGCCTGATGCCGGATTCATTGTTTATTTCCCAGTCGGATCTCATAAAAGGAGTTCAACGTCTAGCAGAATGAGCCAAGGGCGCCGAAGTAGCTTCTCCCACACACCCTCGTCTCGGAAATACGCAACGTCCACCTCGTTGTTGCGGTCTTCGCTACAGTAATCGGCGCTACTCACGCATCTGGACCATCAGCTGCACAGGAGCTCTCTATGAGCTCTCTATCTGCCCGCCAAATAGGCCCGTATTCCCCCTGCTTCGGTTGCTCGACTTGCACCATCAACCCCAGTGGCTGTCCCGTGAGTAGCTTGCGATGCATGTGGACCTCATCTCATCATCATGAATTGCAGACATTCTGCTCCTCTACGGCCACTGCTCCGGCAACCGCCACTACGTCGGCTGTAAGCTCTTGATTTCACTGCTCTTGTGCTCGTGCAAATATTGATGACTTCGTACGGCTTGCAGATTAACACCGCTGCTTGATCTGCGCACTTGGGGAAACGTGTGAACTCATATGGAGTCTTGGCATGGCTGATTGTATACTTACGTCTTCTTCGTATCCTCATGTACATCGTGCTGTTCGTACGCTACCACTACTGAACGTTGAACGATCTAGGCTTGTGGACTGCGATAAGATAAGATTGGGCACTGTTTTTCACATGCTCCGCGTGCTCAAGTTTTCACGTGAAAACATCCATTCACCCCAACGTTACGATAGCACCTCCCGTTCATCTCGGTCCCTGCGCCTCACTAAACTCACATAGTCATCATTATTGCAAGATGTCGCTCGACGACGCAGACGAAAGTGTGCGCATCGCCGTGCGCGCTCTGGGCGACATGCGCACCCGCGGCGCGACGAGGAGCGTGGACGGAAAACCCAGTACACGAGAGGCGGAACACGATGGTGAGTACGATTTTGCGTTTTGCCCCAACGTAAACCATTGGCTGAGCGCAACGGATTCTTCTCCATATGTTTCTCCTGCGTCACTGTTGTATTCTGCTATAACGGTCGTACTGCGATTCGATGCCCACGCGGTTCTCTCGTTATGCCCCCCTCGCGATCCCGCTCGCCCAAACGGAAACACCGCCGCATATCCTCACCCGAACGTGCTGGCGCGTCTAAACCTGTCCTTGATGAAGTTACGAAGCCAGCATCGTCGTCATACACCACCCCCGCGCTGTCTTTAGCCTCATCCTCGTTCAGCTCGCCGACGGCATCATCTTTGCCCACGCCTCTGCAGTCCTCAAACACCTATATCTTCGACCAAGCAGCCGCCTCCAACATATCGCTTGATTATACCCCTGATCGTCCAATGCATCAGACGCCAAGCAACGGGCACGGACAAAACGCGGATTATCTCGCCAGAGTCTCCAGCATCCCCATTGTTAACTCAGCGCTTAGGGCGTACGAGCACGGCAAAGCATCATCCCGCATCGTTAATGTGAGCTGGTATCCCAGCGCCATGACGAGTTATCGATGCTGATTATCACCAGTATGGTGCTGGGATCGTCGAGTCCTCGATCTCGACCATTTCGCGCCCGGTGATAAACAGGCTAGGCTATAGCCGAAGAGCATCATCCTCTCAAGAGCAGCGCCCCACACTGGACCATCAGTCCAGTAGTCGAAACGACGAAAGAGAACTGTCTGTTGAGAGAGGTGGGGATGCGACAGTTGAAAGGGGCAGCAAGGGCCCAGATCGGGAGGAGGGGCTCGGTTTACATATTGCTTCGGGACAGGGTACGAGTCTTCATTACCTTACAAATGCATTTCCATTTAACAGAAGGGCATCCAGACGACGCATCTGCATCACATCAGATGCAATCTCTTTCAACAGATTCAGCATCTCCAACAGCCTCGCCGAGCGAAGCTAACGGTTCAAGAGAGGTGGCTCCTCGACCTCTGTGGCACACCGTTCTGCTCGAAGCGGGTGGCATCGGTACAGCCGTCACCGTGTCGGATGACAACTTGAGGCGGTTGAGGTACGCGCTCAGCTGGTTAGGGGTAAGCGAGCATCTCCTTCAAGAGTTTGTCTGGTTGACGTACATTCTTGTTCCCAGTATGCAACTGCCCACATTGACGCGCAAATACTGGTCCTTCGCGAGTTCATGGCCTCGCTCCAAAACCGGGTTGGCGGCAACGAGGTAGCCTTAGCCGGTATCCTATATTCGCAGATCAATACTCACCATCCACTATAGACCGTTTCGCCCGAACATATGCGCACTCTGAACAGCGTCAAACGCGACCTGGTGAGCACTATCCGCCAAGCGGTCGACGTGGTCAGCAAGTATGGTGGCGGGGCTCTGCCCGAGCCTGCGCGTAGTCGGGTACGTATCACGTCTCCCAGTTTATCTCCTCGGTTTTTTGTTTTCTGACCGTTTAATTCTTGCATATCTACTAGGTCAGAGGCTTCATATTGACTCTTCCTCAACGCTGGGCACGCGCAGCAGGCGGGAGCGGCGGTCCAGCTACCTCGCGCCCTGCACGACACGGTGTGCACCCACATGGGCACGAGGTGTCGGGGTCGTCTAAGACGTCTCCGCCCACGTCGCGATCCACTGCACATGCAGCTCGTCATGGATTGACAACTCCGTACTCACGGCCGACGTCACCGACGTCCACTGCGCCGTCTAGTCCACTGCACTCCAGAGTGAGCAGCGCAACAGACCTCACCTCGATGAACCGGGGAGTCGGACAAATGCAGATGCCAAGTCTAGAGGTGCTGGCTGAGGCGGCGTCATCATCAACGCCTGGTGCAGGGCCGTCAAGGTTGGCCGGGAGTGCGGACGGCGCTACGGAAGGCAGAGAAGGGGGAGAGGGCAGCTTTGCGGCAGTGCCGGTGTCGCAGGCTACGCACGCCGCGCAGAAAATCTTGTCGCTGGCTACAGAGAGCTTGGACATGATGAGAAGTGTGACCGGAGTTGTCAAGGACAGCTTGGATAAGGCGGATACGTACGTTTCTTTTGCCCATTCCCTTATAATCATACTGATCAATACGCCACCAGCTGGATTGAACGAATGCGTGCCGTTGGCATTCAACGTCAGCAGCCTGGTCAAGGGACACAAGAGGCGAATCATCCGGATGATATGCCGCCCATACCGGGCAGTGGTGCGAGCATGCACTTGCCTCCTCTCGACGCAATCCATCTCGCGGGAACGCAACCGTCCATGATGAACCAAGGAGACGTGTTGCACCACCTACCCGTGGACGAAGTGGAGAGGCTGAGCGAGCTTCGCATACGCTCCGCGACGGTGACTCCGAGGATGGCGTCGGGATCATTACCTGATATCGCGGAAAGAGCACGCGAGGGCGACGCGATGGACGAGGACGGAAACGCGAAGGCCGAAGGAGGCGGCTAATCACGACCGGACGAAATGGACGATGGTTTCGACATATTGGGATAAGTATAACGGTGAACATATTATGCCTATGCACTAGGCCTGTTCGTTATTCGCCAACGGGCTTCTCATTGCTGTTGTACTATACGATCGCTGTTAAGGGGCAGACAAACACGCTTTTCCTCGCTTGGAACCCTGATTCTCCGTTTGCTATATATGAACATGGGGTCTCTTTGTTCCGGTACGGATGCCGTGCACATTATCTTGAGGAGTGTTACTTACTGCGGAGGTAATAATGTTCACGCAACAATACGCCTTACAGCGTAGGGGCATCGATTGATGCCTGTTCCTGTCGTCTGCAGAGTTTGCTGCCATGTCACTGCGCGCACCAACCAACTTGGAACGTTTATGCGTGTGCACAATGTCAATTAACATTGTATCACCGACGTCCGTCAATGAGGGCATACTAATGCGATGGCAGATGTTGATGAACGTTACAGAGCAAGGCATTTGCATCGGGACAAGCAGAGACTCAATACAGCGTATGAATCATCCTCATCGAACATCTTTATAATCTTGAAGGCGAACCCGAGTAGAGGGTATAGACACTGAAAAGTAGAGAGAAAGGAGCGCCGAAACCTTCAACTCCAGATCACGTGCCTTTGGCCAAAGTCCATCCGTGCCTTCCCTTTTCGGACGTCAAAACCCTACGATCCCTTCAAGACGGCGAGATGGTGAGCTCTCAACCTGTGCTGAAATGCTGCTGGAGCCCTGTACGATGCGGAAGGAGTGCATCGAGGACTTTTGCAAGCGAAGGAGGAGTCGGAAGTGATGGATTGCAGGACTGAAGGATGGATGACGGAGAATGGTCGGTCGGGTCTGACATCGGGGGGACCAGTGGAGATTCTGGGATGTTGGACTATGGCTCCAGCAGCATTGGGGGTTGCTATGTCGGAACATTTGACTGACAACTTGCTTGTTTTATAGACCAAAGGTTCGTTCCTGCTGCGCGTCTGGCATACTTCCAGGACTCATCGTAACACCCGATTATCCTGTGTTCTGCTGCGTTTCTTCCTGGCACTCCCTCTGATTGTGCTGGTCGAACATTCCGAAAATTATAATGGACGAATCTGCGCCATGAATAGGTACCTCGTCCTTCGGGTAAGTTCGATCGCTCCAGGACACCCGCGTCGCTCCTTCCTAACTGTTTACCCGTAGTAAGCGCCACACAAAGTCGCATACACTCTGCCGGCGTTGCGGCCGCCGTGCCTTCCACAGGCAGCACAAGGGTGAGTGTCAAGGTCTTGCGTCTTGGACGGAGAGCGCTGCTTCGCCTCCCGAAGGGGTGTCTGACACTCTGCCCACAGAGTGCGCTCAGTGCGGATACCCCTCCGCCAAACTCCGGTCGTACGAGTGGGGCCAGAAGGCGAAGCGCCGAAAGACCACCGGCACTGGACGCATGAGGTACCTCAAGGAGGTCTCCCGGCGGTTCAAGAACGGCTTCAGGTGGGTGTAACGTCTGATCTTCATGACGGCGGCTCCGCTAAGCGCAGAGCCATGCCGTCGCAACGTGTCTTCCTCCTGCCGCCCTTGTACCATCGGGCTGACGTCGATTCTCCCGCAGGGAGAACACGGTGGCAAAGAAGAAGGTTTCGAAATCTACCGAGGCGTAAATCACTCCTACGTTCTCGCTTCTTTACGCTACCGCTGTGTTGTTGTCTATGGTACATCGCCCACGCCTGCATGCCCAAAATCCATGACCCATGCCACCTCATGGCTTGCCCTGTACTACCCGTGCAAATTTCGTGTTTGTCGTCCGCGGCGGACAGACGGAGTCTGAGACCCACTGCGGCTGCGTGAGACTGATATGGAAACGGAGTTGGTTGCGAAGCGATGATCGGAGCTTCCCATCGCCAGCAGGTAATCTTATCGGCTACGGAGAAACCCTGATCTGGACGAATGCTGAGGCTTTCTGGGGGCAACGTTGAGGGCGTATGCTGATATGCATCAGCCGCCCGCGTCCGAAATAATCTGGCCGGGCTGGGGCCGTTTGAGCGGTGCAAAAGGAGGAGATGGAGGCGAAAGATGGGAGGGGACCGCCGCAAATTGGCGGCGCCTGATTGGGCGGGAATTGACTCCGACCGTTATCAGAGCCGGGTCACGTAATTCCACCTCGCCTCGACCCCGTCTGGTGCAATCTCATCTTGCCCCTCTCCGAGCGGCGACCACCACCGTCCGCCTCCGCCTCTCCTTCCCCTCCACCATGTCTCCCGTCGCGATATTCAACGGCATATCGCCCTCCACGCCCCTCGCGGCCATCGGGAAGATGCAGTTCCCAGACCACCCCGCCCGCTTCGACCAAGACAAGCAGCCGTCCCCCCCGCGCATCCAACCACAACCGCATCCCAGGCAGGACACACCCAGGGAGGAGCGACCACCCCCCGACGCAGATAGAACCGACGACAACGCGCCGGCCTCACCAACCGCGTCCGCTCCCGCGTCAAATCCGACCCCCGACCCGACGAGCACCGCACCGGTGACGCCTTCCTGCACGAATTGCGGGACGACGACAACCCCACTCTGGCGACGCGACGCCGAGGGCAAGTCGATATGCAACGCCTGCGGTGAGTCCCATCAGCCAACCCCTTGCGCGCCCTCGGTATTTGGAACCCTGCACTGGTTGGCCCGCCACGTGTCCCTCAAGGGGACCACGCAGATGCGTGTTATCCGCCCCGTTTCGCTCGACCAGACCGCAACATCGAACCTTGAACGCGCGTCCATGGCGAGGCTATCGCCTGTCTATCGGGTTGCCTCTGCATGTTCGATCGATTCCGGGTCTGTTATTGGGCGAAAACGGCGGATCACCTCGCTCAGATTGCGTGCCGAATCTCCATCTCCTCGCAACTATCGACCCGTCCATGCTTCCAGTAGCTGACCATACCTTCGTTTCATCTCACTTTGTGATGATGTGCAGGCCTTTATCTCAAGTCGCGACGCGTGCCAAGACCCTCGTCCCTCAGTCGTACATCCACCCCCTCTCTCCCACCGAACAAAGGGGACTCTACGAGCTCCTCGGCTACATCAGCCCCGGTCACCGGTAGCTCCCTGCGGCAGATGTCGCCTGTCTCCCCCTCCCAAGCCACGCAACAGCAGCACAAGTCCTCGACGGACGCGAACGCCATGAACGGTAAATTACCTCCTGTGCCCGCCGAGGATCCGGCGCAAAGCCACGGGACCTGTCCTGGGGACGGTCGATGCGACGGCACCGGCGGTTCCAAGGCGTGCTCCGGCTGCCCGACGTACAACAACGCGCTGAACGCGCGTCTTGCAGAGCAGGGCGAGGAATCTCCTAACAAGGTCGCTCAGAACGCCCAGTCTGCGAGCGAAGCCGAAGCGGAGGCGCCTAGCGCAAGTCAGCAGAAAAATGCGCGCGCTGCCGGCAAAGGCGCCGTAGGCGCTCTCAGCTGCGCGAACTGTGGTACAAGCACGACGCCGCTATGGAGGCGCGATGACGTCGGAAACAACATCTGCAACGCGTGCGGTGAGTGTCTTTTCAGTAGTCGGGACGCGAAGGCTCCACTTTTCGCGTTCCCGGAATTAACCGAGCGTCGTGCATGTGGTCCATGTGGTCATTCCACAAACGGCTCCTCGGTTGCGCGCGGGCCCGTGCGATGATTTGCACGTCCTCGACATTGTATCTAATCAGATTACTCACACGGATCCCCTTGCCGTTCCCCATGGTTTTCGACGTGTTGGACGCTGTGCTCACCCATCACCTTGCGCAGGTCTTTACTTCAAGCTCCACGGCACTCATAGGCCCAACTCTATGAAAAAAGCGGTTATTAAGCGACGGAAGCGTGTGCCTGCGGCCGCGGGTGCACAGGGAGAACGGGATCGTATGACGGACCAAGCCGCCGCCGAAGCTCTCGTTTCTGTTGGCCGTGGCCACGATCGTTCAGGAGACGACGAGGATGACGACGAGGATGACCGGGAGGTACAACCCAAGAGAAAACGCGCCAGGAGGTCGCGACCTATGGAGCCCGTGGGACGGTCCGGTATGAGGCCGCGAAGGGGTGCGACTAGGCAGGCAGAGATCGAAGATGACGATGACATGGACGAGGATGACGATGATTATGGAAGGCGTCGGGCTGCCCGCTCATCCCCTTCAACTACTGAGCAGCGCCTGGTTAGTAGTTTTGTGTTTGGTACGTCTGCCCTTGCTGACCATCCTTGGTCACAGCGCAATGCTGGCATGTTCCATCAACCCTCGCCGGGTCCTCATGGGGGCGGGTATGGATTCGATCTCCCGCCCTTGAATGCCGCCCTCGCGGCTGGCGTTGGGGGCATGTATAGTGGCATTGGAATTGGTGGGCCATCCAGCTATATGCGTTCTGGGTCTGTTCCCAGCCGCACGGACTCACCTATGGGTGCAATGGCAGGTGGTGCTGGACCCCAGTTCGGCCTCCCTCCTGTGCCAGGCTTCTATGGTGGTCGCGTGCCCAGTCCCGCCATGGGTCGCTCGAGGTCTCCCCCGCATCATATGATGGGTGGCATGCATTCCGGAGTACCGAGTGTTGTGGAGATGGAGAGGCATTACTTCGAGCTGTCGGAACAGAAGCGAAAGTTGGAGGAGATGTTGGAGAAGACCGATCGGATGATGCTCGGGCTGAAACGCGGCATGGACGAGATGAGGGGCGTCGGCTCACAAGTCTACACGTCCCAGAGCCAAGCGCAGCAGTCTCTCCCGCAAATGGGGATGCACCACCCGCAACAGCAGCAGTCGCAGCAGATGCCGAGGGTCTCGCCCGATCACCAGCAGCAGCAAGCCCTGGCTCGGATGGGAGAACATCAGCAGCAACAGCAGCAGGCGCTCGCGCGGATGAGTTCAAGTTCTGCGGCGCCGATGTCGATGCCATTGGCGCTCAATGCGAGGCAGGATAACGATAGACGCGAGCCGGTGTGGCCCGTCATGGAGGCTGGAGCTCCGCAGGGGCCTCGAGATTAGAATGCTCAGCTCATAGACATTGATCCTCGCGATACGATTCAGCCACCATATGCCTCGACTTCATGCTTCCCCGACACCCAAAATCCCGTCTCGCCGACTATGCGCATGCGTAGTCGGACGGTCAACGTGCCCGCTGCCTATATCTATCGGCATCTATTACTCCCCAGGACAGGGACCTATGCTTGTTCTATAGCTATCTATGCGCCTCCATCCATGACTTTCCCTCTCCTTCGCGCTGCGCCAAGTGCCCCGCTCAGTGACGGCATCGACCACGTACCCACTCTCGCTCTCGCTCTTTGTTTCGTTGCTCGCGCCCCCTCCCCCCCCTCCCCCCTTCCGTCTGTCCCCCATTTTGCTCTTGACTGTACGCCTCCTCTATCATTGCATATATTCGCTATATGATCATCCCCGGCGGGTGGTCGTCGCCTAAACCGCGCGGCCGTCTATCTTATCTTCATTTGTTGTCCCGCCTCTGTAATCCTTCCTTTCGTCTATCTTTGTAGTGTATATATTTCTGTTCATTTGCCACTGGTTTCCACAGTGTACGGCGTCGATGCGTGCCCTTTATCAGTGCCTCGTTCACTCGTTACTGTACTTGAACACCGTGTAATGTCATTTGCTACACCTTCTGCTTCACCGTCCGTCCTGGACTTCTCGGGGGAAAAACAGAGGGAACATATGATTGTTGGGGTGTATCAGTAGTTGTCTCGATCCGCCATACAACCCCAGCGACGTAAAACGCGCACCTCGCCCTTTTCTGCCGCCTTGACAGCTTTTCCTGGCCAGGATGAAGGCGATAGCAGGGACAGCATAGAGGCTTGGAGCGTTGCATATACTCGCGGAGACAAAGGCTGAGTTTTGACGTGGGAGATGAGACGGGCGGCGATTACGCGCAATCCGAGGGAGGCTTTGTTCATCTTCCGGTCACTTCAGGGTCTTTCCCGCTCCGTGGACCCACAGAATTTCGCCATCAGCCCTGGACCCACAAACCACCTCACTGGCATCGATTCTGTTTCCTCCAAGCGGGATTTCTGCTCTGGCATGCCTCAACGCTCTCGTAGACCATGCAGCAAGAGGCTGTCGATCTCCTCGACGCGCGCGACACTAAGCATGCACCTGATGGCGGATTCGCCAGGCTGGAACGAGGGCCATGCATTCCTTACAAAATGCTGTCGCCCTGCGGTCTTGTTCACACGTCGCGTTGGCTTCGGTGTGGTCACCATTTTGCCTCCATCATTCATGCGAAGGCATTATCCCGCATTCTGCAGCCTACATTAACTCCCGCCGTGGAGTAACGGCTGCTTCGAGTCCGCTTCGCCTCCCCCATCATGAACCAGGTTGAAGACACCGAGGTCAACGTCGATGTTCAGCATCCGAGCCGCCCCCCGAGTCCACCGAATCACGTCCGGGACGAAGAGAGCGAACGTCAGCATCCCGATCCTTCTCCGATTCCCCCTAACTTTCTTATCATGCTCGAAGGCCCGCGAGGCGACCAGGCAGAAGATACGGGAATGATTCGCTCCAATACCCCCTCTGAGGCGCAGCCGGACGAAACGACTCAGACCAGACCAGTTCGTCCAGATTTCCAGGAAACCTGGCTCATCGCCTCACCAATGCCTTAGTTTGAAACCCCCCCTCCGAACGATGACCGTTCGTATATAAGGAACAGCCTGAACGGGCCGTGGATCCCAACAAGTCCCCCGGAGGTACGCGATCAGAATACATGCACAGGGCGAGCCGTATCGTGACGATGATTTAGGACGAGGAAGTGCTACCCGATGTTCCCCCGGACTCGCAAGCATCTCTAGATCACATCGCATCAAAGGTGACGTACGGCTTCTCTCCTCAATCGGTCAGCTCACTTATCGATGTTGCAACCAGGTATCAATGCCCGTGCCGCAACCCCATTATCAAGGCATTGATGACCCCTTGAGCGGTGCTAAAGATACCTGGGGGACGATATTTGAAAGAGTCATGGCACAGGATACCGCCATGGTGGAAGCCTATACCACCGACATTGACGGGCTGCTCATATTTGTGCGTTGCAACTGTTCGCCAGTCGAAGGTTGTTCTGACATGGTCTGCGTCACAGGCAGGCCTTTTCTCGGCCGTCCTAACGACTTTTATATCGCAAGTGTATCCCCAATTGCAGCAAGACAATACCCAACTTTCGGCCCAGATATTGGGCGATATATCTAGGCAGCTCCAGAACATCTCTACTAACCAGGCTGCAACCGCTACCTCGGCACCCTCTTCATCGGCTCCCTTTACGCCGTCTCGAACCTTCATCATTGTGAACGCTCTCTGGCTAATGAGCCTCCTCTCTGCACTGGCCCCTGTTCTCCTAGGACTCTTCGTCAAGCAATGGCTTCGAGAGTACATCACTTGGACCCGCATTTCCCCTCATGATGTTGCGTTGCACAGGCGCGAGTACCGTCATGACGCCTTCCAGAAGTGGCAGGTGGGCAACATCGCCACTGCCCTCCCGGCACTCCTCCAACTTTCCTTGGTTCTCTTCTTCGCGGGGTTGATCGTGCTCCTGAAGAGCCTCAGCGACACTCTTATGATCGTGGTGTCTGCGGCGGTGGGGGCGATCATGTTTTGTGTTGTGGCCGTTCTCGTGCTACCCGCCTTCAGAAAGGACTGCCCCTACCGAAGTCCCCTCGCTTGGACCTTAGTACGCGTTGCGATTGCGCTTCAGAGTTCTTTCCGGAGCATTGCGTCCTGGAGGAAAAGCCCGAAGGCGAAGGATGAATCAGAACCCCAGAAAGACGATTCGGAGGGTCAGACGAAGGGTGGACCACAGAATGAGACGAACGCGATAGCTGGAACTGGATCGGGGGCTGGGACGGGACCCGTATCTCGGAGCGAAAACAGGGCGGCATCACATGCGCATCCATCCGGACCCGGGTCTGGTACACGCAACGACGCCGATGTGGAGAAGCAGTCCCCCCATTCTTCCAAGGATAGATGGCGCCGACTACGGTTCTGGTTCCAAAGTCGTGATCGACTGTACAAGTTCGAGACAAAACCTAAGGACTGGATCCATCGGATCAAGACCAAGTTCCTCGCCAGGCTCAATGGTGAACCAAAGATCGTGGTGGCAAACCACGCGCCACTTCCAGGGACGATTGGTCACAGCACGGGTTCAACTAGTACTGAATTGAAAATCCACATACGCCCTAAAGGATTGGGCCATACTTGGGACAGAAGGGACTCTGAGGTGCCGTCTATGCAAGGTGTTGTCTACGACGTCGCATGGAAATGCCGAACACTCCTCTGGGTCGCTTCACATGAAAATTTTAGCGAGACATTCCTGGTACGATGTATAAACGAACTCTCTTCTTTCCAGTACATCCTCGATAAGCAGGAAGTGAAGAAGAACAGCCTTTTCGAGGGCGAAGACAGTCCGTACCGGCGCCTATGCGCGTCCTGGTTGGCCATCGCTGGGCACCTCGGTTACAAGACTTCCGGCTCCCTCGAACTCAACGACCACATGTGGGAAATATTTCACTATGGGATCCGACAGGATTGGAGATACGGCCAGCTGAGTCAGTTGCCGGAAGCGCTTAAAATAGTTAACAAGCAAGTCTCCGCTATTGACCCCCGGGAACGCGCCACGATGTTTCACTTGCTGTGCCATGATATCGAAGCTGCGCTGGACCATGGGGTGCCCCCCGATCTGCCTACGAAGGCGTCTCCCTTCTCCGAAGACAACCTGCAGTGTCTGTACGCTGTGAGCCTCTGCTTCCTCCGGATGTTATGCCACCGCAGAAGCAATCTCCACACGAAATACGTTCGCCTCCTTCTCCGGGTATCTATGAATCACGAAGCGTTGCTGTGGCCCAAGGATGACAAGCATCATTATGGGCCGCAAGTGTGTCTTAGCCTCCTCGATGATGTCTTGATTGCCGTAGAGACTATCCGTGAGTAGAATCCTCTCCTATTTCATCACACTTGACTGACCGCCGTCTTCAGGTTGCGAAGTCGACGACTTCCTCGCGATCTTAAAACTCGCCACAGAATGGTTCACGGTCGTCGAGAAACGGCTGGAAGAAAAGACGATATCACACTCATTCTGGGCTGGTCCTCCTTGGCATTATTGGTCTATTGTAAACGCGGCCGTATCAATGGAGCTTTCAACGGCTCAGCACACTGAGAGGGCCCGGGTACAGAAGGCGGTCCGACAACTCCTGGAAAAAGTGCAGAAATTGATGGAGGACGAGCTTGCACGGCCAACATACAGCATTCCGCATCATTTCGAACCCAAATTTGGTCCCAGTAATCCTTTCATGCCCCGCTTCATCCTCTTCTGCGGACGCCACAAGGACGCTATTCCCAGCAAACTACCTTCGATCCTAGATGAATGCATCGCAAGGGACCTTATTAATCTCTTCAAACCGGAATACGAAGATTTCATGGCGCAGCACATCGCGCGCGATGATTGGGCAAGGAAGCAACGCAGAAGATTCATCTGGAAAAACGGACTGTTGCCGAAACGAGTGGTCCGTAATTATGGCTGCGCTTCACCGTCGCGTCTCATGCTTACCTTCACGTTCAGAAAAAGGAGGAGGATGAAGCTCCACGAGTCGCAATGCCTGAGCCAGAAGCGAATTCCGGGCAGGATGCAACGTCTGAACCGGCAGCGGTAGCTGAGCCGGCTATGACACCTGGACAAGCAGCGATTGCCGAACCGGCGGTAGTGCCCGACCCAAACCCAGCACTACCTTGGCAGGCAACGATGCTCGAACCTGTAGTGACTCCTGGTTCTATGGCGATGCCCATTCCAGGGCCAGCGGCGACGCCTGGACCAGAAGCGACCAGCGGGGTCGTGGCGTTTCCTGGGCCAATAGCGATTCCCGAACCACTACCAGTATCAGTGTTCGGGCAAGCAGCAGTTCCTGATCCAGCAGCTGTCCCCGGGCCTGGAATCCCCAGGCCAGCAACGATCCCCGGGCAAGCAGTGGACGTAGGACAAGAGACCATGCTCAGCACACCTGCAGTACGATCCGCATCAATTACGGCATCAGGTGCGGAACCGGGGCAAGCAACACGTTCGGTACGATCCGTGACGGCTTCCGAATCAAGTCTAGCATCAGAACAAGGAATAGCAGAGTCATGGCAAGCAACACCGTCACCACGATCCACGGCGCCTTCAGTACGATCCACGACGGCTTCAATACGATCCACGGCGCCTTCTGAGTCAAGTTATGTATCAAGCTCGCATACCATGGAATCATATTTCGGAACATTGCCGCCAACTTGAAGATGCGGTGACTTTCAATGATGTAGCCATATGCGCTTGACCCCGAAACCCGATTCGACCACATGTATAGTACCGACCTGTAGCTTAACATGAATCATTATTCACGAGACCTGAATTAATTTGCATGGGGACGCGCTAAGAGGTGTTTGGTCCACTGGTTGTTCACAGCGCTCTCGCAACGGCATGGTGATGATCGAAGTACGTGATACTTACAGTCCAAGACGCTGTCGAGAAAACCGGAAACAGCTGGACAGGCAGAGCGTGTGAATTCTTCCTCTGGGTTTTGTTTCGTTTTCGGCAACTCTTTGTGCTCCGATCCCCAGCGACTCCTAAAGTATATGGCCTACGGATTTGCTGTCCGCGTTGCCCTTGGACCCACAGACCTCCAGCGTTTCAGCTATCGATAACAGAAAGAAATCCTCAGTCTGCTCGCAAATACTCTGATCTGAGACCGCGCGTGTGTCGTCGACGCGGTCTGCATTGACAAAAGGGCGAGGAACACACCCGGGCCTGTAGGCTGTACATCGACGACCTCGACCTTGTGTTCCTTACGCCATGCTGTCGCCCCGCGATTTCGTTCACACGTTTCCGCTTCCAAAGGCGTCTTTGTCTGCCGTCAGTGCGGTGAGCTCCATTGCATCTCCAGCCTACCATACCCGTGTGCGCGACTGCTTTGGATCCATCTCGCCTCTTTCATTATGAACCCGGCGGCCTCGCTGTCGCCTTACGAAGTGTTTCTCGAAAACGCTCGGGATTGGCACAACAACTACGTCCGTGAGCACGGTAACTCGGCGCCTCCCACACCTACCCTGCGGCCCTCTGTTCAAGACCGAGACGATGAGGCATCAACGCAGAGGACCTACAGTCCCGTCAGTAGCGACTCCTCGGCACCGGAAATAGGAGTATGATTTCGTCCATCGCCGACCAATCGATGTATGACACTGCACTAGAACTACGCCAGCGCTCCTGACCGTGGTTCTTGGGTATTAAACGAGGAAACCGGAGAACCAGTCCGTATAAGAAACGAAGCCGACATGGTGCGCATACGAAACAGATCTGGTGCACCTTCATGCGTTGTAACGTGAGTTGGATCTTAGAGTCAAGCGGAGTACCCTGTTATGTTGGAAGACATGGCTGTGCCGGTGTGTGCTCTCGTTATTCCATCGTACAATCGCTCATCTGCCTCCGTGGATGGCCTCAGATGCCCGTCCCACAAGCATATAGTCACCACACCTCAGCTCCGACTCCTATTGCTCCCCAAGATCCCTGGATGTTGATGTACGAAAGAGTCAAGATACAAGATACTGCCATGGTCGAAGCATACGCATCCGACATCGACAACCTGCTGATATTTGTGCGTTTCCACCTGTCGCGTCGAGATGCGTTTTCATATCATGTGGACCTCACAGGCGGGCCTGTTCTCTGCCATTCTCACGGCCTTCCTTGCGCAAGTGTACCCACAGCTGCAGCAAGACAACACTCAGCTTTCTGCTCAGATTCTCGGTGACTTATCCAGGCAGCTTCACGGCATCGCTGTGGGCTCGCCGGTGAACGCAACTTCTGCGCCGTCGCCCTCGGCTCCTTTCACACCACCTCACTCCGTGATTGTCGTCAATGCCCTCTGGTATACGAGTCTGCTGTTCGCACTGGCTCCGGTCCTGATCGGACTCTTCGCAAAGCAATGGCTTCGGGAGTACCTTTCATGGACTCGCGTTGCTCCCCACGACTTGGCACTGCATAGGCGAGCGTGCCGTTACGACGGCTTCCGGCGTTGGAAAGTGAAAGGCATCATCACCGCCCTTCCGGCCTTACTGCAGATATCTCTGATCCTTTTTTTCGCCGGGTTGATCGTCCTCCTTCATACCCTCAGCACTGTCATTCAACGCTTAGTCGCTTCGGTGGTGGGATTGACGCTGCTATGCGTCGTCGCTATGCTTGTCTTGCCAACAATCAGGACGGATTGCCCTTACCGAAGCCCTCTCGCTTGGACCGTGGTAGAGGCAACGCTTCTGATAGATCGCGTGACCTCTCGGGCAAAGCCGTTCTGGATGAAAAGATTGCAGCCCGTGCTCGCGGCCGTGCAGAAAGCGCCAAAGAAGCTTGTCGGTGCGCGGATCGTACAGGCAGCGCGAGACAAGCTATTCGGAAACTTGAAGGTTCCCCCGGTGACTTCACAAGAGAAGGATGTAGAGCAGCAGATTACGAACCCCGACCCTCGGGCGCCACACGTCACCGATACAAACGTTACAAATGATCAGGGGAAACAAGCTGCTTCGCATGGCAACGCAAACCGGTCGTTCCAGCAGTCGAATCGGACCAACGTCAAGAAACTGGTTTCGGAATACTTGCGTCAAGGATCATCCTGGCTAAGGACAAGATGGCCTAAGGTGCTGGTCATCAGGCGCCCCGTCGATCGCTCGCGGTGGAAGGTGACGGTTCCGATGCTGGTACCCCAGCAAGACCAGTACCCTGGATTTACTATGCAATCAGTCGTGAATGCTCTCCGCGTTCATATTCGTCCCAAGGGGTCGGGAAATACCTGGGACAGGAGAGATTCCGAGAGTCAGTCGATGCTAGGTCCGGTCCATGACATCGCGTGGAAATGTCGCTCCATCCTTTGGGTTGCCTCGCACGAGAATGTTAACGAGGACTTCCTTCAGCAAAGCATCCGTGGGCTCTCTTGTTCGCACATTGTCTTCGAACAGTCCAGAAATCGGAATGAACTCTTCGGAGGAGGTGACAACCCCCACAGACGCATGTGCGCGTATTGGCTAGCCATTGCAGGACACCTTGACTACAAACCCCAGCAACTCAACGATCACATGTGGGAGATTTTTCGCTACGGTTTCACCAACCTCGACTTCCACACTTCCTCTCATTTCCCGCCCCAACTCAGCACCCTTCATCGTCGTTTGGCCGATCTGGACCCTCTTGAACGTGCTGCCATGTTTCACCTGCTGAGTTCCGGGATCCTTAGCGCAATTGCGTTGGAGGAACCCTTGCCGCTGCCAAAGCCAGCATCGCCTTTCACTGAGGAACATTTACAGGCTATGTATCAAATGAGTCTGCATTTCCTCCGTATTCTCTGCCACCGTCGAAGCAATCTGCATCTACCATACATCCGCATTGTACTCCGCACGATCGAACGCTACAACCGGCTACCCTGGCGTGAGGAAGTGCATAGATCATATCCCGGACCTGAGGTATGCGGCAAGCTTCTTCATGATGCGTTATCGAACGTCGACAGTGTTTGTAAGCGTGCTATACCGAACCTCCGTGCTATAGGAAACTCAACAAGTTCAATGCAACAGCTTGTGGTGTTGCAGACTACTGTGCCAGCGTGGAACTTGCGACGAAGATCTTCGAAAATTCGGTATCAGGGCCAGATGAGAACGAACACGATATGCTGCAGAATGTCGCAGTCTGGCCTGTCGCGCACGCGGTCGTATCGCTCGTCTTGCCCCCATTCTCCCGGAACAGTGAAGTGGTAGAAAAAGTTACCTCTCGCTTCCTGCAGAAAGTGGTGGAGGCCATGTCACGAGATATAGAATATGAGTATGGTAGGCCTAAGAAGCCGCTTCTAGGACCGAACGACCCCCGAAGCACGTTCATACCTCGTCTGATCACTTTCTGCGGCCGTCACAAAGGTGCCGTTCCTCTAGACCTTGCAGAAGTTATGTGCCTGGCCAGGGTAAAACGGTTCTTCAATGTCTTTGATTGGAAATACGAGAAGTATTGGAACGCGCACCTCTCAGACCAGGCATTGCGCAGGAGGAAATCCCTCGAGATTTTGCACAATAACGGACTTGTTTTCAAACTGCCGGTGCGTCAGCTATTCCTCTAATATTCCGAGATGTCTCCTGATTGCCAACATGGATAGAACAATGAGCGTTCGGATGACGAGAACGGAGCACAGGACGCGGAATCTATCGCGATATCGATGTTTGAAGGGGAACCGATATCTTGAACTACTGGCGAACGCAGCGGTAAAGCTGCACATTGTACCTTGATCTTCACGATGACCCCAATGATGTAGCACTACAAGCCACCTCAGACGGCGATGTAGCTTAGCAAGTCTTCGACGTGAATCTGGACGAGATGAATAAGTTTGGGATAGCGATGCATTGCATGACTTGTCAAGCACGGATGGGCCTGCACAACGTCGACGTAATTCTGAAGTGCATTGGTGATTGCTACGTAATACATTCCTTTAGTACAGGTATTCGCTTTCGATCCATTGCAGAGCAAAGAACACCGGAAACACGATTCATTCTAGCGGCCATCAGAATGTGCTGCCTTCCGGGGGTTGAGGAAGCTTTCTGTTGCTGGGGCCAGCCATTTCCCTGGAACAGGAGCAGGTGAGGATTGACATCTACAGTACGAAATGCGTACGCGCCTCCTGATCTCCACTAGTACGGTTTCGATACTGTTGTTCCTGTTCCAATGCGCGAGCACCGGGAGTTTCGATGGATCAACCTTGCCATCGGTCTGGTTGACGAACGGCAAGTTCACTCGAGATAAAAACTGGATCGTCGGCGGGCGATCCGGATATTCCGGTCCACAGTAGATCTTCAGGCTGTAGATGCGATTCTCGTGTACGGTCTTTATATACGGCAGGGTTGTTCGAATGGTGACGGCGAGGGCGATTAACGCCGGTTGCATAAAAAATCCTCCATCCTTCAACGATCCGTCTTTGAGTAAGGTAGAATGGATCACGTACGTGTCCAGGACCAATGATCGTGCCATTCCAATCGGACATCGTCATATCATCGCCGTTGTCCTCGAGACCATACGAGCAGGAGCCGTCACCGATTCCCTTCTCGCCTTTCTCGAGCTCTTCGAGCAGGCGGAAGTTACGTGGAACTATAAGCTTGTCAGATACCAATAATGCACGATACGCAGCTGATCGGGCGGACCTTTGGCCATGAATGCGGATGTGGGTGAAGTACAACCTGTACGCAGCGGCTCCGAAGGCAGTGCTGCTAAGCCCGCTAAGCGGGGATGCCACATCGCTGATTGCTCTCGAGCTCATATATTCCCTCCGCAGCGGCCCGCAGGATACATCCTTCCCTGCTCCTCTACTCACTCTACAGCTACGAATGTTTCGGGGCGCTCAAACCAACGCGTATGATGAGATTGTTGGTGAGCGCGGCTAAAAGGAGATGATATTGAGCTCTTGGTTGACGTATGCATGCAGCCAAGACGACCGATGAGAACCTCACGGGAGAGAACTGGGAACTCATCCTCAACTTGTGCGACAAAGTGACTGACGAAGGAGAGCAGGGGTACGCTATGCGGCAAACGTCACATATGCACTGACCGACCGCCGCTACGTAGTGCACGTAATGTTGTTGCTGCGATCTTGAAGCGCCTGGCGCATCGCAACGCCAACGTCCAGCTTTACGCTTTAACTCTCGCCGAGGCACTCACGAAGAACTGTGGAATCGTCGTTCATCGCGAGATTGCGTCTCGCGCCTTCACACAAGGGCTCGAGAAGATAATCACAGACAGGGTCGGCCATTTGCCGTGTAGCCATGGATCTTGCTGATTTGTGCATCATAGACGACTCACGACAAAGTTCGCAAACGCGCTCTTTCGCTAATTGCCATGTGGACGGCCGAATTCGAGCACGATCCATCGCTGGGCATAATGGAGGAATGCTATCATAATCTTCAAGCGAAGAGTACGCGCTCGAGTGGTTTCCGGGCGATATACTTTGCTCATATTCCCGTATAGATTATAAGTTCGAGACTCCACAAGAGGCCCCGCCTCCTGATGTTGATGACGAGATCCGCAGGCGTGAGGAGGAAGAGCTGCAGCGTGTTCTCGAAATGAGCGTGCAGGACAAAGGTGGACGTGGCAACTGGGCCGAATACTCCGCATACTCTGCTCCTGGAGCTGGGTCTTCCTCTGGCGCTGGCCCCTCTGGTTCAAGCGCGGGACCATCCGCCGCATCATCAAGCTCTCGCTTTGGTACATCCTCATCTTCATACGCAGGTCCTTCGTCCGCTGCGGGCTCCTCGAATTCGCTCCAGGATCATCCTGAGCAGAGTAAGCCTAGTTATGCTGCTTACTCGCCTGCATATTCTGGAGGATACGCGCCTGCGGCGGCACGGAGTCCGTCGCCGGTCGTCCCAACGCCCACTAGCTATACCTCTCAAACTACTGTGGGGGCAGGTTACAGCATCCAGACCCCGGTTCCAACTAGTACCACGCCTGCTCCCGCTGACCCCGTGCAGCCTAGTGCATCCGTTGTTACTCGCGTGCGGGCTCTTCATACCTTCGAGACCACGGAACCGGGGGAACTCGCATTCGGGAAGGGTGATATCATCAAGGTAGTGGACCGTGGCTACAAGGACTGGTGGCGTGGTCAGCTCAAGGGCAGAACCGGAATTTTCCCAGTCAATTATGTGGTACGCGCGCTGTTTTTTCGCGTTTATGAATGCTGTGTGTCTGACGCTCATGGAATACCGTAGGAACCTCTTCCGGAACCGACGCCTGCTGAGCTGGCCAGAGAGGCAGAACAAGAAGCGGCGGTTTTCGCTCAGGCAGCTAATGTTGATCGCCTACTCACCATGCTTCGTGAAATGGAGAAAGGAAACAGTAATGAGAATCTGGCCGACAACGAAGAAATCCAAGTAAATGAAGTGTTCTACTTGCATCGTTCATTCAGAGACTCACAATTTTGAAGGAGTTGTACCGGACCAGTATGGCTTTACGTCCGAAAATCGTAAAACTTATCGACAAATATAGTCAGAAGAGGGGTAAATGAATCTTGTATCTGTTGGTTTCATTGTCTTGACCTCGAGTATTTCAGCTGATCTCGTTTCAATGAACGAGACATTCGTGAAGTCAAAGGCTATCTATGACCGCATGATGGAGGAGAGCATGGCCAGAGTGGACGGTAATATTTATCATTCCCTTGTGACCACGCCATTTCTGAGCATATCCCCTGATGTAGCTTATGCTCGTCCCGGGTATCGTCCTTCGCAGTATGCAACGCGGCCGGAGCCACATTACGGCGGGCATACTCCGGCACCGGCTGCCCCTCAGGCCTACGGATGGAACGCCAACTTGTATGATCAACCTGGCTACAACGCGTATCCGGCACCTGCTCAGGCTTACCCTCCCGGCCACGAAGGGACTTACCCGACCCTTCCGGCTCAATCTCACGTCATGCCTCAGCAGCAGCCATCCGCCGTGCCACCTCAAGGATATGATCCCAACCTCTATCAGCAACCTCCCGTGCAGAACTCGGCAGGTTATGCACCAAGTTATGGACCGGGCCCCACTGGTCAGAGTATTCCCCAGCAGCCTGCTCCATATCCTACTGCCACCCCAGGGTCAGGTGCCACCGGTACCACACAGCCCCAAGGTCAGGCACAACCTGGTTATGGCGGGCCCGCTCCTGGTGCATATGGACCGGGGTACGCACAGAACGCTGTACAACTTCAACAGGCACCATTGTCACAAGGCACCGCGCCTGGAGGTCCACAGCCCGCAGTGCATAGCGCTCCTGGACAACAACCTCAGCTGGAAGTCCAGCAACCCAATCAAGCTCACACACAACCCCAACAGCAGGCGCAGGGCGCTTCCGGCCCGCCCTACGCCTATGACCCCAACACAACATACGCCGATCCCAATGTCCAGGCCTGGGCTCAGTACTACGCACAGGGCGGTAAAGACCCGACGGGCGCTGTGTACTTCCTTTCTGTCCCCGGCGTCAAGGAAGGCCCTCCTCCAGCTGACACTGCTTCCACCCCTGCATCCTCAGCGACCGTTCATCCGCAGCCTGCTATGCAGAATCACCCTGGTGTAGTGCAGCCGGCGTCACCACAGGGATTACGCGAACACTCGCTGTCCTACGGAAGTCCGAGCGAACCCCAACCATTGGAGTCCAGTCTGTCGAGAAACACGAGCGTCGCGAGCACCGCAACCCAGCACTCCTTGGCGCATAACCTTCCACCGATCGAGGCGACGTCGCCTCTGACCCCATCTAGCCCGTACTCGCAGAGCGGCGGTTCTCCCCCTGTTTCTCAACCTAGTATTCAGCAGTTCAGCTACGGCGCGGCGGCTTCTGGACCGCCGGGCGGTGCTCCCGGATATGCTGCAGCGCCACAGAGTCCGACTCAAGGAAGTGATTTGGCGTCCCAGCAGGGATGGCACACACAGTATCAGACAGTAACCAACCAGATGGCCAATATCCATATGGGTTCTGAACTTGGTCAGACGCCCGGTAGTCAACCACCACACTCGCCTCCACCGGGTGTAGGCGCCTCTGCGTAAGGAGGCGTAAGGAGGCGTCGGGTGCTGGAAACGTATCAACCGTTTACTCCAATGTAGGTTATTGCGCGATCGCCATACGAAGACTAGTCGGTCTCTCAGGAAATTATAATTCGTGTGCATGTTCTGTCATTACGATCAAAGGACACAAAAATGAATCTCGAGAATATATGTACCCTCATGAGTCTTCAAATCCCCCAATAGCGCGCACACTTTCTACCAACCGCTTGTATTCTTGCAGCAGTTCGGAAACTTCTGACAGCCTAAGATCTTCTGCCGAGCATTGCATGAACTTCGCATTAGGCGGAGGTAATCGGCCAGCGGAAGGCGAGTGCGGCCGAGAAGTCGTTGGAGCATCGAATCTGTTTGGTACAGGCGGCGGAGGTAGCAATGACGAGCGTCGAGAGGACGGGGGAGACGCCTGACCCAGCGTGTCAATTTGCGAATGCGTTAAGGTGAGACATGATGCGAACCTTAGATGCATCTTGTGGCACAAGGGACGATCGACGAGGAGGTGGTGAACCTTCCATCTATAAGTCTTACTTCAGTATCAAGCACCGGTTGACGGTAAACAATAACGAACTTTGGAGGAGTCTAGTGCATGTTGCGTAATTCGGCCCAGACCTGGCATACTCGCCAGTCGGTCAGATAGGCTTTTTCTGCTTTGGCCCTTGGGCCGACTGCTACTCAGCATGCTCTCGAAACTACGGATACTCCTCGAGTCAGGATTCGCAACTTCGTCTGCATCCTCGTCCTGGTCGCTATCTTCACCTTCGTCCTTCTCGTCGTCTTCACCCTCCTCGTCGCTATCTTCCTCGTCAGAATTGGGCACATATATGCTATGTCGCGACGCTCGTGAACCAGGTCGCGAGGACACCTCTGTCATTTGCTGACCACCCTCTTCGACGGGCCCCTTGTGAACAGAACGTGAGCGTTCACGGCCCATATTCACCGGCAATGACGCCGCTAAACTCGCGATCGAGAACCCGCTCTCGCGCCTAAGCAACCCAAATCCGGGGCGCACCCCGTTCCATGGTGCAGCTTGCTGCTCGTCCGACGGTATAGGAGTTGCGGCGCCTTCACTGGTTCCAGGAAGGAGTGAACGCAGGACACCGAAAGAAGAGTCCACCACGCCCGATAATGCTTTGGTTGCTGTGCCTGCGATTGCGTCTAATTGTTGATCAACACGGCCACGGAGGCCTGTAGGTACAACCTGGGCAACCGTCGGGGCGACCGGTATAGGTGTAAGGTCGGCAGCACTGGAACACGCCGTCAACGGATGAGTCTCGTATGAGCGATATACCATGTACCTCATGACTTTCTGGCTGCTGTCTCCCAAACCAAGTGCTGCTAGGTCTACATTCTCAAGGAATTCAGCCACGGCGAGCAGATTGCATAGACAATAGCTCTCTTCCCCGCCCACAGATTGATTCCGGAATCGTTGTATGAACAGCAGATGGGACACGAGATGCGGTGGGTTTGCCTTGACGGTCGCAAAAATGATCTGTGCGCACACCATCAGCAGGAGGCATACGGACAAGGGGATAAGACTGACCATCGGTAGCAGTACATCTCCGGACACCGTGGTTGGCTCTCGTTCCGGCGGTGGAGAGATGGTGAGTAGGGGAGACGCCGCGCGAGGCCGTAGCGAAGACGTATCGGACGTGCTTGTGAATGACCTGTTGTCGGATGTCGTTGATGGAACATCGACGGGACTCAGCAATACTGCCGGAATCGACTGCGGCAAGGAAACGAGGAGAGGCTCCGAAGGTTCAGGAACATTATCGTCCTGTGCAGACGTCTCGTCAAGCTTTGTCTCAGCGGCTTGCAGTTCAGAGTCCGGCTTGCCCTCCGCCTTGAGAGAGTTTTGACGAGAACGGGAGGACGTGGGCGTTGCCTGGTCCTTGATCTCGGCGTCCGACTTGAGCCGTACGGGTGGAAGCCTGGAGAGCCCGTCTAAGGATACGATGGTGGCCGTGTGAGCGCTTCTCGGGGATGGGCGGTGGGAGCGGACAAGAGAAAACTAACCAACGACCATTTTGTGCGACGCGACCAGTATCGCCGCTTTGTCCGCGGGAGTACGACAGGCAGCGAGTTGCGTGAGCACTGAGTGCGCGAGAAAAAGGCAAAAAGCAAATTGATTAGTCAATGAGTGGGAGAGACCCTGTGTGGAAAAGAGGCGAGGGCGCAGGAGAGATACGCACTCTCGCCGCATGCTTTCACGACGAGCGAGACCTCCGTCGCGGATTTGCCCACATCCACGCCGAGATGTTCGAGACCGAGATCGACGAGGTTCAGCGCGGCGACGCGGCTCGACAATGCTTCGTCGTGGGAAGCGTCGTCGCTCGTCAACGGCGAGAATAACCTACGTATATGCAGTTCAGCGGCGCATCCATGCGGGGTGAGGGCGAGCAAAGAGGAACGGGAACGGAGTGATCTGACCTATCAAAGAACGTTGTAGCGATCGTCCCCTCGACTACCTCCATGATCTCCCGTATCCGTGCGCCGCTTGGCGTTTTCTCTCCCGCGCGCTTCATCTTGTCCTTCTCATCCTCGATAACAGCGTCTTCACGCCGCCTGCCGATAGTGGGACTCCCGCCCGCCCTTAGATCCTCTTCGAGAAGCGCGTAAAAGTCCTGGGTCATGCGCGCAAGCTCCTCGGCGGTATCTTGCTCAGGGTTGACGATGTAACCCGCGGAGTCCTGTGCTGCATTCCCGTTCTTGGGTGCACGAACGAGTGGATACAAGCCGTACGAGAAATTCTGCGTGCGCTCGATGACCCACGCCGGCACGTTCGCCGCGGCGAGCGCAGCCTTCATCTCCGCCTTGATTGCCTTAACTATCGCCCTCCCCACGTCCTTGCGGACGATGCGGCGGTCCAGAGCAAACGCTGAAACTTCCACACCCGTGTGGTCATATTCGCCCTCTGTTGGCGGTAGCGAAACTGTGGAAGGCGCTGGAGAAGACGGCGTGGACGGCTTCGAGCCAAACAGATGCGAAAAAGGGTTGCCTAGGCGCGATGCCTGTAACGGCGTGCTCCTTGCGCCTGGTCGTGGAGGCAAAGGTGGCTTTCCGGGTCGAGGTGGGAGAGGTAGCGAGGGAGTGTGGGATGGAACGGCGAAAGTGGGATAAGTGTTGGGAGGGAAAGCGGGAAGAGGAGGGAGGGCAGCGAAGGCGAATGCGCGAGTAGATGGGGACGACAAGGCCTGGAACGGCTTCGAAGATGGAAGGAGGGCAGATCGCAGTGTGAACACCTCCCTATGTTATTTGTTGATGACAGGATCACTGGCAGTACGATCATACACGTACTGCTGTATGACACCTCGCAAACCGGAAAGCGTAACGATAGCCGCATTATCTCGCGACGGTCCCTCGTAAAAGGCTATGTGATCCTTGATAAACTCGGCTGTGATAGCACTCTGGCCGGATAGCTGCTCTTTAGGCAGCAGCAAGGTTGCCTACGACCCCGTTCATTCATGTCCACCGGCATGTAGCCACAAAATCTCACTTTGCCAGCCGTGACGGCTTCCCAAATGTGGTTCCACTCTGCACCATGTTCCGCTTCCGTGGATAGTTTCTCCAGTATCGCCCACCCCACGCTACCGGTATCCAACCCGATGCTTTGAGCTGCAGCTTTCATGTTCATGTGCTGCAGCTTGGTCCGAGCGTCTCCAGTATGCTGTTGCGCAGGAACGGATACAGACACAGATGCGGAGGACTGCATTGTCGTCGTTCCAGACGTGGCAGTGGCAGTAGGTGCGGTGCGCTGGCGGGGTGTATACGGTACGTAACGGGGTGGTGAATGGGTACTGCCTGCTTCACTGGACGATGTGACGGAGACCGGATGGCTGGGCGACAGCAATGGATGTGCCGTTAAGGACTCCGTCGATGCCGTCCGCGACCCTGGCTGCAGGCCTTGCGGTCTCCCGAGTGCCCCGGGTAGCAGGCCGTCGCGTTTCAGCGCCATGAGATGGATGCAACGTGCTTGTCGCTCCTCTCGGTCGAATGTCTATACAGCTTGCGCGCCGTGATTATGCGAATGATTGAGTTGAATGTCCAGGAGTAAGATCCAAGATGAAGGTGGTCGTAGCAGGTCGTAGCAAGATAATATCATCCGAGGAGCATGAGAAGGAGACATTCCGCGCGCGTAAATCCGGTGCCACCACGTTCTTCCATCGACCATGGCAGCTGATATAGCTGAAGAGATCAAGCGCCGGAAACCAAAGATCCAATACGCGAACACCAATGGCTTCTTGGATCCATCCAAAGGCGACAAACGTCCCCAGGGAAAAGAAGCAGTTAATGCACGTATGCTGGCGAACTACATACTTGACCACGAAGGATCGTACTTTCCGAGGTGGGTCGCCGCCGTGAACATTCAGCGCGCACGATGACGAATATGCCAAGATGATTTCGCAGCTTGGATCAGATGAAAACGGTCATTGACGAAACCCACAAACCGGAGACGACGGCTAGCATGAAGAAGCGGATCGGCGAGGTCGAAGAGCAACACGACCGATCGCTCACGGCTCTGTGCCAGCATTATGCTTGGCAGTACAACCAAGACGCGCTGGATAGCTACTACTCGTACGACGACGCACTTACATATGTAAGTCACTTGTACAGTGTTTGTTTCCTCGTCTGACATCCGTGCAAGGACCACCGCGCGGGTTCGCGACGTGCCACCTCGTTCCTGCACGCATCTGACGACGCCATATCGCGCCTGCAATACTCGCATCTGCAGACTGTGATTCCCTTGCACCGTCGATATCAAGTCCTTGTGCGGAAAGAGAATGAGCAGCGCGAACGACTTGACCGCCAGTTTCCGCAGTCCGTCACTGAGTTTCGCCAGATCGCGAACAAAGACCGGCAGCTTCGTGTCGCGCGGTTCCTGGCCAGCAGCGACGATCCGCAGAAACAGGAAGCGACGATGAATGAGTATGGATGGGCGTGGAGACAGGTGAAACCTCTCAACGACCAGTATAAAGCCGATGTTAGTCTCGTGTCTTTTCGCCGTCCGGAACAGACCGCCGACCTTTCCCGCCGTTTAGGAACACTTACGCGAAGAAGTGGCCAAGCTCCTCCGGGAAGCAATTACGCCAGCCGACCCAAGACGAAGGGTGGCTGACGACCCTAGGCGGCGAGGTTCGATGGATATCCTCAGCACAAACCCCGCACGTGCGGATCGCATGGACGTTGATTCGTGAAACCTTCCAGAGCCTCTTGCTACTTCTCAATCGACAACCTGAAATTGGCCGACGTGCACAATCCATCCGACGGTGTCCGAAGCATATCTAAGTTTCATACGCGGGTCGCACACCTTGCTATTGCTGCTCCCCTTCCAATGGTGCTACGCGTTACTTTTCGGACCGACCATGCTTGGTGCATGAGTTCTGGCTGCATCCCGTCACTTGGGTAGTCTTCGGAGGGACCCTTCTGCAGGGTCATTCATGCCTTCCTGATTCGTTTCCTTTCATGCTATACCCCTAAAAATCTGGGATCTTAACCAGCTTCTGCACCCCGGGTTTCCGGCTTCTCCTCCTTCGCTCGAGGTCACATAACGAGGCTCAAATGGACCCTCGATGTTATTGGCTGCACAAACCCAGACGTTGTAATTCTCACCAGGGCTTGCTGGGGCGCCGTACGTGGTGATAGTGGCAGTTGTCAACCGCCTTGTATCCTTTCAGGCGTACACGCCTCTATCTGATGAAACCTCGCATCGATGGACATGAGACCCTGCTTGCACGGCTCTCCTACGACGCTGTGAAAGTACCTTTCATATTACCACAGTCTACCAGAGTCGGGGGTTGGTATACCAAGCCTTCCTGAGAGACGCCACATTGATCCTGGATGTACGGACCGAAGCCACGGGATGCGACATGATCGAGAGAGCCCATCGCCGCGACGTGTGAGTTCCCGATCGGAGCACCTTGCAAGGTCCTGTTCCTCTTGCGAACGGAATCACAGACACCACAGGAACGGCGTCGTGTGCCAGCTGTAGGCGATTGGCGGCGATTGGCTCCCAGGAGCACAATCGGACAGTCTGCAGGAAAGGTATTGAATGCGTCGAGACTTCAGCCTCAAAAGATCAAAGAGCGATCGGACAACGCATGCGTGGTTGACGGTCCAGATAAACCGGTACCGGTGTTGTTCTGATAATCAGGGCACCTCCGCGACACAACGCGGTGATGCGCAGCGCAACGAGATGACCTGCACTTCCAGGCCCCTGCGGCTCCCGGCGAGGCACCTGCGCGGCTCCGCCATGTCGCGCATGGTCTCCTTTACCCATGTCGTCGGAAAGGTAAACGGCGCCAATCGATCGGCCGAGTCTTGTATTCATCTACAAATACAAATCGCCCTGGCGTTCCTGTCTTCGTGGTCGGGATCCCCTGGTGGCTGTGCCCGGCCCTGAGAAGAAGATCGTGGCTGTGTCTGTCCACAGAGCCAGTGCTGAGTCAATGATCCTTACTGCATTGTTACTGCGTCAATTCCCGACACTGAAGCCATCTTCGCGTTTGCAGCTCGCGCGTGCATAAGTAATATAGTATGGGAGTTGGGTTCCGCATAGCGCGATAGGCGGCCGGAAAGACATTCGTGGGTGTCCCTCACATCGTGTATCCATGTTATCAGTAAGTTGGCGTAAGCTTGCAGGCTGTCCGCTTGCGCTAGCGAGAGGGCGCATTCCTGCGATCATCTCCGCCTCAATGCAAGTTATTGGGTCCGGAAATGGTGGGATACTCTCACCAAGCCTGCTTGTATCATGTTCATGACCAGCTGATGCGGGCTGGAAGCCTGCCGGCTTCAAAGAAAGAAAATTTTCTTGGCCTCTCAACTCGGAGGGCGCCTGTTGTCGCATGCTGACACGACACCGGCACAAGTCCATGGGTCCCTGGGATTAGCGCCATATAGAACGCACGACCCGTGACGTGATGCCACCGCTGCCGTTCCATCATGGTGGAAGCGGTCCGGGACGCCTTGTGGAAACTGCAACATGACTGAGGGGCCAGGGCAAAGATGGTGATCAGTACAAGCATACTGTGGCGATTCTGATCTTCGGCATACTCGGGTGTCTTGTGGTGTTACAGGTGCTCGGAGGAGGTTCCACGACGCAAGTAGTGATGCAACATGACGCAGCGGAAAGCTCAGGCTCAGCTAGGCTCAGAGTTCGATCAGCAAGGCCGCCGCCGTTGTTTGCTGACGAGCAAGTGGGGTGATGCTTCCAGTGTCTCAGAATGATCCACGGTCATGATAGGAGAGGAGTCGAGTTCGCCAGAAGGCGCGTTTCCACAGTCGCGGTTGGAGTCCGAGATGGTCGCTCGATCGCCTAGTACATCCATCGTTGACCATCAGACGACAATGGCGACATACAGTAACACCTTGATTGCAAGTAAGTGAGACATTGCACCCGGACGAGCACGTATACATGATCGGGCCTGAACACAGACACAAGGCGGTTCGGGAGCGAGGGGAATCAGCATGATCGTCTGCATGGACGGGGGAGGTTTCCCACGAGCCACCGTCCAGGCGTCGCTTGGTCCAGAACGTTAACGCCTTCATCTCGGACTGTTCAGAACGTTAACGCCTTCATCTCGGATTGTTCCACCCCGGCCTACCTCGATACAGTGCAAAAGAAAGTTAAGCATCGCATTTGCATCTGCACGATGCAGACGCAGGTTATCTCGGCTCCCGTAAGATGGGGAAAATCACAATCATGTTCGAGCATCGGACGCTTTTTGTGCGGCAGCCTCCCACGACGACGCCGGGTTCTGCCTCACCTCCAAGATCCGAAGGAGCCACCATGTAAAGTAAATGCCAGGCTTATCACTTGCGAAGCCTTACTTGATACACCCAGCCAGCTCTTCAGAAGGTCGTCTCGGCGGTTTTATCGTTCGATGATCTCGCCACTCAATCTGACGCTAAGCCGTCTATGGACGGACTGCGTTCTACTGCCCATCGAGTCGAACGATTGTTCCATGCCAACTGAGGGCCTGGATACATTTCCCGCCCATTCCATATGATATCGGTACAGGCGGCCAGCTGATCGCTGTGCAGCGCCAGAGCCCGCGTTGTCGCGCGACACCCTTGGGAAACCGCTGCCCATTCCTCGTGTCCTCTCATGTGGGTTGCGCCTCCTCCGATCGTCGTGGATGCGGGCATCGATGAGTGCAGGACGCGTGCCATTGCTTCATATCCCATGCGTTCCCCGACGCGCTCGGTAAGACTTGGGTGAGAGTCGCATACGAAGCGCGAGCGGGTTCGGCATCAATTTGGTCGTATGGGTCTAATGATGGTTCGCGCGGATGGTTGGGGTGAATGGACACGGACGCTCGCGCTGCAGAACCTCGCAGAACGCGCGAATGTGAGCTCCTTATGGTCTCTCTTGGAGACTATGGGAGTGTCTCTGAGAACATATCGAAAAGTCTCGCATTCAAGTTCGCTACACAAGGGGACGCCACAATCACCCCCGGTGTACAACGAGAGAGCGGAATGGAACCACGGACGGCGGGGCCAAGCTATTGACGTTCTCAGACCGTGGCATGTAGCATATGCTCACATTCATCACGAGTTCGCACTCCATCTCTGAGGGACCGCCCTTTGACGGATTCGCAGCACGCGCTGTCCGAGAACCGCGTACACCGTCGTTACCGACGCATACATTCACAAACAGCTCCCGACGCTGAGCAGAAGTCCCGACACTCGGAGTGCGTTATCGCCATTACGCTGGCGCTGGCGTTCACAAGGTACAGCCTGAAGAAGTCCGGACGCTGATTAGACGATAGCGCAACGTTGGAGCGGGAGAATGCGAAGAATGCGAAAACTGCAAAAGGAGGTGTCGAGGAGCGCAAGTCCGATCTCACGACACGTCGCCCCGCTTTAGAGAGGAGCGGCCTTGCTATTTCCGTATTCAGATTGCCCCCGAGCCCTCGAGGGAGCAAACGGTGGCTCGGGACGGAATCGGGTTTGCACCCGCGAACCGTGACAAAGAAGCCATCGAGGGCGCCTCAGAAGGGCAAGCGCCTCCTTTCTCGTGTTCGCCAGTTTCGCCGAGGTTTCGCGAATACACCGCGTCACTCCCATGCGCGTACATCGACCGATGGGCGACTCATCATTAATGCATCATTGGGGACGGATCGCCTTCCTTTGCTCGATCGTGCGTTCGCTTGTGACGCAAATACGCGCGCTGCGAGGGGGCGTTTCATCTCCTCTTTTCTTTCCGGATCCGAGCATGCACGGCGGGTGAGAGCGCACGTCCCGAGTTGCGGTATAGCACACGAGCGCAAGGAGGTTTCGCCGAGATTGTCAGACATCGGATGGTCGCCAGATCATACCATACGCGCCTGATCACGATGAGGGGATTGAGCAGTCGTGCGGGCCGTACGGCCTGTATTGAATTCAAGCGCCCACGCCCTCCGCATTTCGTGTCCTCGTCGTCGAGGATCCGGAGGTGCATCGCATGGTCGTTGCGGGCGTATAGAACGACTTCGGTTATTGCCTGTTCTGATCATCTTGACGCGTTTCCCAGATATATTCCCATTACTATTAGCCCCGCCCCCATCGCGCCGATCGCGTCACGGGACCAGGTTCTGTTTTGCTCGTGTCTGAGTCGACGCCTCTTGGGGTCGGAGAAACGATATTTTGAGCGCGGCGAAGACTGAGAACAGCGGGACCCACGATGATACTTTGTACTTCCAAACAGAACCTTGCAATAACCCAGCGTCGGCCGAGAGATATGAAAAGAGAGAGCCAAGTATAACGAGTGCTGCCATTGACAGAGCTGTGAGCTGGCGCGCGGTGGCCACGTATCTGACTTCTGACTTTGCGCCAGCCCTGCACGGCCAGTTGAGTCGACTTGGTCAGGATACCACGGAATCCGGGGAATAGCACGTTCGGGCGGAACGCCAAGTTGGGAAGGCTGAGAGTCTGCGCCTTGGCCGTCTAGTGTGTGGGCTGTCCGAGTTATCTCTCAGCTGCCAGCAGAGTGCTCGTCCGCCCAGCCCGTTCCAGGTTTCACTAATTCCTTGGCCTGCCAAAGCGGTGTTCACTCGTCAACCGGTGAGTATCCTGAGGGAATATACGTGGTGTGAGTGCCGTCATCACGGGCCGGGTGCTGTGAACGAGGGATGAGAGTACACGAAGAACGAGTAAGAACGCTCGAAGGTTGCTCCTGATGATGGTGGTGGTGCTACTGATCATGATGCATGATGGATGATCTGCAGCGCATCGCCCTTCGGGGAGGACAGCAGCTGACCTCACGCCGTACACGCTGTCGACCACGATGCAGCGATGAAGCGCTATATTTTGCATCCGCGGGAGGGAGGGCTGAAACGACGGATCGGGAAAGAGCAAAGGGGTGGCATCACTTCTCATCGAGCGCGGATACCTCGCTCGGTGGGCCTTTGTCGGAGGAAACGATCGTCGACGTGCGTGAGGGCCAAGAAAAACGGCCAGGGGAATGAGGGTATAAACAACGGTCCCGTTCCCTGCACGGCGGGGCGGGCGATGGTAGTGCGAGAGCGCGGCTTCTGGACGGGGGCGCTGGGCGGGTCGGCTGGAGTAACATCGCTCGTTTATCGTGGATACGTCCCAGAGCGTGCCAACGACGCTGGGAACAGCGAGCTCGAAACGTCCCAGCGCATGCTCGCCCCTAGGGCCGACCCTCCGGAGCTTCGCCCACACGCCGAACACGCGCCAGGCGTGGGAACAAAGCCATTGTGTCGGGATCGGCCCCAGCCGCTGCACAGCATTCGACGATTAAGAGTGGGCGCTTCCGCTTCCGGAAGGCGCTTCTCGCCCCGCCAGAAGAAGGAAGCGGGCGCATTGCGTCCAGGGTGTTAGACGGCCCGTGAAACCCGCCCCCCCATCCTGCGCAGCGCTGCGGTGCCCACCAGCCCGCGGCCGCCCGGTGGCCTCCTCCGACTCTCAGGGACGCTGACGGGGGGCGTGCAGGGCACCGGGGGCTCAGGCGACCACAGCAGCGGCGGACGGTGTCTTTTTTCTCACTCAACTGCGACTCCCGCGGAGGGTCATCAAAGGTCGGTGTCTCATCAAGAATTCCATTGACATGGGGCTGCTCTAACATACACATATGCTATATATTAAATGGCCGTGGCTGTCTCGCGAGGCTATCTATAATGTATGCGGTGGAGGGGAAAGCGCGGATGGGAATAATATACACAAAATTGCAGTTAAGCGTAGGTATCGTATCATAGGGGCGTGGTGGTGATGATGATACAGTTGCGCATGCCGGTGTGAGAGAGGAATAAGTCATTGCGTGGTGGGTGCGGACGAGTCGATTGCTGCTGAACGAAGGATCCGGGTCGGCGTGAGGACGGGGCGACGAGTACTAGCGGGCGAAGTTCATTGTCATGACTGTGCGAGCCCGTAGGCGACGGCGGCACGACACGCTTCGTTCGCACGTCCGTCCCGTCCGTGCATTGAAAGGCTCTCGAGGGTGGCAAAGCACTCGTCGCACGCTGCGCAGGAGTGGATGCTACGTGCCCGCTTCGAGCTGGATGAGGTATCGGAAGCCTGGGGAGAAAGCACAGCTCGGTGAGAACCTGCGGAAAATAGCTGCGGCACTGCCAAAAGGGAAGACTTACGGTGTCCATGCAGTCGTCGTCGGAAAGTTTGCGCTTGAGCGGTGAATACGAGCGTGCGCGTGCTGCGGGAAGGGGGATCTCCGTCAGCATCGGAAACCTCGGGCTGTGACGATGCAGGGGCGACATACATGGTACGATGGTACCCATGGCTTTTGCGCTGGCTTCGCGCCATGCGAAGATGCGGTTCATCCGACGCGCAAACGAGTCGTCGTCGTCGGCGGTGAATATAGGGTGGGTGGCAGCGGCGTCCATCTGGACGTCTTGCGGGCACTCGTCGTCGGACGAGCAGTACGACGAGCAGGGCGAGTCCGACTCGTCGTCGTCGTCGTCGTCTTCGTCGGTGGCGGTAAAGTCGTCGGAGCGGGACGACGACCAGGAGGAGGAGGAGAGGCCGGCGGACGAGGTCATGGCCTTGAGGGCGCGGGGCGGGGCGGGGACCTCGTCGAGCTGGATGGTGGGGAGGTACGGTGGTTTGTGCGGGAGCATGGGGGGCACGGCGACGAGGCGGGGGTGGAAGACGGTCGCGGTCGGCGGCAGCATCGTGCGCAACAGCAAAGGGCGGGGCGGGGGCGGGTGGTGGGAGACGGCCGAGTGGGATTTATAGGGGCGGGCAGGAGGTTGGACGTCCAGATCGACTAATCTTGCCACCCTCGCCCATCTCAGATCGCCTGTCCGAGCTTCGGACGATCTCACACCGCTCGGAATTTCCGCGGTCAGACGCGACCCCATCGCTTTCACGTGCTCTTCCTCCGAGCCTCTCCCCGTTCCCACCCTCGCCCGTTCCCATGCACGTCCTTTTAAAAAACGCGCGTTCCCAGTCCGTTGCCACACATATGACAACACGCCATTGCCAAGACAGCGGTACAGACACGCTCGAAATCTGAGAGAACCACCAGAACCCGCCCGCGAAAATTACCCAAGCCCCCTCTGCGACCGTACAACGTAAGCCCCCGCCCTACGGCCTCATGGGCGCCAGCCACGCCTCTGCCGCCTCGAATTGGTCCACCACGTCGCGATAGACCGCCCCCTCTGCGTGCAGCTGCCGCACGGCCGTCAGCGCCTGTGGCGCAGGACCCGAATCAACGATCGACCCAGTCAATTATCGCGAATCCGGAAATGAAAGGCGGCACATAACGCACCACGTCCCAGAAGCGGAACCCTCGTTCGACTTCTAGTTTCGGATACTTCACGCCCGTAAACGTATCCTCGCAAATGTCGAGCGCGAGCACCTTCGCCTCCTTCACACCCTCTCCGTTCGGATCCCGCACCCGTTGTCCGCCGTTGATGTGCGTCAGCGCGTCTAGGTAGACCTTCGCCAGAACGCCGAACCCGGTGTTCACTTCCGTCTGGAAGGGCAGCGAGAGCGCTATATCCAGGTAATCGTCACGCGCCCGCTTTGCGTCGGACCGGAGCAGCATATTCAGCGTCGTCACCTCCAGCAACGTACGCAGGGCACGTGTGAGAGACCGCACGAACGAGTTGAACACGAGCAGCTCCCGTGACAGCGGTGCAGACCACGGTTGCGACTGTTCGGGTAGAGCAAGCAAAAACGTTCATAAAGCCGTTATCGGAAAGAGCAAAGCGGGAACCCCTTGCGGCGCACCTTAAAGTTCAGCGGTACGATGCTCAGGACTCGCATAACCAGGAGCATGCATGTTTTCTCATCGTCTATCGGTGACGTGCGTCATCAGCGACATCATGCGCCTCCCTCCGTGCGTGAGAGAAGGGCGGGGGCGGCTCACCGGTACCGAAGCTGGGCCCTCCAGAGAACGCTCGTCCCGACAAGAGGTTGCCGCGCATCACGCCCGCTCTCACAAGCTCCAGAAAGAGGAAAAGCGGGTCCTGGAACTTGTCGTTCACACGCGCCTGCCTGATCGCGGCGTACATCGCTCGAGCCAAGGGCCCGTGGGCGTGACTGTTCAGCAGGAACCTGGCGCGTACACCGATGAGAGCGCTGTTGCGCACATTAAGACGAAAAAAGCCGATCTCACCCGCGCAACTCGAGGAATCGCCAGATTACGTTCGCGACCACTTCGTCCTTTTTCTCTAGCGGGAGCTTGGTCTGGCCGCTCTTCCCCTTGGTCCTCGCCGCGAGTTTCTCAGACGAGGTCGCACCCAGGCACAGCGCAAAGTCTATCGTGGCAGACTGCGCGCCGTCAATCGACCACCGATAATGAGCCGCACCCTTCTCGCACTCACATTTTGACGCCGCAGCTCCTCTTCCACTACGGCGTAGGGCACGTTCCAGCCCGCGACGCGTTCGGCGAGTTGGGTCGTCTGCTGAGAATTATGTTGAATATTCTTGTGTTGGCCTCCGGCCTGCGAGGGCTGCTCGAACCAGAAGGAGCCCGTGACCTGCCGCTTGGACCAGAACGTGTGTGCGACGGAACTGATGAGAGCCAGCGAAGTCGCGCGCGGACCCGTCTGTCCGTCCGTGATGACCTCCTTCACGAACCGCTTGTACTCCGTAGTTTCACCGTTGTCGAGCGGAGGGCCCTCGATGACCGTGCCGGTGGTGAGCCACACCAGTGCTTGGGGACCGAGGAGGCCCCGGGAGAGGTAAAAGTAGATTTCGTCCGGTAGCCGGTGGGTGAATATCTCGTGGAGGTCAGAGGGGATATCGCTTGCCGTCGGATGGTGCGGGTGGTGGTTCGAATGTCCTTGCGGTGCACCGGCGACGGCGAGCGGAAGCGGCTGGACCGTTCCTTCCGAAGAGAGAATGAGAGAATATTTGATCATGGACCGCGTGCGCGCATATTGATCGGAATACTGGATTGATTTAACTGCCGGGTGGTCCACGAACGCCGACACGGCCGAGTGCCCGGACTTGTAGTATTTCACCATGTCTACCGTCTGCTTCAGCGCCTGCTCGTGCACTGTCGGAGGGAACGGCGGAGAATAGTCGAAACCGACGAGGATCCCAATGTCGAGGAACTGATCCTCGTTCACACCGAGGTCGTTCAGGATGTTACGCTTGGACACGTACGTAAAGGACGGGTTGGGAGAAAAAAGGTCAAGAGAGGTGATGATCTTGTCTACGCCGGGGTAAAGCAAGGTATCGGTGGGGCCGTAAATGGCGTGCACGTATGGCTTCGGATGTCGTTGCAGGTAGATCAACTAACGGAGACGGTCAGCTCAGGTAGACACTAACAAGAACGAACGTACCTGCGCCCAAGCAACGTAGGGGGCGATGAGGAACTCGACGTTCCTGTGTCTGAAAACGCGCAACACCATCCTCCACAAATCCCACTGCATGAGCCCGCTCCGGCCCTTGAACAGTTCCGTGGCCGCGTCCTCCTGGCCCTGTTCGTACTTGGACCACGCCTCTCTGCGATCACGACACGCCTCATTCTGCTCAATGTGTTGTTGTTGCTGCTGCTTCCAGCGCTTGTTGGGCACGAGACCGGGGAAGACGAATACGGGCTTGATGCGCAGTTTCTCGAGCACGCGCAGGTCGGCTTCGATGCGCTGCGTGAGCGCGAGCGGAAGACCTCCGGTCGCGGCGAGCAAGGGTTCTCTCGAAGGAGGGTTTTCCGTGAGGTAGTTGAGATAGTATGATGCGTCTATCCCCAGACGCGAGTCGGATAGGACGGAAAGCGGAAGCGTTTGCAGATGCTTTCGCTCCGTCAAGTAACCTGGACCGAGGTTATTGTTTCAATACGTGCTTATGCCCCGTTTGCTTACCGTCCAGATGTTTGATGGGCATACTTTGGGCCGCTGGAGGCTTCAGAAACGCGTCGTAACGGTACAGCGAAATGCTACAACGAAGTTGAGAGATGGTTACGTAAGCCGTCGCAAAGGCGCGCCGTTCTAATTGAATTCGACAACAGCCCTTCCGCCTTCGCTACACGCTGTTTCCGCCTGGCCTCGCCGTAAATACGCTCCGGCCCATGGCCCATTGGGGCACTATATGGCATCGATTGACGCCATGCTAATCTTGCCTTTGCTCCCACTGGTGACTGGCTCGTTTCATGTCTGGCTGCTTCATAATTGCTGTGCGAACCGGCGGAGGCGTTTCTGGCAATCCGAACTTTCTCTACGACGACGGCGAGTTCCAGGATGGATCAGCATGCCTGCAGTGCGTGTCGACGGAGACGCGGTCGGTGTTCTGGTCCTCGCTGCCCCGTAGAACATCGTATGAAGGCCGTTCTTCTTTGCCAAACCCCGGACCGCCGGGTGTGGGGCTCGATGATCATACACCCAACCCTCTCTAAGATCGGATCCCATCCGGAAGGGCATCTCCTTAGGCGGTGCGGGTGCATCCCACACTCCCGTTGGCATCTCAAGCAATGCGCGACTCTCAGCTAGCATGGAAGCCCCTTCTTACAGCCACCCCGCGCTACCTTGGGCGCTCGGAGTAACGGCACGCCCCTGACATAGCGGACGATGCAGGTTCGTGATCGTGCAAAGACGCCGCCCTCGTGTACTGGCCCATCTCGTACTCTACACTAACGCACTGGCGCCATCGGGTTGGTCTGTGTGAGCGAGCGCTGGGGCTGAGTTGCACGAACCCTGACGCCACCCAGCGGACGCCCTGATGCTGCAGAAGCTTCTCGTCGTTTCACAGAGGCGCTCCGGGCGGCGAGGGAGAGAGCACAGATACGATACGATACGCCTCTCGCAATGAACGTCGAGAAACCCAATCTCGTCTCACGACATCTCGTCATAGTTGGTGACTGCCCATTCAATACGTTCTGTCTCTGCGAATCCCCGCAAGCACTTCCCCAATCCGATAAAAGTTTGCGTGCAAAGGACGATCAAGTCGGGACCTCCCTACGCCGCACCCTCGAAAGAAGCGTAGGGACGTCTCGCGCGAACAGGCGTGCGCCCGCCATTCAACAACCCCCCCTCTCCGCGCGGCGCTCCCTCCCTTCGTATCACTTGAGAGAAACCGAAGCGGGCGGAGTTGCGTCGACGTCTGCACGCATCGGTAAAGGAATGGAGGCGACGCTGGCATCTCCCATGGTCCGCCTTCTGACGTCCCGTCCCCAAGATTGGAACCGTCCGTATCTCGTACCGCGACTTCTCGGCATGGATATGCCATCTTAAGTGTGCACCCTGCCGCAGAACGGCGCACAGATACGATCGAATAATCAGAGCCTCTCGAGTCTTTCATTGTGTCTCAGTCATCGATCGGATAATACTAGACCGCGGCAGTCGAGACGAGATCTCTCTCATGGCATCCGAACAGCAAGCACCATGGTTGGTGGTAGCTACAGCTACGGTCATCAGGCGCTGCATCGGATCCAAGCCCATCTATATTACCATTAACGAACCTTCTCCATCGCTCATCGCGACGAAAGTCCATTCTAGCGTGCATGCAGTGCGGGGCGCACTCACGCTCGAAATGCCCAGGGTTGTCCTGCTGACCCGTCGCCCAGTCCGGGCAGTCCCACCGGTCTCCAGAATAAAAGTCGAATATACCGTGTACAAAACGCCTCTCACCGAAGGGCGCGGGCGATGCTATGATGATGGCGATGTCATCATCGCGCTGATACACACTACTTGTTTTTTTCTTCGCGTCCGGTTTTTCCCCATGGCCCGCGAGCATCGCTCTCGGGACGTCCGTTTTGTGCACAAGTTCGCGCGCCAGTAACATGAGAAGCGGGAGGTTCGGATGAGCGGCGCGGCGGGCCTGTAAGTATGCCTGCCTCGCCTGCCCGTCATGCCGCATGTCTGCCCCTCTCTTGAGTAATTTGCGGCTCATTCATCTCGCTCAATGAACCCGCCCGCTTCGACCTCCGAGCTGTGAGAGCAGTCCGCCATCCGTGCCAAATGAAGGAGGAGGCGACAAAAAAAAACTTCTCGGTCGTGCAGCGTGAGAGGCAAGCGTTCGTTGGCTGGCGAAGCGCGTCTCTACAGCTTTAGACCCGGTGCAGGCCGGAATCGGAGATGGGTCAATCGGCGAAGATGATTAGGCATAAGCAGCAGCAAAAGCAGACCCAGCAAAAGATTAATGGTGAGAGTGGATGAGCACGCCGGCGCAGTCAGATAGTAATTTGAGTTGGTCTGGAGTGCTCCGGAGATCGCGCTGCGGATCAGCTGCGTATTTTATTTGCATAAGTCGAGGTTGCTGCTGCTGCGATACTGGGTGCAACGTTGCAATGGCGACGCCCGACCGTCGCCCACGACGAACGGACGAAGCCACCACTAGGCTGCTGCTGTAGCTCGCAGTCTAATCGTCCGGGTTATCGTCGGCTGCGCGTGCGCCGGTTCGCAGCAGCACCCCGGACGATGGCTGCGATGGGGTGTCCTGTCATGGTCCCGAATCAAATCACAAACGGAAGAAGTAGTGATCGTTTTTAGGCTCGGATGACATCAGCTCTTTGCGCAACGATGAACTATGCACCCCCGTCGCCGACGACGCTATGTGGGGTGCGACTCTCCCTCGATCGTCGGGTCGAGCAGTGCCCACCGAGCCTCGGACGATGCACGCGCAATTTTCGGGAAATGGACGGCCGTTTCGGGGGCGGCTCCTTCTTGAAACAAAACGCTGGAGAACATTGAGACCGATGGGAAACGCTCACGGAACGAAGGTCGGATGACATCAACCGCCTTGAACGGCGGGCAGGTCATCATGCATCATCGGTGTGGGTGATGAGAATCGTTGCGAGGGTTCGCCGGTAAGCGAAGTGCGGCTCCACTGCTTAGCTTGAGAACAAGGCGCAGAGGATGGGGATGAAAATGATACAACACACACGGCCGTTTCTCGCGGGCTCTCGTGGAGATGTAGCATACATACCTCGGATGGTCGACGTCCGGAGAAATGGGACGACAGTAATCAGGGGATGGAACTGTATGTGCAGGTTACGGCGTCGAAGGAGAGGAGGAGGAGTGACGTACGGTACGTCGAGTCACATGCCAACCGAAAACATCGGTAGAGAACGCTGACCCGACCGCGCCCGACCGTCCCACTCCATGCGAATCGAGTCTCCTGCACGCCCTTGACCTGTCCCGGTCTTACGACCAACCTACTCCGTCGACGACGACGACGACGACGACGACGCGCTACGACGTCCCGGCAGCACGCGCATCGGCGGCAGCACCAATCGCCCGACCTACGCCGACCAACGACCATGAAGTCGTGTCTAAAGCCGACGCCGCCGCAGAGCCCCGGCCCCGAGCCCCGAGACGACGTCGGGCGACCACGCTTGGGGTGCAAGACCGTCTCGTTCTGCGAGAGCGAGCTCGTGCGCGTCCACCTGGCCGACGACTGGGACCGCTCGCCCACGCCGCCAGCCAGGCATCTCTCGTATGCGTGAGTAGCGTCCTCCGTCCAGCGGCTGGTATTCCCGACTACTACCGGATCAACGGATCCTCCACGCGCGTGACTTTGATGTCCCGCCCGACGACGATGACGCTGGCCATAGTCGTCATAGACGTTGGCCGCGCATGCAGTTGGAGATGGTCGTTATCAATGCCCATACAGCCACGATCGTCGTTATCAATGCCCATACAGCTACGGCCTTGTCCTGCACGCTCGTCATACGTTGCCGCACCCAGCGCTGACCCGTCTTTATCTCTCCAGCGACCTGCTCGAGCTCAAGCAGATACGGCTGTCGCTTCCAAGGGCCCAGCAACCTCCGGAGACCGCATCTTACTTCCCCCCGGTCCTCAGCCAGGTCCCGGTCAATCTCCTGCCCCTTTTGCCCGAGGCGCCCGCGCAAACCGCACCACCTCCGATGCTCTCGCCCACGCCCCAGCATCCACCTCCTCCCGAACCCAACGTGGAGCCGCCATCACCCCCGGCCACGCCCCCACCACCGCCCCCGAAGCGATTCAACCTCAGCTTCTTACCCCTGTTAGACCCGTCCAGCGCGGCATCATCATCACCACCGAAGCCGTCCCCTCCAAAGATGCAACCCAGCCCCTCCATATTGTCCGTGATACCTCCTACACCGACGTTCCCGCACGACACCGGCTCAGCACCGGACCTCCAAGAAATAGGCTTTGCGTCCGAAGAGAAGGCCTCCAGCAGCAACTATCACCTGCCGACGCCCGATGCCTCACCCCTGCGCGCAACTTCTCCCCTCGGCACGCCAGACTCCGCGGTCGGCGAAGACCCGCTCACCCTCTCCGCGCTCGAGGGCTTTCCGGAGCCGCCTCAATCAGTCCCGCGCCAGCACTCGGGGTCATACCGCTCGTCCTGCACGCCCTCGCCGATGCCGGACACGCCTCAGTCCGCCACCCCGAGCCCGGACTCGCACCCAAACCTCCATTCCTACTTCCTTGTCCGGCCGAACCTGCCGAACCACATCCCCACGAATGGCGCCGGCATACCGGACTCGCCCTTTGTCGATCCCGCGCATGCCCCGCGCTCGTACTTTGCGCTCAACAAGGCGGCTCCCGTTGCGCCTGACGCGCAAATACGGACGCAGCCGCCCGATGTCGCGTCGCGCTTGCAGACGCAGACGCAGCTGAAGACCTTCCTCAGGGGCATACCCTCCCCCACGCTCAATCCCCCCTCACCTCTGGCCTTGGACCCGGAAACGGTGGGAGCGAGCCAAGGCGCGGCCGTTCCGCGACAGAGCAGTCTGCGGCAATCCACCACGATCAGGAAAAAGCGCCGGTCCGTCCAGCTGATAGAAATCAACGGCATGCTCATCCCGATCGGGGACGACGAGGACGAAGACGAGTGTGATGAGAGCGAGAGCGGGCAGGGGCAAACCACCGAAACGCCGGTGGCTGGGCCGGACCAGCCAAGGCCAGCGTCGCCCAGTCTGGTTCCGCTTCCAGCATCTCCGCCTCGCGTGCCCGTCGTCCCGCTCGCATGAGCGCACGGAGCTTCCAAGGACGCGCTAGAGAGCTCATCTTTCCCTGGGTCGGCATGCGGTGCATCCTACACGTTCTCTGTCTCCGGCCGCGGTACCGCGAGGCGCAACCGTCGGCAAGAAGTGGGAAGGGCGAGAGGGGAGGGTCCTTGCCCTGGTTGCCCCCCATGCAGCCGTTCGACACGCTTGTTGGACAGCTTTACACACGGCTTCGCGCCTCGGCTCCGCGCGCTCCGGAAGGAGGAATCGTCTCCAGATGCTGTTGTAGGCGACGGACACAAATTATTTGAGCCGTCGTGCGCACGTCTGGGTGCACGGAGGCGAAGAGGCTCCGAGCCGTGGACCCCCGCATCGGGGGCGTGAGGCCGACGCGGGCGGGGTGGGCACAGATCTGTGGAACGCGATCTCGTGGGCCAAGGAGGACCTATTGGTGACGGGATCAGGGTTTGGCCTTCACGCTCGCCGATGGAGATGGAGACAGAGATGCGGTGGGAAGCGTCGTGGGAGCGCCGCGTGTCCGACCTTGGGAGCGAGCGCGCCCCTTGGACGTCGGGCCCAGGACGGCTTAGAACGGCCTCACGAGCTCGCGGCTCGACGGGCGACCTGTTGGGTCACACTGCTGTTGCTCTCTCGGCGGCAGTTCACAAGCTAGAAATCGAATTAATTGGAGGAACACGCACACACGACTTTTTTTTCCTTTTTTTTTTAAATCTGTACGCATCATACTCTCATCTAATCTTATCAGCACCTGTACGCTCGCAACCATTCCATAGTCGCACAAACATATTCTTCGCTGAATGAGCTATGGAAAGAACACCGCCAGCGAATATGTCTTTTTCTGGCCACGGTCTGAATTGAACCATCGATACCTTCTTCCCAACATTCCTGTGCTGCACGGCTCCTGGGTCTCTCGTCTTCGCCCGCAAATACACACCTCTATCAATAGGCCGTCCTTGCAGCCTCCTATAGCACCTGCAACGTATTCCAGGATAATCCTGCATATAGCTTAATGACACTGCAGCGTTCTGTTTACATGCACCCCTTAGCGTGCGACCACAGGACATAATGTTACCTCTTCTTGATCACGATCGTGGCCATTCGCACGCAGATGGCATGTTAACCCAAAGGCAACCCTATGACCACTGCGGTGCGTTCAGCGAAGGTGGACCACCAGCAGGTGCGTGCAGCGCGTCGGAGCCGACGGGAGATACATAAGTTATATACAGATGCCGATGCGGCGAAAAGGACCACACGAAAAGCAACAGAGCGCGAAGTCGTACTCGACGACGTGGACAGACGTTCATCCCAATCCATCAAGCTCGCCGTCCTTCTCTCAGCGATCTTGCCGACCGATACGGCATGGCGTGAGTGTTTGCCCGTATACCGACAATGCCATGCCATGATTAGCGACGCGGGAGGCGGCGACACACCACCGTCATCGTTACGAGAGAGGAGGGGAGACGGCGGTCCGGTTCATTAGATATGGCATTCGGTCCCGCAGTGCGCCTCCCCAACATAGGCCCCACCATCCCACCGCACGACTCGACGTTTATCCTCCAATCACCTTCGGTGCCGTGCGCCTTGCGCGCCCTTGCCCCTCATGGAAGCGCGTTTCCGCTCTCGCTCCTCCTCCTTAGCGCGCGCACCTCGGGCCCGGGGATCGATCACCTGGTGCAGGGGCGTGAGTGTGAGCGACCCGACCATCCGGGACTCCGATAACAAAGACATGACAGCACCTCGTAGTCTCTCTCAGCTTTTTGCACTTCTTCCGAGTTGTCCTTCGGGAAATGCAGCAGGTGACCAAGGAATCCGGCATCCGTGTCGACCTCCACCCCAGGGTCCTCGCCGGTAGCTTGTGGAGCTCCTGCGGCATCCGTCTCGTCTTCACCAGCTTCGTCCCCTTTATCCTCGACCGAACTCTGTTGAAGCTTAGATCTGAATTTGTTCAGAGTAGCGAGGATATCGCCTTCATTCTTCCTTTTACCCTGAACCTTTTTGCTGTGGATTCCTTTGCCCTTGGCATACTTCGACAACTCTTCGTCGAGATAGGATTTCTTGGGTTTCTTCCGCGCCGGCTCGTCGTCACTCTCGTCACCTGTCCTTCTCGCGAGCTTGCGGATGTCCGCTTCCATCTTTTCAATCTCGGCCTTGCGAGAATTGCTGAAGAGCATGAGTAAGACGGTGAGTGTTTTCAATTGAAGGCTGCGGGCCTACAGCTTGCTATCTTGTTCCCGTGCGTGTTGCTCACGGATCTTGGTAATGTCGACAGCATCGGCTGCCTTGGCAGACTTCCCCGGCTGAACAAAGGATATCAGAGATAATCGCAGGCAGTCGTCTGTCTCTATACCTTTGCTTCAGGCTCAAGTTTGCTGGGTTTGTCTGCTTTACTGAGAGGTGCTGCGATGAAGTCCGGTAGCTCCGTGACCACACGAGCATCCGGATTGTCGACCACTATGGCGACGTGTCAGTAAATTGTCGCGGACCATAGGAGTGGATACCTCACAGTCCGGCCGCACGATCGGCCTTTTCTTAAGTACAACAGGTTCTTCCTCCTCTAGGCCTTCGTCCTCACCGAAGCTCAGCAGCTTTACATCTCTGCGAAATCCGTCAGATTGAGACGCCGTGCTCATACGAGGAACTGACTTTTTGGCTCCCTTTCGACGAGCAGCCTCCTCCCGCTCTTGCTGAGCAGCTTCGCGCGCCTTCTGTTGTGCCCTCTTTTCCTCAGCCGTGATACGGGGAACAATATCTGGAAAGGGGTTATCAACTATCCGGATTGTCCTAATTTTGGGCGGGCTGACGGTATTTGTGAGCCTCTGGACGAGCAAGGGGATGCAAGACCTACTGACTATGTTGGTCGCCCGTTCTTGTCGATTTCTGAAGCGAAACAGTGAGTCCTTGCCAATACACGTGTCAGCCAATCTCTTACCCGTCGCGCCGATTTTCAAGACGTCTACGGGGTTGCATTAGAATCCGTACTGACAACTACACATTCCACTCACTGTATATAGTGTCTCCAATGCATCGGCCAAACAGTGTGTGTTTGCCGTGGAGTTCATCAGCCCTGTCTTTGCCACAGGTATATGTAAGTCGTGGAGGCATCGAGGAGCAAACCTACACTTACCTAGTGTAATGAAGAATTGGGAGTCATTAGAATTCTTGTCGCCATTGTTTGCGCATGCGACGAGGCCACGGTGAGTGAAGCGTAGACGAGGGTGAATCTCGTCCTCGAACGGTTCTGCAACGCAAGTTGAGGCTATGGTGACCGTGCATGGCTCGTTACTTACCCCCGTATATGGATTCGCCACCTCCGCCTGTTCCCGTCCGATCTCCAGTTTGAACTAAGAAGTCCGGGACCACACTAGCAATCACTCAAAGTTATTCACGCCCGCAGGCGGTCCCCGGAAGAATCGACTTGCCGATGGAAGATGACACCGTCATAATAACCTGGAGCATATGTTTCAACATGAGATCAGCACCACGAGACGGGACAAAGGGACTCGTGCCTTCCATGGCCAGCTGTACAAAGTTGCGGCATGCTTTGGGGGCTTCCTATAGGCAACCTGTTCAGACTTCGCCGTCGTGTGTCGCTGGGAGACACACTTTGGACCACAGTTCGATGTCGAGCTCTCCAACAGTAGTCTCCACAATCACTCGTCCCTTGGTTGGCAACGCCATGTGAGTCAAGATGTTGTATCTCAATGTATCTCAATGCAGCAAGTCAAAGAGCCGCGAGCGGGCGCGGTGGTGAGAGCGAGAACGGTTCTCTGTGGAACGCGAAATGGTCTGCGCGCGCGCGTCTAACCTTCTCGAATCTCCTCCGGTTCACCGTTCACCTCCTGCCTTACCCATCGATCATAAACTCTTGGCCACCATGTCCGAGGACAAACGGGGTGTCTTCATTGTTATCGAAGGACTCGATCGCTCTGGGAAGAGCACTCAAGCCGCCTCTCTCGTCGACCGGCTGCACTCCCAAGGTCTCCCGGCCATGCTCTTGAAGTTCCCTGGTCAGCCTCACACCATGCGCAGCCTGTAATTTTTTTTCCGTCCTTTCGGCTAAGACACCGCAAGCGCAGATCGTACTACGCCCATCGGAAAGATGATCGATGCTTACTTGCGTTCGCAATCGGAGCTGGACGACCGCGCCATCCACCTGCTTTTCTCTGCTAATCGCTGGGAGCTCTCGTGCGTCTACCCATGCACACGAACGTGGCAGTCTGTCTCAACAACTCCGCTCTCTTCATCCTACTGCGGAACATGAACGCCTGGGATGCTGTCCGTGTGCGCAGCTCGACAATTGAAGCCACGCTCGCGTCCGGAACACACATAATATGCGATCGCTACGCGTTCTCCGGTATAGCCTTCTCAGCTTCCAAGGGTCTTCCGTACGAATGGTGTCGAGCGCCGGACATATCCCTCCCCGCCCCAGATCTCACGCTCTTCCTCGATATCTTCCCCGAGGCGGCCAGACAGCGCGGCGGATACGGCGAAGAACGGTACGAGAAGGAGGAGATGCAGGCGCGTGTAAGGACAGTTTTCAAGCGAATCGGGGAAGATATGCAGTCGCTGAACACCGCGGATGGCGCTCGCGCCTGGGTAACGATCGATGCTGGACGTGAACGCGAGGCGGTACAACGGGAGATTTGGACAGTCGTTGAACCGTTGCTGACAGCGACATATCGACCGCTTCGCCATCTATGGAAAAATGTTCGTATATAACGACCGAAATGATCATGGACATTAGATATAGGATAGGAATATGTATAGTAGAGTACAGAAGCAGTACACACGTTAAGGAGATAAAGAACGTTGTTGTTGCTTTAGAGAGCGATAATCGGACGCAAGATGAGAAAGCGAGCCAGAGTAACTGGCACGCCCAAGAACAATCATGGTGCAGACGACAGCCGTGACACTACAAGGGCGAAGAACAGGAACAATGCCCAACGCCAGCGCTCCCAGACAACTTGCGCCCACCCGTGTGCGGCTACGGCTTTCGGCGCAGCGTCAGTTCTTCGATCGCTGCTCGCACCTGCGGCTGGCTGTCTTACGTTCATAGCGGCGGCTCTGGCATGCGCTTCCGTTACTCGGCCTTTCAGTGACGAAGACACCGTTGACTGGTCACCAGCCTGCAACGACGGAGCAGACGGCGGTGTCTGGACCGACTTGACATCCGTCGAAGGTGTGTCGTCGCTCTTCGAGTCGGATTTGGCAGCCTGCTGCCCCATGTTTGGCAAATCTTTCGCGGTAGGCGTGCAAAACTGTACGAGAGACACGAGCAAGATAAGGACACCAGTCCGCTACATCTCATCAAATGGAACGTACGTCTGGAAACTGCTCCTTGAACCGCTTCTGGGTAAGGTTCCAGGCATGCGAACGTCCCGCCAGTATCCGCTTATCATTATCAGAGGACGAGACAGATCCAGTGGTGATGTCATCGGAGAGCATGAACGAGAGTAAACCGGTCAAGATTGTGGCCACACTCCAGGCGGGATTCCACTGTCGTGTGATGTTAATCCTGCCAAGCAACGACGCTCAAGAGAATAACAGCTTGCAGTACTCACCGTTCCCGGATGGAAGTCTGACATTGAAAAGCAGATCTTCTTATCTGGCTGGAAGCGCCCAGACGGCGTCAACATCTACAGGATCAACACCATGATGAACAATTAATAGAACGCCGTTATCGCGTATGCAATGCCGACCTTAATACCTGGCGGCTTGAAGGGGTATTCCGAGGGAAACATGAGCATTCCGTGATACTCTCCGCCAGCAAAGGGTGAGTCTGGCGGCCCTCGCTACATGATAAGGTAGCGACGATCTGAGCATGCGTCTTTGTACGTGGATACCATGGCCACTCACGATAATGTAATGCCCTGGTCGCATCGGGTCAGACTCCAAGCATAAGGGGGATTCTTTCTTTGAGTGGCGCGGTACGCACAGTTCAAAATGTTCTTCTCCTCCGGAGCCGCCCAGACAAAGGGAGGAGGTTCCTTCTGCATCGCGACATACTCTTTCGAGAGCTAGAGCAGCATCTGTGAGCTTTATGAAGTGTAGGAGTGGCGCGGGGGGCCGTACACGCTTGTGGGCTGCTTTGGAGGCCATGGATGAGATGGACCCAGATCGAGTTGCTTGTAAAGGGAGGTTCCGTCACATTGCCCCACTGCGACGGCTGCCCGGTCACGTGTGATCCCAGGGGTCGGGATGGCTATGCGTGAGCCTCATGCTCCCGATTTGACGAACAGTCGCGCAAACCTTGCCTGCGTTCAAAAGTATGGATGACCGCGCTCCTTACTTTGGAGGTTATCCAGCAACACAGGGCGCGTTGCCTCGATGGACGAACCCGGGTCTATTGAACTTCATGCAGGCTCCGACGTGGTGCGGATCGCCGATGGCAGAGAGAAGGGTTGCATAGTTGGCGTACACTGGTATGCGTGCGATCTCCGTACTCCGGCGTAACACATGCTATACAACTCCATCCAACAATCCGACACACTCAATCGCACTGCAAACATATATCCAAGGAGGAGATGGCCGTACACTGGGGGGTCATAGTTTCGCCTTGCCCTGCGCAAGGGTCACGGAAGCAGCGGCGGATTGTATGCGTTCAGCTGCATCGGACACCATCTCGTCGATGATCTCCTTTGCGGGCTTGACGTCGTGAATCAGGGAAGATACACTGCCCGACATGGTTAGCTAACCCTAAGGTGTAGATAGCGCTCCTACTCACCGGCCAATCAGCCACGCGCGGACATGAGGGCCGGCCTTTTCGGGGTGCTTCTCCATCTCGTATTCGTGAGGTATAATGCCCTTCGAGGTCAGCTCCTTGATCTCAGCTTGACGGTTGTTGTTCCTGAGATAACCCATCATTAATGTGTCGGCGGCGGGGGGTTTAATTAGAACGAAGCTTACCAGTCATCGACGTATGGGGTCCTGCGTACGCGCAAAGGACGGCCAGTGTAGATTAAGGTCGTCACAGCATCCTCATACCCTGCGCTGAGTACAGCTTCCTTGTGTGCTTTTGGCGCAGAGGCCTCGGTGGATGCAACGAATCTAGTGATATCCGAGAAAAGCGGCCCTGATTTGTGATTGAAGATGCAGGGAATGAGTTATGCCTTACCTCGTACCAACCCAAACGCCAACAGCGCCCCACATGAGGTTGGCGGCCAAGCTCCTGCCATCATAGACAGCGCCGGCACCAATAACGTAAATGGGTTGACCTTACTCCAATAGGTTAGTATATCCATGGCCGGTCCTTAAGCCGGGAAAGGGGCGGACATACCAGTCAACGAGCTCTTACGACCCTTTACGGCATCCACGCAAGCAGGGATGAGGATGGAAGCGGGAATATCACCGGTGTGTCCGCCTCCCTGCAAGAAATGGACTGCGTCAATGGATACCAGAAACCACGAATGCAATGCTCGTACCTCCCCAGCCTGCGCACAAATCAAGTCCACGCCGGCATCCAGTGCCTTAGCAACATGCTTGGGATGGCCAACCATCTACATAGAGCTTGTGAGAACAACATAGTCATGGCCCATATAGGGTACATCCCACAGACGTACGTTCATGACCAGAATACCAGCCTTGTGTAGTTTTTCTACGACCTCCTTCGGGGGGACACCAATAGCGCAGACGAAGAGCGTCGCCTTCTCCTCGATGATAACATCGATGAGCTGAGGCAGCTGCCCTTTGGTGTAGTCGTACTGTAAGAGACATCAGAACAATGTAAGACAGCTTCGGTTCTGAGCAGCGCACGTTGGTCTTGCGAGCATTGCCACCAATCTGCGGAAGAAGCAAATCCACGCCGAACGGTGCGTTCTTATCCTTTAAGTCCTTCTTGAGTTCGTGTATCTGTGAGACAGGTCGTTATGTGTCAGGTGCGGCCTCACGGTTGACAAAGCCCCCGCGTGTTATGTGCTTACTTGCGACCTCAGAACCTTCGGGGTGTATCCTACACCGCCAATGACACCAAGACCACCGGCGTTCGTCACAGCTGCGGCGAGTTCAGGACCGGCCGCAACGTTCATACCCGCCAGAAGTATGGGGTGCTGAATCTTGAAAAGGGAGGTTATGGGTGTGGAAATGACGCTCATTTTGTCTCCGAGTCGGTATCTACGGAAAGGTGAACGATGGTGGTGGTTGGATGTAGAAACGCGAGGTAGGTGGTCAGGAGTCTTAACACATACCTATGATATTTCGGCCCTGCCGGTAACCGGAGGCATTTCGGGGAGGCTGAAGCCGGAGATCATTTCACACGACATTAACGTGCTGCGTAAAGGGGGCTCGATTATCGTCGACTATGCAAGTCGAACGAAACGTCTCAGGGATCCGCGACGACCCGATAAGCAGTCTCATGTACTGAGGTGTATGAAACGGCACTGTTGAAGGCTGAGCTTATATCACACCCAGCTGATTGGGCATGGTTGTCGATCATGTACAGCTTCGCACTTCTCTCGGTCATGCAGCTCGAATGCCAGAGACGGGCAGTCTGCAGCGACCATACCAGTAGCGTTCTCTTTGTGCAGCTTTTGTTGCTTGGTCAATCACACGGAGTTGACCGGTCGTTCAATAAGTACTGCCCGACTTGCACCACATCCCAACGCGGATTCCACGCAACTTCGGCCAGCTTGAGCAAGCGCTTTGCTCCCGATACATCCTAGCCGAATCTTAGAGCGCGTGATTTGTCCGGCAGGTTCAGAGCCAACGCGGCTCCGACCTCGACGCGGACCCGGTACCCTCTATCATGATCGGCCATCCACGGGCATAGCAACTCCATTTCTTTTGTCGAGACGAACACGGTACACCTTAATCGCTGTATATCGTCGTGTTCAACGAGATTGCATTCCTCACGCCAGAATGGGTTTTACCCGGATCCTCCCTTCTTTACGCGTCACGCCTATCGTTGTCGATCGTTCGGACCCATCATCGCCGGTGACCCCTGCGCGGTAGAAGAGAGAGCTCCAGTTGACAGTCCTCAGGTTCTTTAGATACTGTGCTAGCCGCAACGTTGCTTCGCGTTCCCGAATGCGGACCGCCATGGCCGTACTGTCGTACCCGTGACCGTCAAGTCGGCATGGAGGCTGCGCCGATGTGCATTCCGTGTTTGCGGCGCTCCCGCAATGGACAGCATGATAAATGTAGTCCGACAGCGTGTCCTCGTCCGATAGAAAGATACCAAGCGCAAGATGTTCCAAGTTGACAAGGGGTGCCAGAGTCTTTCCGTAAGCACGCTAAGAGGGTTCACTAGCTTCAGCGAGATCTGCAGATCAGCCCTGAAACGCAAAGGTGCACTTGCCGCAAGTTCATCAACGCTTGAATAATCATAGGGTACGGGGGAGTGAACCACGAGCTGAGCAGAGTCTTCGAGGCAGCCCCAGCATCCACTCCAGTCCAAGCGTTCCGTGCATTCAAGCCCGAGGACTCTCAAGAGGGGAAGCGTGATAGAGATCGCAGATAAGAGATGCAGGTCGATCCGAGGCAAGCAGGAAAGCTTCAGCGACAAGAGGTTGGAAGGCAGCGCCCTTATGAGTTTCTGCACTCTCTTGTACTGCGTTCCTTGATGTTCTAGGTCGAGATCAATCTCAAGATTGATGAGGTTCGAGAAACGAAGGATCTTCGTTGGAGAAACCGTTGAGCGACACGAAAGCGAGCTAGGTAGATGTCACGTCAATGGTCGACACAGCGATGCGATCAAAAGGATGTGCATATATGCATATACGCACCGAGCCCACCCGTAGATGCCTTCAATGAGTGATTCCGACTCCCATTTACGAAGGGAGAGAATCTCGGTGTGGTAGAAGAAGCACCGGAGCGCTATCTGCCGGAACCGATAGCACGTAACAGAAACACTTTTGACGACCGAAAAATCATGATTCGTGAAAAGAGCCACGCAGATGATTCTGTCGACAAGCTCCAAAGGTAGCGTTGGCGAGAACTATATGCAGCCAGTCGGTGGGAATCGTCAGTTTCCTGCACTGCATATATGCGCCTCCGACCGCCCGAGAACGCTGACCAGCTGCGGAGGCACGACAAGAATCTGCGATGCTGCTCTATCTTCATTTGACACAGAGTCTTTGACCTGCATTCCAGAACGAGGCCGTAGTCGGATATATGCACAACGTGGGTCGGCGTAACGTCGGCGAGGAAGATCCTAAGCAGTCCAAACGACAACGTCGGGACGCCCGACGAATTGATGTACGTTGTCTGTTGTTAGCTGGTCAAGCTTCAAGGACAGAAATGCTGAAGTACACGGTTTGCTGAATCTGTCGCGCGACGAGGGAGTATTTGAGAGGAAAGGGTTCGAAGGGCGTATAAGCGCGATTCATTAGAAGCCTGTTTACGTCAGCTTGTCAAGACCTCGCCACTTGAGACTAGTATACGCTTCGCGAGGTCAAAGTGAGCTTGACGAACGAACGCAGCGCAGTCGAAGTGGTGCCGTGTGGCGTAGAACATCAAGGCCTTACTTATGGAATGCTCATTTCGTCGAAGCATATGATCAATGATGTACATTTATGCCCCAAAATACTACCTATTCGTCATCTCTTAGCGCGTGCTTTCTAAAGGTTCTTGATGAAGAATTCGACGGCGGCCTTGAAGGCACCCTCCTTGCCGGCTTTCACCTTGGGGTCGCTCTGTAGGGTTCGGATCAGCATACGACCACAAGGAGGGCGTATAACAAAGACGTACGACATCGCCACGAACAGCGAACCTGATAGCGGCGATCTATCAGTAATCGCGTCATCCCTAACATCTTGCAAGTTATCTCACCCGTGTGTGCAGCCTTCCCAGTACAGACGCGTGTATCCTGGAGCGAACTTGCCGTTGCCGAAGATCTCGTCCGCCTTTGCCTGCTTCTCGGCGGGGAACATCTGGTCAACCTCGCACGAGTTGATGAGGAGCGGTGCCTTAGACACCGAGAAGTATTTCTGGATTTGACAATTGAAACCTGAACGCGTTACAACCTGGTGATAGACGTCCCCACCTCCAGGTCGCTGGGCTCGAGTAGCGAAGGGTGGTTGACGACAACCGCCTTAGGGATGTTTTCGAATGCAAGGTCAAACGCATAGCGAGCTGTGGTGAAGATGCCAGATCAATGGTGCGACAGTTGTGCCTGTGTAGCAAACTTACCCCCGAGGCAGTACCCAGTAGCACCGAAGATAGTTACGCCCTGCGTTTTCAGCGCGTTGATGACTTTGTCAAGCGGCGGGCGGGTCTTGTCCGGGCCGTGGTTCGCGAACCAGTCGTTGATCGTGAAACCGGGAACCTTGCCCGTCAACACGTCCTCAGAGATCGGATCGCCGTTGAGGTAGTCAGGAAGGATAGTCTTGAATCCATTCTTCGCGAATGCGTCGGCGACGAGCTTGTTGTTCTGGGCTAAACCGAAGACATCGGGAAGGAAAAGGATAACCCTGCGCGGATATGTAGGTGAATATGCCATCCTTGATAACGCCGAACATTACGTACTTGTCCTTGGGATAGTCAATCTCCGGGGTCGCTACATAGACGTCGACGCCATCGATCTTCTCGATCTTGCCTATAAGGTTATCAGATATACAATCATAGACGAGGACATCGACGTGGAGGTTAAGTACTCACCGGCTGGCTCGCCTTCGTTTATCACACCTGGTGGTGATATCGCAGATTAGCAGTCTGTTGGAATCTAGCGTATTATCCAACACGAAAGCGTACCAGAGATGCAGTCCTTGCAGAAGCTCATGTTGGAGGCGTACGTGGCACGAGGAATGGGTAGGGAAAGCTGCCTCCTCTGGGAAGAACGTGTCCCTCCATTTATACCGAGGTCGATGGCGCAGTGACCCTCAAGCTTGAGGGTAGTGATTCGTCATCTTCTGCCTCTCTTGGAAAGCACTTCCCCACCGTGGCACCGTCCTTCGAGCGAGCGCTCAGCCACAGGTTGATAACCCTCTGAAAATGGCTTGCCTAACATACATTACATAGCACTGTATGTACACATGTACCTAGGATTTTTGGTGCTGGTGGTGACACGGTGCGGTCGGCTGCTTCAGCTCACGAAAACCGTCGAGCTGCCTGGCACGCTGTCGCCTGCACGAGTGGCGTACGTGCAGCGCAGCAACCGGCTGTTCCGCTACCGGGACCACGTCGGCAATCTACCTACCTACCTATCTACCAGACGAGCGAGAGGTTGTATGGGCGTCAGAATCGCATTTCAGTCGTATGCATCCTAGCTATATGCCAGTGCACAGAGGTACACCGGGGACTGGACACGACGGAAGGCTGAAGTGCTTTTGCGAGTTGGGAGTGGGAGAAGCGCGGGTACGCGCCGTGCGCGTGATCTAATCTTGATGCACGTATAGCCGGCAGACTGCTTGCTGTTAGCCGCCTGGTGCGGTACCCAGGCAGTACTGTGGGCTTGCCACGGTCTCGCTGACATGCGAAGTCGGGGGAAAGAGTCTGATATAACAACACATATGATCCGACAATGCTTCACATACATTCGGGCTGCCGAAACAATAGTTCATCCAATACGGGTTACGTATCTGAACTCATCTACAAGTTCTTGATGAAAAAGTCGACAGCAGCCTTGAATGCACCCTCCTTGCCGGCCTTAACCTTTGGGTCACTCTGCCAGGCTGAGATTAGTATGGGTTCAACGGAAGGAGCATAATATAGACTCACGATGTCGCCGCGAATGGAGAATCTGCGATGGAGGCGAGGAGGTGAGCATTGGCATCTCTGAGAGTTCTCATACATTTATCTTACCCATGTGTGCAACCCTCCCAGTGCACCCGTGTGTAGCCTGGCACAAATTTGCCGTCTCCGAAAATTTCGTCTGCTTTAGCCTGCTTGTCAGGAGGGAACATCTGGTCAACTTCACACGAGTTGATGAGCAGCGGCGCTTTAGATTGGGCGAAGTATTTCTGGTTCCCCCAAGTCAGAAGATGCAGTCATGATAAACCAGCTTGGGTAGACGATGATATTCCTCACCTCAAGGTCCGCGTATTCGATCAACGAGGGATGGCTAACGACGACCGCCTTGGGGAAGTCCTCAAACGCGAGGTCAAATGCGTACCGAGCTGCAAGGCGTTAACAGATCGGTGATGCGATACTCGCACTGGCAGCACACACTCACCTCCAAGGCAGTAACCGGTAACACCGAACGTAGTGACGCCCTGTGCCTTCAACCCATTGATGACCTTGTCGAGCGGTGCACGGGTCTGCTCCGTTCCATGGTTCTTGAACCACTCCTGAATTGAGAAATTTGGCACTTTCCCCCGAAGCACATCCTCTGGCACGGGGTCGCCGTTGAGGTAGTCTGGAATGACTGTCTTAAAGCCATTCTTCGCGAAGGCGTCGGCCACGAGCTTGCTGTTTTGAGCAAGACCGTAGATGTCGGGAAGGAAGAGGATGACCCTGGAGAAATATGACAGGTGAGTATCGACCTTGCATTAAAAGGCGATAACTTCGTACTTGTCCTTAGGGTAGTCGATCTCCGGGGTGGCGACATAGGCATCAACACCATCGATCTTCTCAAACTTGCCTGCGTTGCTGTCAATAAGGGGAAATGTGGATATGTTCTCGTATCACCTTGTGGCTCGCCCTCGTGGATCACGCCTGGATAGCATCCTCCGAGGTCAGAGACTCAGGCTCAAACGGTCTGCCGAAAACATACCGGAGATACAGTCTTTGCAGAAACTCATGTCTTCCGAGGTGTATATGGTAAGACGGATGTGCAGTCGCGAGGTATGGACGGGTGTGATTTATACCAGCATCGATGGAGGATGCGACGTCAGTCATTGAGTATGATAGCCACGCTTACGGCTTGGTCATGATTATCGTCGCCCCTCTCCCCATGTCGACAGTGTATCGCTTCCCGAAGGTTCTGTGCCTCCCGTTGCTCGGTTTCTGTCCAGTCGGACGACCTGCTGTTGCGCTCTGATGCTTCTCAGCTGCCGGTTTCCCGAAGGTGGGTGCCTGTGCGTGGATACATATTACAGTCATCGGCGACCTGAGTGCTCGACTGCTTGGGTGCTCGAGATGCTCAGTCTGCATAGATATGAATAACCGAAGTGGGGCGGCCGGCGCCGGCACGGGGATGAATCACTGTAAATCGCGTGCGGCACTTCGGTTCAGCCCGAGTGGCTGTGACGCGTCTCATGCCAGCTCAGCCAAAGATCCAGGGAAGTGAAGCACCGTATACGTGTCTCTATATCCTCCAACGAACGCGCAAGAGACGTCGGCATTGGTATGCTCTTACTTCTTGAATGTTACTGAGGACTGAAGCATTCAAGAGTCATTGATCACCCTCTAGTCAAGGACGTGCATTACTGTTTGATACGCACTTGCCAGTGTGACCTGCTTGCCCATTAATTTCTCGCCTGGACAGTCCATAGTAAGTCACAGTATCACTGTCGCTCGTAATGCTCATGCTGACCAGGCTCAGATCTTCTGTCTCGATGTCCCACTCACATACGCATGCACCGGGCGAAGCCCACACGCATTCTCATGGCCCGCAACCACCAGCTCAGCCTCAACAGGCTCCCCAAATGGTGCCCCCGCCGCCAGACCCAGTCATGCAGGCCATCATCGACCAGTCCTTTCATCCCGTCGACCTCAGCATCGGTGGCGATGTCAATAGTCCCTCCGTGCTCTGCGCCAAGCACTCCGTCGAGAAGTGCACGGACTGCGACCTTGACTTCAAGGAGCTCAACCGGTTGAGCAAGGTCCTCTTCTTGAACCCGAACCTGCTATGTCCCCCTCCTGCGAAGATTGTGAACCAGAAACTGTCCCAGGCGGTCAACGTAACCAAAGAAGAGGGCAACGTTCGTATAATCTCATTCGCTTCGCTGCTATTTCACAGTGGTTCATGCTCGTATCCGCACTCCAGGCCCTCTTCAAAGCAGGTCAGCATGAAAAGGCCTTAGTGAAATACACCATGGCAGCGAGTCTTGCCTGCAGCCGCGCGCCATGGGAAGCCCAGCAGATTATGCGCGAGGAACTTTCCGCTGTGATTTCCAACCGCTCGGCTGCGTATCTCGAGTCCGGAGACCCCATCAGCGCGCTCGTTGATGCCGAGACGGTCGTCCAGCTGAAGCGGAATTGGAGCAAGGGCCACTTCCGCAAGGCCAAGGCGCTCGTGGCGCTCGGTGACCTCGAAGGCGCACGGGACTCTATCGCGCTCGGCCTCGCGTTTGAGCCCAACAACACGGTGCGTATCACTGCCTCCGCGTCGCCGAGGGAGCATCGTAGACTCATGAATATGATAGGAGATGAATCAGTTCATGGCAGAAATCACAGCATCGATACAAAAGGCTCGGGAAGCCAAGCTGTCCGCTAAGTCCAAACTCGCGTCATCATGACAAGATGCACCTATCGTACTGTTTGCCTACTCTCCTTGATTAATTATATCCTTGTACAGTCTGCGCCTATCTGTGTCCCGTATGTGCATGCCTCCCGGAAGCATTATGGCCCATACACCTGGGATCCGCCTGTGATCTCGGGTTGTGTGCCTACAAACAGCTTATCCAACATATCCGCGGCCTCCACGCATTCTTGCGGCTCTCGGAAGACTCGTATGGGTATATGCGGAGGGACGATCGCTCGCGCCTTGTACACGCGTTGCTGAAGCTCAAACCTCCTCCGCTCGTTGACGCTCAGTCCCTGTGGTGCGCGCCCAGCTCCGGGTATCGTAACATCGTTCGGAGCAAACGTCGTGACATGATCCGGCATTGGCGTCGCCTCCGGATCTGCATATGGATCATGGGCGTCGGGTAGCTCGTTGTGACTAGATGCAGGGGACTCCGGCATACCGATTGGGCTCGGAGAGGCGGAAATAGAGTCTGAATGGAGGTTGCTGGAAAAATAGTCCGTCGGAGTGCTCGGTGCGCTGGCAATCGAAGGAGGCCTTGAGTGCGAGCGCCCTGGTATGAGATAACTCGACGTCCTCTCTCGCGGAGTCGTAGGGGTCAGTAATTCCGACATCGCGCGTTTTGGATTGCGCAGCGTTCGTACTGGGGCAGCCAATTTGCCACCCCGCGGGGTTGCAGGTACGCCAACGCTCACACTCGTCGGCCGCGTGCCCCTCGGATCATCGAGGCCGGTAACGCCTTCGTCGTATTGGTTCACGTCACGAATGAAGATAGCCAGAATCTGATCCGGACGGTCTGCGGCCATGGTCGCGTAAAGCTCGAGGTCTTGCTCGCCCGAGTCGCCTACGAGGAAGAACCGCGAGTCGCAGAAGTTGTCGAGGATCTCCGCGACGCCCGCTCGCTTGCGCTGCGCGGGCGCAGATAAGAGACCGTTGAACAGTGAACGTCCCGCGTAAGACTTGAGCTTGACTGAGCCCGGGGGCAGCGATGAGATCTGGAAGAACTCGGAGAGGACAGGCAAGAGCTCAAACGGCCCATTGGACTGGATTGAGATGGGTGAGATCCATAACCGAGAACACGTCGAGCCCCACTCACAACGTAGTGAAACCGCACACCGCGCTTCCACATCCATGTGTACCACTCGCCCATGCCCGGTATGATGAGGTCCTTGAGGTCTTTGACGAAGACGTTATGAAATATCGCGCGGGCCCCGCTGATGATACTGGACATCTTGACTGTATCGTCAATGTCCGATATCACACGCACAGGGCAGTGCGACAACGGTATTTGGATTTGCGCTTTTGCAGTCGGCTCCGAGGAAGCGTGCACGTGTTGGGGAGGCTGACGGGCAGCATAAGTGGTCGGAACCTGCTCAGGCGGTGGCGGCGGAAGGAGCTCCGCCAATACGTAAAAGTTGTGCTCTACCGTCGGATCGCCGAAGACCACTTCGAGAGCACCGGGATGCGTGCACATCCGCTCGTAGGGTACAGAGAACCGCCATTGAAACGAGCCATCTGCAGCCGTCTTGACCTTCTGGACAGCAAGCGGCTTGTGACCACGTTGGTCCGCTTCAGGATGGTCTTGGGAACAAGGGCCGGTGAAGAGCGTAAGACGGACGGGTCGATTAGGCAAGGTGGAGGACCAGAAAGGCTGAAGTCGCTGCTCGAGGTTGAAGTGGAGTTGATGCAACGAACTTTTAAATCCACCGGGGGATACGGCGTATCCCGAGGGTTCTGAGAGAGTGGATGGCGAGCTTGATATGGCGGATGACGAGGAGGAGGAACGGGACATCATCGAGGACGTATCGCTTCCTGTGGAAATAGTGTCGAAATCGAGATTGCGAAAGTGATCTTCCAGGGCTTGAACCTCGGATTCTTCAGTGATTTCTGTTGGCCGTGGTGGGAGGTGGATCTGTTTCAGCAGCTCTTCGGTTGATGGAGAAAGGCGCTGGAACGGAGGTGACGGGTTGGTCGGAGATATCGTTCCTGCGATCTTCGGCAGGTTGGCGAATCCTAGCGGAGTGAGGGTCTGGGTTTGGAACAACAAGAGAGGAAGAACCTTTCGCAAGTCTTATAAATGCCTTCTGTGACCTTGAGGCGTTTTCGGGAGAGGTGTAACTGACGGCGAAGCCCGACACGAAAAGATCGACATCGAATGGGTCTTCTACATACGAATTGAGCGACGGGAAAGACCAAGGAAAGACCTTTTCTACCAACCACGAAGATTGTCCGTCACTCGTTGATACCTCCGGGCGGCCCATCCCGGGAACAACGAAAGTCTATGGTTTCCAGAGTTGCTTCCTTCGCTGCCACTGATCTGAGTGCTCGTTCAATGGAACCGAAGTCGTCTGATCCAGGTTACGCACCCCCTTCAGTTTCTCCCCGGCCCACTGACCCCACGACTGGGTGCGCGGTGCCTCCTGCAGCTGCCTCGGGCGGGCTGCTCGAGACGATGAGCTCGAATCTCTGGGGTTCAGATAGGACTTGAAGTTTGCGAGCTTGGAGGAAATGGGTCTCCAGGACGGCATGTCGTTGGCCATGGTCGCGCGCTCAGACGCATCGAGGTCGAACAGGCGCGCACATCTGGAGAAGGTTCAAGCTTCCGAGGGTCGCGGTGTTCACGGTCGTTGCAGTGCAGAGCGTTACGTCATCCCATCTGCAGTCCATAATTAGCCAAGCCTCAAGCTCTTCTTCCACAGCGTACGAAGTCGAAAACTGCTTGCAATCTCGCGTGTTGTCGCAACGATCACAATCGTAAAGATGACTCCAGCAGGTTCAACGCAGCAGCCTCGTGTCTTCCTCCCCCTTTACGTCTCGGCAGGCAATGAAGCGCGCGATAGACTCGCTTTCTTCCATATCATCGAGAGACTGAAGGTCAGCAACGTAGTTCTAGCACTCAGGAAATCACCCCACTCAATATACTTCAGACCCAGAAACGGACGGGGTGGGTGGACCACAAGGTTGTCCTGCCGCTTCGACCAGGATGCATACAGCGTTTAAGATGCGATCTTAACAGGTGCCCAATCCGGAGAGGTAGTGGGCACCCTTTCTATCAGGCAATGATTCACCGACAGCGATGATAGCATATCGGACCACATGTACCGCATGTCGCTTCTTGCGATGTGCACCGCAGACGCAGATCTGGACGTCAGCAAGTGAGGCGAATTCAGTTACTGTTGCCCCCTCAACTGATTCTGTAGATGTGTCATGATGTGTCTGGTACATGATCTCGCAGAAGCACAGGGTGAGTACGCGTTCAACCGTCGAAATAGATTTCAACCCACATAGTCTATGACAGTCGGCGATATCGCTCCCCGCGAAGGCATCCCGAAAGCTGAAAAGAGGCGGCTGGAGGCAGTTCGTCCATTGTTTCTCATGGCGGAGGAACTCAGAGTAACCCAGAGGAACAGGAAGCGATGCATAACTTCGTGCACGAGATGTTACACAATAGTCCCACAGCACAGAAAATCGAAGCGTTGTGGCAGGTGAGTACGAGCAAGCGGAACACTGCGCTCCTCGGTGATGTCCATTCCAGGAGTACGAAGACGGGGAGAGCAAAGAAGCCCGTTTTGTCAAAGGTAAGCTCACTTAGTCTTCCTGTAGCATGTGCCTCACAGACAGTCTAGATCTTGATCGTTTCGAGATGGCTGCCCAAGGTGAGCTGCCTTGCTTGTCAAAATTTACCCTCTGAACTCACGAGCATACCGTACAAGCTTTCGAGTACGAGCGAGATCATGGCATGAAAACCTTGCAGCCGTTCTTCGATAGCAGCCTCCCCAACATCCGTCATCCTGAGGTTCAAGGCTGGGGCAAGGATTTACTCGCCGAGAGGGAACAGTTTAAGCAAGCCCAACAACAGGACAAGACTTCAGAACAGGCGGATCGATAACCTCTAAGGATAAACTACAACGCAGCAATACAGGCTCTTCATTGGGGCAATACATTTTATCGATAGCTTAGTGGTGGAACAACCGGAGCGTGGTGTGCGCGAACACCATACCGTGTTCGTCGGCGGCCTTGATGCACTCGGCGTCCATAACGCTTCCAGACGGCGCGGCCAGGTACTTTACGCCGCTCTTCTTCGCCCGGTGAACGTTATCAGGGAAGGGGAAGAACGCGTCGCTCGAGCACGCGACGCCGTCGAGCTTTGCCAGGTGTTCCTTCTTCTCCGACTCGCTCAGCGGCCCGGGCACGCTTTCGAACAGCGACTCCCACTGCGCGCGCTCTCCGCCCTCAAGGACCTCACCGCTCACGAACAGGTCGATCGCGTTCGCCTTGTCCGCGCGCTTCGTCCCCTTCTTGAACGGCAGGGCCAGCACGCGCGGGTGGTGACGCAGCCACCAGTTGTCGGCCTTGCTACCAGCGAGGCGCGTGCAGTGGATGCGCGATTGTTGGCCTGCGCCGATGCCGATGATAGAGCCATGGTACGCGTAGGCGACACTATTGGACTGGGTGTATTTGAGGGCCAAAGTCGCGACGATAAGATCGGTTAACGCGGCTTGAGGCAGCTAGACGCGGGTTTAGTATTGAGGTTACGACGAAGAGTTGATGACGCGCACCTCTTTGTTTTGTGTGACGATGTTGGTGAAGAGGTTTGCGTCGATGACAGCGTCGTTCCGCCTTTGCTGCATATGAATACCATATACTTGCCTCGTCTCAATCTCGGGAGGAGTGTAATCGGGGTCAATCTCAATCATGAGTTAGTGATCTGATGAACACGGCGATATACACGATCTGTACCTGAAGCACGCAGTATTTTCCGCCCTTCTTCTTCTTAAGGACCTCAAGCGCCCCTTCCGAGTATCCAGGAGCGATGACACCATCTGAAACCTCACGAGAGATTATCTTGGCGGTAGCCAGATCACATGGGGCGGAGAGAGCGATGAAGTCTCCGAAGGAGGACATCCGGTCAGCACCTGTTAGACGATGTTAACGAATGGATGAATGTAGCAAATGCGGGATGGAGAACCTCGGGCGCGCGCGTACGCAGATGCTAGAGGTGTCAGTGACTCCTTGAGGTCATCCACACCATACACCTTCTTCTCGACGTCGTCAAGCTCGAGGCCGACGGCAGCGCCGGCAGGGGATACGTGCTTGAACGAAGCTGCAGCAGGCAGGTTCATCGCAGCCTGAAGCTCCTTCACAAGTGCCCAGGAGTTGAGTGCGTCCAGCAGGTTGATGTACCCAGGAGACCCGCAGAGTGCTGGCGTGATGATGAGCATTAGATACCAACTAATGCAGCCCAACTTACCCTTGAACGGTATTTGACCCTCTGTCACGAATGCCTGTGCAGGCTTTTGGTGGGGGTTTGCGCCATACCGCAGTGCCATCCTTTGTACTGGACCCGCGAGCTGGTCCGCGCTCAACTCCGCAGACGCGTACTGCTCCCTGAAGTAGTCGCTGATGGCCTCGTCATAGCGTGCGGTCATCTCGAATGCTTTGAGCGCGAGCATACTTCGCTTCGACTGCCCGACATCGCCTTGTCCATCCTTCCAGGCTTTCAAAAAGTTGGCATAGTCTGCGGGATCGGAGAGAATGGATACCCGGGCGTGGTTCTTGGCGGCAGCACGAAGGAGGGTGACGCCTCCGATGTCAATTTCCTCAACGGCCTGAGCAATCGTGCAGCCGGGTTGTGCGATCGTGGATGAGAATGGGTAAAGGTTGCAAACCACGATTGAGATAGGGGAGATAGACTGCGCTTGGAGGTCCGCTTCGTCCGAGGGAATAGAGCGGGCGAGGATGCCTGAAGAATATGGTTACGCATCTGAATCGCGGTCGTCCTGCTGTTGTACTGACCTCCATGCACTGCGGGGTGCAGGGTTTTCACCCTACCACCGAGCATCTCCGGCGCCTTTGTTATGTCGGAGACATCTCTGCAGCAATGTTATCATACAGCTGGATGGCTACTTGCTGCTAAACTCACTCGATCGGAATTCCGGAGTCTCTAATCTTTTTCGCAGTACCTCCTGAGCCCAGGAGGCGTACACCTGCGCCATGAAGGCCCTGCGCAAGATCCAATAGACCAGTCTTGTCGTAGACAGATAGAAGAGCTGCGATCTTGTGAGATCTCTGCAGGCTGCATTGACCTGAACCCCGCACCGATAGGGGCGCTCATTTTAGACCGTCGGAATGAAATCCCTGCCAAGGTAGTAAGGCGGAAGGAGAAATTGAGATTTCAATCTTCTTTTCGAAATCTCAAAAAGTGATGCACAGCATTTCTCCTTCTTCGGCTGCATGAACGATCAGTTATTACGACTGATACTTGAAGGTGAATGTTCCTTCACATTCAAGGCTATGTTCAAGTGTGTAACCACCCGATGTGATTCCAATACATAGTAAATGTTGTTGGCATGCAAGCAGGGCGCTATGATGGCACATAGTCCGAAACCTGGTCTTCAGTAGGGAGATTTCCGTAGACAACCCGGTATAGGCGGCAACAGTCAGAACTCAGGGGACATAACAGCAGCTTTTACTATTGAACACCGTTGTCAGGCGGTTCTGTGGTAATAGTGCTAGGTATTGCATCGCTTGTTGTCGGAGGGGGATCGTCCTGGCCATCATGCCCGGTGCCCTCGGTGGTCAAAATCTCCTTCGCTCCTTGCCGTAGTGGCAACAGGTAATCTGGCTGTCGCATCCTGTCGATCTCGAGCCGTTTACCACCTTTTGCCTCCACACGCTGAAAGAACTCGGGAGGAATGAAGCCGTGCTCGTTTCCTTCTGACAGAACTACACCGTTCTCCGAGAGGTAAAACTTGATGCCGGCGTCGAGTGCTTTTTGTACGTCGACATAAATGAGCACCGAGGAGCTTGCTCGCATGCCTGTACGCCGTCAACGTGAATAGAGAGAAAAAATCAATGCAGAACCGGACGTACCGCTGATTACGCCGGCACCGGCTACACCCTGTGCCATGTGTATGTGATTCCGTTTCATCCTGGATAAGCCCTGAACCTCTGAACGAACGTGATAGGAGCGAACTTCCGCCAGGTTTTATTGCACGTACGAATGCTGTCCCATGCAACTAAGCTCGTTCCGTGAACTGCCATAGGAATCTCTGACGCGGATGTTATGGGTTTCAGGTTCGTCTGCACCTGCTGAAAATCCAAGAGTGTTCATACTCAACTTGACCTGTCACCGTGCAGATACATACCTTCATAGAATGGCCTTGCCTCGCGCCAATCCACCATATGTCATTACCGGTCTTCGCACCTTCTGGTTCACAAACGAGCGTATATCGCTGCTTGTCATTGTCTTGAACCAATCGCTCCAGCGTTGGGAAATCGAGATTTCGTAGCTTCTCGTGTTTGAGCTGGTGCTCGGTCAGAAACCGGAATCAAGACCAACACGGCGGAAGTATTGACCAGGTCAGAAACGCGGACGAAGCCGTCCGACCGCATGGGTATCCCCTCTGCTGCCGCTGCATGCCGCAAGAGCCACGACAGAGTCTTTGACAAGCGCACTTGCTCTGAATCTGACGGTAATCCTCGTAGCTTGGGTTGACCGCTTCTTTGTCCGCCCCTCTGCCCGCCTCCCCTTGGTTTTCCCTTCGACCTGTGACGAGAGCCGGACGCTTGCGTTGAGATTTCATTCGAGGGCACTCCGTCCTGGGACGCCATATTTACACGTAGAGGATTGCCAGACGAAAGAAGTAGATATGCTCGAGACGTGTGACAATTCGGTTGGCCGCGATGAGACAGGGCGCACAACGCTCTCCGCATTCGATAACGGAGTCAGACCGGTGTAGCCCCAGCCCGACTGTGAGTCGCCCCGCAAGAGTTTGCGGTGCATAGCCACCAGTGATTATGACGTTTCAACCAGTGCTGCAGCTAATGTACACCTGCGTAACACCGGATAGCATACATTGAGCACACTTACGTTTCGCCGACCTGATCCGTGGGCTACCTTGAATGAGAACCGAATCAACCCCATGCTATGATACGCCCCCAGTTCTGTTGCCGTGCGTGATATATGGTATCTACTGCCACTTGATAGCTACAAGTTGAAACTTGTGAGGCATTTCAGGACAAGACGTCTGCAACGTGAATGCTCCCAGCGCGCCGCGGATGCAGCCCGACGTGGATGGAGATGTCAGGATGGAAGCGCCGTTCCGGCCATAGTGCATAGACAGGGCCGCACCGGGCGACCCGGACGTCAAGGGTTTTCTGGCCCTTCGGAGCCATGAGTTTGGGGTAACGCGAAGGTATCGTCTCGTGGGGGTATCGGTATATGAGCCCGCAGCTGTCTATGTCCGCAGTACAGGCTTGGCGCTTGGAGGACAGAGTGCGAATATGCCGGGAACATTTCGGAGGCGAGGGGCGTTGTGCGACAACCGTTGTCGCGAGCATGAACAGGAACATCCGCGCTCATGCCCTGCCTAACGGTCCCCGGCGACGTTTGTTTCCGCGACGTATGTCACCCAAATCGCTCTCGATTTCGTCGTTCTTGCAATGGGTGATCTGGGATTGCGGTGCTTTCGATCGGTCCGCTATCTGGTTTCGAGGTTCGCCTTTGGCACGTTTCCGGCCGGTCGCAGCAGCGCCGTTGACTCCTGCTCCGTTCGCTGCTGTACTCGAGACCAGAGGAAGCGGGAATGGCGAGGGCAGTTCGTCTACCGATAACGAAAGCGGGTTCGTTCCAGGACCGTTGATGGGTGGGCCTACACCCGCAGCACTCGCGTTACCATGTCCGGCATGACCTGGTGTCGGTGGCGGAGAGTTACCGAGCTTATTGCGGAGCTTGCGCGTTATATGCGGACGAGCTTGCGAGTCCAAAGTCGTATCTGCGCATTCAAGAACTGAATAAGGACTGAATCCGAACCTGAAAGCATCGTACCTCCAATGGTGCCGTCGCCGTCCTTTTCCTCGCGTGCCCGCTTCCGGCGTTCCTCGATACCGTCCATCAAGCGTGTTCGGACACTACCCATGCCACGCTGAAACTCGGCTTCTACTTTCTCGCGCTCCTCATCATAGGCAGTCTGTATGCAATCAAGCGCGTGCCGTTCCTCGAACACTAGTTGAGCTAGCAACGCTGAGCGCTCGAGTGACACGGGGTACAGTCGAAGGTTGTATGCGGGGTGGGTCTCCGGCCGAGCGGCGAGCTGGATGGAGTTGCTGTGCAAAGCAGAGATTGTCTCAGTAAACTGGCGTCCACTGAGGACAGGGTTTAGCAACCAGGTCCATCGGCGGGGGAGGAGCAAAGAACGTACTCATCGCGGCGTTCGAGAATCTCTTTGCCCATCCTGCCAGCAATCTCCTTTCGTTTCCGGTCCTTCCTAATCTCATCTACGGCGAGTAAGAAAGGATCAAATCGGAGCTGTCTGTTCCCTTTTCACCTTGAGCACGAGAGGACGAAGCGGTACTGTGGCTATAAGTATGCATATGAGCAACGGTCGTAGCGATGATATGCTACGCACTGCACGGGGAACAATCCAGGCTGGGGTGGCATGATGCGTTATGCGGCTAGTTCGTTGCGCAGATTGTAAGTCAAGGGTTGGTGCGCGGCTCGAGAGCACCTTCGTAACTTTGTCTGAACCTGACTGAACGCCAGAGGACAAGCTAGCTATGGCGAGGCGGCGTGTAACGACGAAAGGGACAATACATAGTGAGTAAACCGTGCGAAAGAGATAACGAAGATGTGGGAGAGAGCCGCCGCGCGGGTGGGCACGTCCAACCACGCGCGGCGAACCTGCGCACCGTTTGGATTAGAAAATTCAGTAACACTGAATCAAACGGTGCGAACGCCGTAGGGCGGGAAGGGTGGGAGACACGAAAAAGGACGCAGGAGGCGAGAAAGGGTGAGCAGCTGCGCGACGCGCGTTCGAGCTCAGCCTTTCTCGCCCAGGCTAGCTTGTCCTCTGATAGGCCAGAGCTCGTACCTCGCTCGTGCCCTATCTCCCAACAAGCTAGCTATGGCGAGGCGGCGTGTAACGACGAAAGGGACAATACATAGTGAGTAAACCGTGCGAAAGAGATAACGAAGATGTGGGAGAGAGCCGCCGCGCTCCCGCCCAAGGGCGCCATGGGGCGCGCGCCCGGCATCCCCACCCGAGCGCAGCTCATCCGCCGGGCGCGCCTCCTGGCGAGGGCGGCATCCCCACCAGAGGTGCGAGAGGGCATGACCTCGCAGAAGATACTCCGGGTGTCATATTCACGAAGAGACAGAAACTGTTTACATGGCCTTCTCGACATCTAGGTCTGTCAAACCCTGCGTTTCGCGGAACATATTGACGGCACTTGCTGCTTGCTCCAGTGCATGCCTATCAACAGACTTCAAGGCCCCGGCAGCTACGATCTCCTCGATTTTGCGCCAGTAGAGGAGAAAGGCCATCGAAGTCCAGCCGCCAATAGCCGCCACGATTTCCGGTGCCGTGCCCATCAGTAACCAGTGAGTGGTGCCCCCAATCCTAAAGCAGTGCCCAGAAAGCGTCTCCAGGCCCGCGTTCGACCAGATTTCGTTGCAGCGTGCCATGAACCGGGGCTTAGTGAGCGGGGAGAACGAGTCGGGGCCCGAACGGTAAGCAAAGAAATGGTCGTCGATGTTGGCCCCGGCGTTGATCATCTGATGAGTGACGAGCGCCTTGACCGGGCAAAGTGCATTGTTTAGGCCTATGAGGATCACGGAAGCCCCTTTCTCCTGGCTTGTTTTGGTCCAGGGGATGTGATACGATACGCCGGCACCGGGTGCTGCCGCCTGAAGCTGGATGTCGGCGACGATGGTGTCGCGTTTGGGATGATGGTGGTGCTTCATGTCCTCTGCTGTTGATGGGAGTAGCTCCCCCAGTCTGCGGCAGCCCCAGAAAGCATTTGATGCGACTGCCCATATGGCGACGTCGAGCGGGTCCGTTGGCGTTAGAGTACCGCGTAGGCAGGCCATATGTTTCGCTGACACTGGCGGTCGTGGGCCCCGGGTAAGCAGGCGTCCCTCTTTGCGTGCTGCCACACGGGACATGCTTAAGAGTGGGTCGTCCTCAGGCCAAGGAGCCCCCATGATGTGGTGCCAGCAACGCAGGCCCGACAGCCAGTTTCGTACACAGCTGCCTGACACCTTGCCAAGGGACTCCTTGACAAAGGCAACGATGACGATGGGATGAGCAGGGATGCGTTGGGACTCTGAGATGTTGTGTTTATCGCAGAACTGAGAGTAGCGTAGGATACCGGCAGCGTAGACCGAACGTGTTTTTTCATCCAGAGCCGCTAGCGCAATTCGAAGCCTTGCATCCGCGATATCCTCCCCGAATATCCCAGCTAGCTCCTGCCTGCGTGCTGCTGCCCATGCTGATGTCCAGCTTGTGAGACGTGTCGAGGCCACTACATGTGGCCGGTACGGGCTGGACCTGACCTCGCATCCTTTCTTCGCTGTTCTGACCATGGAGGTGCGGCTTCTCTTCTCCGTCGGCCTGTTACTCGATTCGCTGGGCTGCCCGGGTGTGCTTAGGATAGCGACCCTCTGTGTTGCCGAGGAGGCTGGGTCTGCAACGACCCTCTTCAGCGACGGCGGCTTCTCAAGCCACAGCCCCATGCCTTTCGGTACCGGCCTCTGTTGCTCCGGGGCCCTTCTAGGCTTTCCATGAAGTGGCGGGGGCTTGCCAAGTAGTAGGAACATACTAAACGAGTGTATTCTGGCAGTTACAAAACGATGGAAGTGGTACAAAGAGACTACGCGCGTGACAGGTAGCGAACGAGAGGCTGAGGCAGTGCTGGTGATTCAAAACGCTGGTCTGCATGCCCAAGCACCCCTCGCGAGACGGGATCCGACGGGTTGCGCTCGGATTCGATGTAAACAAGGTCCAGAACGATATTACGCGTGAGCAATACGAAGGTCGCACGTTCTATAGACGAGTTCATGTCAGGGTTAGGAGAGCGGCCTTTGTTGAAGGCACCGATTGCAGCCTGGCTATCCGAGTGCACAACCAGCTTCGCGTCACGGTATTGTTTTGTTTCTAGTTCGTATACGATGAGTTCGATGGCGAGTGTCTCCAGCCAAGTGTTGTGCCGTGTAGGTGACTTCCAGTCGGGCTTGAGGCGCCAGGCATCCCAGCATTGCCCGAAAACGAGGCCAACCCCCCAGTCCGTTGATGCGTCTACGAAAAGGCCAAGATCGATCTGCGGTGTTCGTGGTCTAAGCTGCCGGAATGCGTATGGTTTTCTGAGCTCGCATCGCCACCATCGCAATGCCGATTTGACGGACTCTGGCGGGTGAAGGAGCCGATGCTGGTTCTTGCCCCAGAGTGCGCAGAAACTCGACAAAGGGGAAAGTCGGGTACGACCCTCGGGATATACGAATGCGATATGACAGAGCGAGCCATGTATTTCTTGGACATCCTTCAGGGTGCATTGTGATTTGTCGAAAGACGTCAAGAAAACCAGAACCCGATCCAAGAATTTTAATCTTTTCTTCTCGGAGAGCGATACCCTGCGGCGTGGGCAATCCCACAAGAAACCGATGGACTCGAACTCCGGGGCGTAGTCTGTCTGCTTGTCCGGATGCCATGGAGCACGCACCGCGGCGAGGCATGCCAACGTGTCGTCCTCACTGTATGGGTATATGCGCGCCGATGAACTAGGGCCGACTGGGATGAGGGTGCGGAAAATCGAGAAATCATCTTCATATTTGTTCACCGGACCCATGCCGCAGGCTTCCCATATATCCGCTAGCGCGTTAGCTATCATACCCGCGTTGCTGCTTGAAGCGGCGCAGCCAAACGGACAGCAATGATCGATGTAGAATGTGTTGTCTGGCGCCCGCACCACGAACCAAGGTTTGTGGTCTGGCGTGATTGGACAAGTGCGGTGGAAAGACCGCAAATCCAGGGTCATCGCTTGAAGTCCCGAGTCGTCCGGCGTGTTCGCAATCTGCGTGGCATCCATGAGCCTCGAAACAAAAAATCGTGTTGACGTGATTGACGCCCGGCAAGACCAATTAACGGACAAAAAAGGTGCGGCATGTGCGATGCGCATGGTGTGCGACGAGGCAAACACGGCGCGGCCGAGCGTGCTGGGCCAAGCCCGAGAAATGCGAATGAGGCACTATGGACACAGTGTCCACCGCGTGGTACGAAGCAGGTGCGAGCGCCGCCGGAAACGTTGGGCGGGTGCCCGAGCAACAATGACGAATGATGCCATGGACACGATGTCCATGGCGTACGACGTGGCGAGCACGATGCTGCCGAGCGTGCTGGGCCAAGCCCGAGCAACGCGAACGAGGCACGGTGGACACGGAGTCCACCACGCGAGACGATGTAGGTGCAAGCACCCCCGGAAACGTTGGGCCGGTGCCCAAGCGACAATGACAAATGACGCCATGAACACGATGCCCATGGCGTACGACGAGGCGAGCACGATGCTGCCCCGAGCGTGCTCGTCCCAACACGAGCAACGCGTACGCGGCACGATGGACACGGCGTCCACCGTGCAGGACGAGGCAGGCGCAAGCGCCACCGGAAACGTTGGGCGGATGCCCGAGCAATGATGACGAATGATGCCATGGACACGATGTCCATGGCGTACGACGTGGCGAGCGCGATGCTGCCAAGCGTGCTGGGCCAAGCCCAAGCAACGCAAACGAGGCACGGTGGACACGGTGTCCACCGCGCGAGACGAGGCCGGTGCAAGCACCGCCGGAAATGTTGCCCAAGCAACGAAGACGAACGACGCCATGGACACGATGCCCATGGCGTACGACGAGGCAAGTACGGGTGCTGCCGAGCGTCAACGCAAACGAAAGTGCGCGACCGACAGTGTATCTCCCGTGCAAGACGAAGGTTCGGGAATGCGGGGTACGGCGACTCACGATATCTGCGAGTACCGCTGCGGTTCCGAAATGCGTAGGGAACGAGTCCTTGTCTATGTGATCGTTAACGGACGGGACACCGCGTTTCGGGTCACCTTTGGAGAGGTGTCGGCATACACGGTGTTTGATCCTTCCGTCGCCTGTGTAGGATGTGGCGATTAGCAATGGGGATGACATGAATGGGCCACGAAGGATGCGTTCGCATTCTGCCTGCGAGTAGGGGCCGGAGAAACGCCCGAGGGTAACCTCTTCTTGGATGTATTGCCACACGATGTCGAGGTGATCGGCGCATGATTTGCTGTTTTCGAGGATGACGGTTGATTCTAGAGACGGAAAGGAACCCATCGGGAAGCCCGATTGCAAGAAGCGTATCAAGAAAGGGTAGTGAGGGATTAAGGCATATCTTTTGAGTAAAGTATCCACGGCGAGCACATTATAGGGGGTCACAATGCGATTGAAAACATCGGAATCCGAGAGCGGAGCGTCAAGAAGGGGGGAGCGAGCCACGATCTTGAGAGACAGATCGGGCTGAGGTTTTGCGCGTGATTCAAACCCTGGCAGGTTCCTTTTGGCAGACGAAAGCGAGGGCGTGATGAGAGGCTGAACCGCAGAAAGAGCAGATGTGCTTCCAGTCCTTGCTATGGTAACAGTTCCGGGCGGCTCCACCCTTGAGGTTGTACATCCGGCAGATGATGGCTCCTTCAGCGCGAGATTCTTTGTCGATGTAGCAGGTCTTTCCGTCGGGAAGCGTGGAAGCAGTGCAGTCGGACGAGCCGTGACCCTTTCTAGCGCACCTAACACAGGTAGAGTCGAGACCGAGTTGGCGACCGGGAGCTTCGCTCCTTGAACGGCGGGAGGGCGGAAATCCTTCTTTGGGTCGAAAGGAATTACGGGAAGCCGAACCTGAGGCACTGGACGTAGTGGACGAGCGTACAAGGCGGTTTTGCATTTGAGTCCATTCGAGCCGCAACGCTTCGTACTTGATATCTGCCTTGTGTCGCGTGACGTCCGCTGTGAGAGCCCTACCGCTAAACGAGACCCGGTTGACAACGTAGCTTTGACGTGCTTCGATGTCGGTCAGGAGAACAGCCTGGAAACAAGTCTTCGCCTCCGGAAGCTTCCCCAGATGGAAGAAATGCCGGCGCCAGCGATCGGCGATGTGTGGGGAATCGACCATTTCCATCTCGAAAAGACGAATGAGGTTTCCCGCCGCCTCGAGCCAGGATGCCAGATCCAAGTCCTTTTCTTGCCCGATTGCGGCAGTAACCGTAGCGTGGCCGAAATCCAAGATGCGGACGGTCCTCTCTTCGCCTCCCTCGGTGACAGTGACCTTGCGCGTAGGCAGTTCGCAACCCTTTCGCAAGAAAAAGGCCAAGGCGTCGTTGGTGCATAGATGCAGAGGGAAGTGCATGGGAAGCCTGATCAGTCCAAGTACATAGTCGTGAAAGCCCACTTCTGGTTCAGCGCCGTCTTCCCGGTCCTCCTCGCCATCCGCCGCTACAAAGAAGGATCCGCGAGCCTTTTTTCGGTTTCCGCCATGGGCGGCAGCATCGTCGGCTTTGCGTTTGCGGGCATCCTCCTCGGCAAGCAGCGCCCGCTGCTCTTCCGTGAACTCTATCTCGCTCTCATCCGGGCCCGATGCGTCGGTGACGGCTTCACCGGCGGCGTAACGTATTCGCCGCTCTTGCCTGGCTCGGTTTCGAGCTCGGATATCCATGTTGCGAGTCTTCTTAACGTCCAAAGGAAGTGCGGTGAGGAACTGGCGATGTTCTTCATTGATGTGTGTTCTACCCATTATGAAAACGGTATAACGAGTAAGACGAGTTATCGACGAGCGTATGTATATAGGCGAGTCCTTAGAGACACGAAAAAGGACGCAGGAGGCGAGAAAGGGTGAGCAGCTGCGCGACGCGCGTTCGAGCTCAGCCTTTCTCGCCCAGGCTAGCTTGTCCTCTGATAGGCCAGAGCTCGTACCTCGCTCGTGCCCTATCTCCCAACTTTCGCCGTCACTGCCCCTGGTCACGGGACTGGGGTCATTGTCTCCCGCCACGCTCGGCCCAACCGTCTGAACCTCGAGATAGTCTCCTGTGTGGCTCATTGATGCACGTTCAAGGCGTGAGCAACAAACAACCCACCACCCTGGACCTTTCTACCCCCTGTCATCGTCGAACATGACGAACTACAACGCGTTACGTTCCATTCGGGAACTACTCGCCAAGCATGAGACCAGCCCGCCGTCCTTCACCGTGCACCTATACCCGGAACATTGGACGCTCAATAACGGCTCTAAGTTTCTCTACAATAACCCTGTTGCGGTATGTACTGGCTTTGAGAGCTGCTATAGTGGGCTGATCATCAATCAGTCGTTGCTGGATGATATACGCGCTCAACGCATCCCGGTGGACTTCCTCGAGCTCTTCGAGACGGCGGGAGTGCCATTTTATGAGGGTATGTGAGCTATTTTCACTGCGGCAACCTCAAGCTGATTGTTCACGCAGGCTGCATGATCGTGGAGCTCCTGGATTACCGGCCGATCCGGAATCGCGATCCTGTGTTGGAGAAGCCACTGCGAACACGCGTGGTCCTCCAACATAATGACGAGACTCTATGGGCAGACCTATGTCTACTTCAACAGCGGTCCAACTATCAGCTCACGGATCAGCACGTCCTCGAGCTAGAGTCGCGGGTTTTGGTATGCTCCCCACCATCAATCACCATTCTACGCTGAACGGATGTAAAGCTTGCCACTACGCCCTCTCTGTGCTTGGATCCAGATCCGCACTTGGGGCGGATCGCGAACGACATTGCGAGAGTCTCTGCGCCGAGCGTGCCGCCGTCACTGAAGCGCAAGGCAGCCGCGCTGGAACAGGAGGAAGACGAGGCTGAGAAGACCCGACGAATCAAGGTGACCCAATTCATGAACCCGAGGTTAAATAGGGTACATGGACCAAGGTGCGTCCAGCTCGCTCCTTTGCGTGATGAAAATCCCTTATATTCCGTGTTAGCTACCGGCTGCTTGACTTCGCGCAAAGCTTTCGAAGCAGGGAACCCCCAGCCGCGCCCACCCCGCAAGTGCGAGCCCAGTCTCTGTTGCGCACGACGCCGAGTAATGGCTCGCAAGCGCACACGCCGCTGCAGCCACCCGTCCAGCAGCCGACGACGCAGCCCATGCAGCAGCCCCTACAGCAACCTGTGCAGCAGCCCGTACAACAACCCATACAACAACCCATACACCAACCCATCCAGCAGCCCATTCAACGACTGGTGCAGCAGCCCGTGCCGCGGCCAATGCAACCCCCAATGCACCAGCCCGTGCATCCGCCCGCAAATCAACCGTTGCAGCAGCCCGTGCCCATGCCAGCACCGACTTCCCGCCCTGCATCCATCGTTCCGTCTCCTACCGTACCTCCACAGATTAATAATGGTCAGAAACCGATGGCGGTTCCGTCCGTCAAGCGCGAAGCGGTGCCTTCCCCGATACCCATCCTCCCTCAACGTCCGCCTTCCCGAACACCCAGTCAACTCGGCAACCATTCCTCTCCTGCTCCCCAATCCTTACAATCACCTTTCAAGGCCCCCGCTCTTCTACCTACTCCAGGAGTTTCGCGGGCACCCTCAGATCAGCCCCTTAGGAATTCAACTCCCGCGCAGGCTATCGTACCATCCCCGCGTCCTCCTCCCAGCATTCCGACGCAACCTTCTCACCCGCCACAGCCTACTCAGTTCCAAGTACCCTTCCAGGCCCCGACCCAGGGGCAACAGTATCTCCAACATGCGCAGGTTAACAAGATGCAAATTCCGAAGACGGTCACGCCGACTACGCAACCCATGCCGCAGCAGAACGTCAATGTACCCATGCAACCTGCGAACCCCATGACTCCCCAACAACAACAACAGTTGTTGGCCTACCGGCAGGCGATCATGAAGGCGCGAGCGACTGCAGCACAACAGCAAATGCGCAGCAGCCCGATGCTGCAAACCCAGGGTCACACCGTCCACACCAACGTGGCGGCTGCTAACCAGACGGCCATGGCGACCGTCAGGTCTCCAATGCCCGGCCCGCAACAAATCCAGCAGATGCAGCAGCAACAGCAGCATCAACGCATGCTTCAATGGCGGCAGCTTCAGGCGCAGGCGCAGGCGCAAGGTCTTAATCCCCAGCAGCAACAAAACATGCTGCAACAGTTCCTTGCCGCCAACCCGGGGGCGCGTGGGACCCCTGTTCAGGGTCAGCAGTTGAATATGCACCAGCAGCAGCAAGCAGCCGCCTTGCTTCAGCAGCAGCAGCAGCAGCAGCAGCAGCAGCACCTCCAGCAGCAGCAGCAGCAGCACCTTCAGCAGCAGCAGCAGCAAATCCAGCAGCAGCAGCAGCAGCAACACCAACCCCAACATCAGGGCCAGGTTGCCAATAATCAGCGGATGCTGGCGCAATATCAGCAGATGATGAACTACTCCCAGAACGGGAACGCAAACGTCGGACAGGGCAACCCCAGCTACCCCAACAGCTGGCCGATTCAAGTCGGTGGAGTAGGACGAGGCGCTGGAGGCGTCAATCAGCTGCAGATGCAGGGGATGGTGCCAGGCAGTGCCCATGCGCAGCAGATGGCGCTACAGGCTGGGAAAGTACCCACGACCATGCCAGGACGATGATATCCACGGGTGTTAGCTTGTATCTTTATTGGGAATCACGCAGGGAACGCTTCCTCTTTCTGTTATATGATATGTTTGTACTCATAGCCATCTGCCACTCGCCGTCGAATAGAGTTCTTCGTCCACGATCGGCTTGCGAAGCGCTCCCGCTACGTATCTGTATCTGATCATACAGGACGGCAATCTGCTGCTTGTGGAAAATGAGATCCGGGAACGGACTACGAGATCTGGATAGCTTCTCTGGCGCTCAACGTGGCGGAAGGAAGGTGCGTGGAAGTAGAGAAGCGCCGTGTCAGGTCTCGATTCGGCAGGTACACAAGTAAGAAATATTAAATAGTGTCGCCCGAAGATATCGCATTAAGCCACGGGGCGTTAGTTGGGGCTTCTAACCAATGTTGATGCTTGGCCTGAGACCCTGCAGCGTCTCCGCAGATAGAGTGGTTCGAGCGTGTACGCCGACGCTAGCAAACATGGTTTAGCGTTGGGAACGGCGAGGTTTGATGGCTGCGACCGGATGATACCGGCTCGAGTGAAGCCTCTGCAGCCGTGGTAAAGAGGGCGACTCCCCCATGCACCGCGTGATGCATGTGGAGGCGGACTATCAACGGGGCATAGTCCCTCCGCTCCAGCTGCTCGAAGGATAGCTTGCGCAGAGTAAAGCCGTCATTCATTCGATTCGAGCAACATACGAAGCTTCATTAAGGGCAAGCCCGTTTGCATCATGATCCGTCCTGTCCCTGTGGCAGCATTCAGTCAGCGGGTCGTTTGGGATTCAGTTGACACGGACTTTATCGCACAGCCCCGCGTATATCCGACCGAGGGCGAGACGGACGGAGCGCCACTCACGTCAATTCAAAGGAGTATTATATACGATCATCTGTGCGTGTCTCGGAAGGGAGGGAATCGACTCCAACCAGAGCACCAGCCCGTGCCTGTAATCCTTCCCAACCAGAGCGATCATCTGCGAACGTTGGCCTCGCTCCTGCGATCGTGCGATACGTAGGAACCCTCATCGTCGCTGCCTTCGCTACCAGAATCGTCGCCGGTGTGATTGGCAGCTGACGACGCGCCTGTCCGTTCGCGACCGCGTTTCTTGATCTGTTCACGTCAAGCTAAGTACATTGACACGCTAAAGGCTGAAGGGAAGAACAGGGAAAGCGGGGCACATACCATCTTTGCATAGACTAGCCCACATGCGTTGCACAGGGTTCGGGGTCCTGTATGCCGCCTCGGCGATGAGCAAGTAACCATAGTCCGTCGCCAGCGGGACTCTTACCCATCGGACCTCGGCGCCATTCAGGGGTGGACGTAGCTTGGCAGCCCAAACACCTTTGGCCATCCTGCGCAGGCGCCTCAGGGAGTTTCTGGGAAGGCAAATCCATGACATGAGATACGCCCCGTGTGTCGGGGGTAACCAGACTCACGGCTGTTTTCTTGTCTCCAGCGTCCGGTGGCGGCCCTGTTCCAGAGCGTTCCTCGGAGGCGCGAACATTCGGGGATATGGCCTGCAACGAGGCAAGATCGAGCATGCGGTATCCAAACGATGCTGACTCGACCATGCGCTCGAGCGTTTCACGCGGTGGCGGCTCGGTGTGCATTGAGAAGGACTTTGCATACTCCAGGATGCTTTCGCATGAATCTCTGAGCTATGGTCATACATTAGAGGGAGAAGGACACGTCCGCAGGGTCAACACATGCCTTGGTGAAATCCATCGGTGGAACAGAGCCGCTGCCCGGATGTTGCAGAGGAGACTGCGCACGAAGCATGGGTTGGGACGGCGAAGGCGGAGACCCGGCAGCAATTCCAGCGCTTCTCGGCGGATCTGCAGGACTAGCCTGCGGTCGCGAGTGAGGTGCAGCAGAAGACGCATTATCGGGGCGGGACAGCGAGCTCGGGTATGGGGACTGCGCCTGCACCGATCCCGGAGCGTAAGGCCCGTATCCTGCCCATGCGGGTTGGTTTGTCCATGAAGGAGGACCGGGCGGAGGAGCTGGGTAGGGCGCTGGTCCATAGGGCGTCGGATAAGGTGCGGTCGGGGAGCCGTATTGCGCAGGCGGTTGAGCTGGCGGAGGGGAATGCGGATGAGCGCCGTTGGTGCGCGTGGTGCGGGCGCTGTTCGTCGGAAACTGAGCGCTGTCGTACGACGATTGCGGGTATGGCTGGTAGTCATACTGCTCCATGCCGGATGAGGGGTGATACATGTAACGTCCGTCGGAGGACATGGCCGTGAATGATCAACGCTCGATGCGTCGCTGGAGATCCGGCCCGGTGTTATATCGAGCGGAGAGATAACGGTCGATCAAGCAGCCTGGTTCAATCTGAATCGTCAATTTATGTGGAACGCGAGGTGAAGATGAGGTGGTTGGAGAGGATGAGAGACGGGCGGGAAGAAGAGCGAACCCCGCGTTGTTCACTCGCGTGAGACAAGCTTGCGACGTAATGGCCGGCAATGGATGCAGCTATTGCCCCCACAAACATATCATGGAATCAACTGATACGAGCGAACGAAGGAAACGATCTGCGACAACCAGGCTCAAAGGACGTGTGTTTGGACGGGTAACGAGCGGCTGCGGCGGTGTCTCCCAGGAGAATGCTCGCGCCACCTCATGCCTAGGCGACGCCGATCGAAACTCCGGCTCGGCGAAGCTGATATTGTGGATGCAAACGCGCCCTCACCTCTAGAGATAATATACGGGTCTGTGTGGAGCCGTGGCCCGCGATGCGAGACGGACGCGAACGATGGCCAGGGGCGGAGGTGAAGGAACAGCGGTCTAGAGTATTGTCCATCACTGTTTGCGGGGTCAATTAGTGAGGGAGAGCTGGACGTACAGCGTGGCGGTGAGTGGTCTGCGGGAAACTGGGCTGATTCGCACCGTTCCTATGTATCCCTGCGAGGCAGATGGGCCTGACGAGAAGGTCGGAAGCAACGCCAGGATCTCCCAACGCTGTCAGTCAGACATGGCTTAAGGAGGCACGCTCGGGTGGCGGTAGCACGCGACGTCGCGTAAGCGCCAACACGCGGCTTAGGTGGGTATCTTGTTCTCACGCCCTCCATTCTTCCTTACGCAACCAGTGTAAGTATATCAGGCGAGTGCGATACCAGACCAGACTGAGGCGAAAACATTGCAAACACAATACAGGGAGGCTTGAGGATCAACGGCTCATCCTGGATGGCCGGATGCTGCGTGCTCTAACCCGTCTCTGCCCTCTCCTTTGTTTCTTTCCCCCTTCGACTTGAACTGCTGTTGCATCGCGGCGACCTGCTCGGCGTATCCGGGCTCAAATTGCGCCTCCAGCTCCTCCTCGGGCGGCGGACGCTCGGACCGCAAGCGCGTGTTTCCGCTCGCAGCGGCAGCGGCACGCTCTCGAGCCCTCCTCTTTCGTCGGAGGATCTTCTTCCGCTGGCGCAGCGCCCTCCGGAATGCGGCGTCGTCCCCGTAGAACAGGTTGTATTCGCACGAGGCACAGATCCACTCTCCGGCGGGATCCGTGAGCGGGGCCGGAGAGGGCGTGGTACCGGCCGCGCTTTTCGCCCTCTCGGGCAGCATCGCGGACAGGAATCGCAGTGGCGGGGGGCCAAGGTAATTCTGCGCGTTCGTTTGCGCGTTGTTCGGAGTGCCTGAGGACGGAAGCCGGGACGGGACATAGTTACGGAGGTGGTGTGGATTGGAAGCGTTGGCGAGCGCGGACCGCTTCTTCTTCTTCTTCTTCGCGCCCCCTGCCCCAGAAAGCGATGCGTCAGCTGTCGATGCATTCTGTTCGATCTTGCCGTCGGTGATCCCGAGCCGTGCACGATTCTGCAGGCGCCCAGGTTGTTTCGGTCGTGCTGCGTCTGCGAGCGCCGCGGCGGCTTGCTTCGCAGCGTCTGCGGCCTTGGCAAGTTGCCGTTTGAGCTCGGCCTCGAAGCGTTTCTGCAAGGAGGCCACTTCTCGCTCGACGACCAGCTGTCGGTCCGAGGCTAAAATACGTAATGTGAGGTTTATCACCAGCGATGTATGCATTGCAAACACTCACAAGCGACGCGAAAATTGAAGGTAAAGTCAACATCAGGAAGGTGGGGAGGAGGCGCCGTTCCTGGCGCGGGCAGGGCCTTGGGCAAGCTACGCAGGGCGCGCGCCTCCCGCGTGACCCCACGCCGGGACAAGCGGACCTTGGGCGTCTTCACCAGTTTCCCGTCCGCACCGAAGCCCAGCTTCGCGAACGGATAGCTCGAAACGAGAGCCTGGTCGAGCGACAGCGGATCGCCATTCACGATCGAGTTGAGCACCGGCGCGAGTTGCCGTTTCCGTAACTTGAGCACTTCCTTCTGTTGCAAACCAGCCAGAGTTGCGCGGGACATCCTCGCCTTCTGCTTGTGCTCGAGCGACTTCGGTGACGATGCGTACGGAACCAGATCTGGGGTGTCCGCTTCTGACCTGCTCTCAGGCCCGAGCACTCGGTCGGGAGATTCCTCCTCCTCGACAAATCACTCATATCAGCATGAAATCCGTACGGAAATGAAAGGGCGCGAAAAGTACCTTTCTCTTCTTCGTGTTTCCCGGTTGCTGCAAATGGTCCACATAATCGCCATCTCCCTGCTCGTCATCATCGTGACCGCCGCCCCTCCCTTCTCCCAAGCCAAAGTCTAGCGGAGGGTCGTTGCCACTCGAGGGCGCCTCTTCGTCCCCGAGGCCGATGATGGGCGGGACGTAGTACCGCGACGAAAGCGAGGCGGCCTGGGCGATGAGCTCCCTCGTCGCGGCGTCCTGGGTTAATACCGTTAGACTGTCGTGGTCATGGGCGATCGATTCTGACGTTCTCCTGCGCTTCGGGAGGGGCTTGACCCGTCTGAGAGGCGGGAATTCGGGCGCATCGAATATCGGTGATGCCTTGTGCATCGCTCGGAAGGGTCGGGATGCGTGGCGGGCACGAGCACCCCACGGTCAGCGGTACTGCGGTGCCGTACTTCAGTCGTTGTCGTGGCAGGAAGGACGGAAACGGCTGCTGACGTGTGCCAGCCGGTGCCCTTTGTGATTTGGATTCCGTCGTGGGCCGAACGAGGGGGCTTTGCCACGACGCAGAGAAGAAACACAGGCCTGCGATCCGCAAGGGGGGTGATTTGGGACCATCGATGAGTTGTTCGCACACTGCGCACAGAGGAAGAATATAAGATTGCAGTAAAGATACATGGATGCGATGCTCTATCAAGTGTCTCGATATGCCGGTATAAAAGCGCCTTACTACGCTACGCAATAAAGTAAGCGAAGACTAGCGCTATAACGATACGTTTCTGCTCAAAATGTGATGCGGGGCCCCGCCGTGACGTCTAATCTAGTCCGAGAAATGCAACAGTGTAATGCGATGGCAGCGTACCAAACAATCCTCCCGATGCACGCCTGGTATGGAAACACATTAGACGAATCTAAAATAGGGCCGTATGATCACCAATGAGCAGCGAGAGCAGCGAGACGGGTGCGAGGTGTCCAGATGAGAGAGCAGCGCGACGAAACTTAAGTCGAAAACAGGTGAAGGGGGTGTCGCAGTCGTGCCAATGCACGGTGCAGCGGGTTGGTGTCGTAATCATGAGGGCATGTCGAGAAGGCATAGGAAGACAGAAGGGGAGGGGGGCATGTGGACTTGGAGGGAGCGCGGTCGTTTACCACCAGCCGCGGTCGCCTCCGCCGCCGGAGTAACCGCCGTTACCGTATCCAGCCCCGCCTCCGTAGCCGCTGCCGCCGTACTGGGGAGCGCCACCAAAACCGCCAGCACGGCTTCCGCCGGCGTAGCTCGAGGAGCGGAAATCCCTGGCAGCGCCTCCGCCGCGGCCACGTCCTCCTCCTCCTCCGCGACCACGCCCGCCGCGGGAACTGCCGCCGAACGAGGATTCGCGGGCAACGGTCTCCAGCCAGGGCGGAATGTCCTGGTTAGCTTCACGAAGCAACTCCATTAGGTCCTTGACGATATTTTTGTTGCCGTAGTTGAAAAAGGCCGTTGCGACACCGGTGTTCCCAGCACGACCGGTACGACCGATGCGGTGGACGTAGTCGTCGATGTCAGTGGGCAAATCATAGTTGATAACATGCGTGACGTTGGGAATGTCGAGACCACGGGCCGCGACAGCAGTGGCGACAAGAATGGGGGTACGTCCGGTGCGGAAAGTCTGGAGAGCCATCTCACGCTCACGCTGGGTTCGGTCGCCATGAATAGACGTTGCAGGGAACTGGCTCTGATATAGGAAATCCGACAACATGTCGGCCATGCGCTTCGTCTCCACGAACACGAGAGTCAAGCCCTGCTTTTCCTGCGCCGTGAGGATGTCGAGCAGCATGGAGCGCTTGTCGTGGTCCTCCACGAATTCGATCCTCTGCGTGATGTTCTCTGAGGTCGAACCGACGCGACCGACAGAAAGGAAGATGTAGTCCTTCAGGAAGTCGCGGGCGAGCATTTGGATATCGCGTGGGAAAGTGGCGCTGAACATGAGAGTCTGGCGATCCTGAACGCCAGGCATGTCCTCGCCTTGCACGATACGGCGGATCTGAGGCTCGAAACCCATGTCCAACATCCGGTCAGCTTCGTCAAGGACAAGATACTTGACGTTGGCCAGGCTGATACGACCGCGCTCAATAAGATCGACAAGACGGCCGGGGGTGGCGCTGAGCAAATCACAGCCACGCTCGATAGTGCGGAGCTGCTGATTGATGTCGGCACCGCCGTAAACGACGGCCGGGCGTACCCACGAACGGTAGGCGAACTTGCGTGCTTCCTCGTGGATCTGGCTAACCAGCTCGCGGGTGGGAGCGAGGATGAGCGCGGTGGGATAAGCTTTGCGCGCACGGCCGTAGCCGTAGCCGTTCGACTCCTCCACCGGGGGAGCGCGAGGACCGTTGGTGAACGAAGACGACAGGATGGGGAACAGGAAACCGCCGGTTTTGCCGGAGCCAGTCTGTGTACGTGTACGTGATGAGCATGAAACAAAGTCAACGTGGCACGGTTGCTTACCTGAGCACAAGCCATCAAGTCTCTGCCAGCTGCAACGATGGGCACTGAGTACTTCTGAACAGGTGTGGGGCGAGTGTAGCGCGCGTATGCGATGTTCTCAAGGAGAACAGGGTCGAGGGGCGGGCTTGTGAATTCGTTGACGGGCTCAGGGACACCGGCGCCGGTGGCTTCGATTGGGATGTCCTCGTACTTCTCGAAGTTGATGCCGGTGTGCTGCTTGGATGGGTCGTCGGGCTCGCCGTAGAGCTCTTTCTCCATGCGCGCGTTACGTCCACCGACGACATGTTTACCATCCTTCCAAGAACCGTACCCGAAGGATTCGCCGCCTCCGCCACGAGATCCGCCTCCGTAGTCTGACCGACCACCGCCGGAGCCTCGGTCACCCCATCCTCCGCCGCGACTATAGCCGCTGGAGAAGCCTCCTCGGCCGCCGCCACGTCCTCCGCCATACCCGCTGGAGGGAGTAGAAGAACGAGAGTCGTTCCAGCCGTTGGCGCCATCGGTACTGAAACAGACATGTCAGACACGACTTGCGGATACAGGTGATGAAAGACGTACTTTGCTGGAGAGGGAAGGGTAGGAGAAGAAGCAGCCCGCTGCTGGCTCCTCAAGTGAGGAGGAACGTAGGCTGATTTTATGCCGAGACCGCTAAACTGGGCCTCGAGACCGGTCGTGCCATTGGACATTCTATCTGGTGGTGATGATGTGGGGGGAGTCCTCTATGGGAGCAAGTGGGAGAGAAGACGCGCGCCCGCGTCCTTTCTAAAGAAAATTTGTGATGCTGACTCAGCACCACATTGTGGTGCGCACGAGGCTCCGCGACCGACGCTGACCATCCAAGTCCCGGCTCCAATCAGCTTCAGTGATCGCAAATCTGATCCAAGTCGTCTGCATTCGTATTCGCAGTTATGGACGCCCAGCTGAAGGAGGTGAGACCGCCCGTTGATGGTCTTATGGCACCCAAGGCTCATCATACAGCTCCTGCCCTTCCTGCACGACCGCAACCCTCAAGTTCGCCAAATTGCGCTCTCCAACTTGCTAGGCCAAAGCGCCAAAGATGCGCCGTACCGCAAGATTTTTCTCGAGGGTGTATCCTCGGGCGGTCTCAAGAAAGGCCAGGACACCGATGTGATCCGCGACCTCAAGCTGCTATGTCGAGACCAGCTGGTACCCGTCTTCGTTTCAAATGCGCCTCGAAGAAAAAAGCGCTGAAAGCATGTTCGCAGGCCACGGCGCACGATGCGTTTCGCGCACTCGTCAACCTCTCAGACTCAGCATTGCTGGTGCCATCGTTATCAGAACATGACTTCTTGGCCTTCATCGTCTCGTATATCGTCGTCAGTCTCACAATCACCCATCCATCCCCAGAAGTGACAACCAGACAGACCAGCACCCCCAAGCTACGCTCGCTGACCTGGCATCGATGCTCCTCTCGAACTTGACTGCATCCGGCCCTGTCTGCGCGACCTTGCTCTCGCTCAAGATCCCGATCATCCCGACGAAGGGTTCGTCTGCCGTTGGCATTCCCTTCTACCCCACCCTTTCGAGGTGCGGATCGTGCGCCGCGCCGGTTCCGTATCCAGCGGACGCACCGGAAGAGGTGCTAGCGCTTCCACTTCTGATCGATGCGTTCGTTGCTGCCGCCGCAGCCGCGACCAAATCGGCCGATGACTCCAACAGCCGGACGCGGAAGGCCGATCTCCACTTCTTAGCCAGTGTGTTTGCCAATATCAGCATCGTGAGCAAGGTACTAGCCGCGATCGCTCTTGCGTGCTGAGCTTCCTTCGTTAGGTCCCTGCTGGACGGACGTTTTTCCTTACTCCCATTCGATATCAGTTTGCCGCCTCCAACATATCGGACGGGCCGGAGTACCCTCTAAGCAAGCTCGTGGCCTTCACCGAGCATACTGACATCATCCGACGCGGAGGTACTGCATCGTTGATCAAGTAAATCATCTCAAGAAGTGCCCGATAACGTAACAGGCTCATGAATCGTCTATAGAAATTGTGCATTTTACCAACCTGGTCACCGCGCGATGCTCAGCGAACAAACGACGCTCGTCACCGTGCCACCATCGACAGTGGAGGCTCCGGGGGTCGACGCTCTAGCGTACATCTTGCTGCCACTCGCCGGCCCTGAGGAACTCGACTTGGATGTGAGTGCTTGTCAGGCCCGACAGAAAGTTGCTGATCCAATTCCCTACAGGAACAAGAGCTCTTGCCGGAAGCGCTTCAGTTCCTCCCTGAATCAAAAAAGCGCGAACCTGATCCGGCTATCCGCTTGATCCACGTTGAGACGTTACTGCTCTTATGCACGACACGCTATGGACGAGACAAGCTCAGAAGCACAGGCACGTACCAGATTGTTCGTCTACTACACGAAAACGAAACGGTAGACAAGGTATGTGGAGGTGCATCTGCGAGACATACCGAGCTCATAATTATTGTTCAGGTTTCTGAACATGTCGAACGCCTCGTCCGCCTTCTCAAGGGAGACGAAGGTCATGAGAATGCAATCGACGGCGACGGCGTCCCACCAGGTGAAACGGACGACGCCGATAATCGGATAGAAGAGATATAGACAGCATGTATACAGTAATGATTAGCGAAGCATTATGACGCCTTCAGGCGCAGCTTGGTGGCATAAACCGAAGTGCATTAATGTCAGACCTCGGGAGAGGACCTGCCAGTAGAATAAGACTCGTCGCTGAGCAACCACGAGTTCGCATGGGGCTTCCGCTTTCGTCGCGAGGCTTCTGTCGTGGACGTCGACGAGGAGGAGGAAGCATAACCGTCCCGCAGGTTCCGGCTCCACTCGTCCTCGGCGGATTTCTGATTCCTATGACGGGCAATCGGCACATATATTACCCGTGGTGACGGTTCGCTCACCTCGTCGATCGCCTGGTCCTCACCGGGCTTCGTACACTCGAAGCGGAGGTTCTTGACAGCAAAGGTTCTTGATGGTCGTCGCCAGCGCTGTGCGCATCATTCAAAACTGCAACTCGTCGACTGGGTCTGGGTGTTTCCTGAGCATCGCCGCTCAGCGAGGCAGGTGGCGGGTCTTTGAACCTCATCCTTGCAGCGACAAGCGGGGGAATCCGCTTAGCTAGTAGCTCTCTGTCCGAGTCAGAATCGGATGGGGAATGGTCCGCCGTTACAGGTTGACCAGAGGCTTTCGTCGATGACCTCGTGATCCTCAATGACGGCGATCGTCGCTTAGCCTCCGTCATTGGACGAGAACTCGCTCGCTCGGAGCCCGATTTGCGTTCGCAGGATGAACTCAAGTCAATGTCGTGGTCAGAGCCCCGTTTCTTGCGCCATTCTGGTTTGCGACGCCTAGCGGTTGATACATCAGGCACCGATGCAGCATCTGGAGGATCGACGACGTCGGTCTTCTCCTCTCGCTTGACCTTTCTCTTTCCCCGAGCATCCGACGCCCCCGCGTCGCTGCTTTCTGTCAGGGTCTGTCTCTTCCTAGTCGTTCCAGTATCCGTATTTCCGCTGTCAGGAGCGTCTAGCGCTTCCATGTCCGCCTCGGCGGCACCCAACTCAGCAACGAGCTCCTTCTTCCTCGTCTTCGCACGTTGCTTGACGATGTCGTCACCAGCATTATGAGTGGTGTCCGGGAACATGGCTACGCCATAACGGGCGCTTTCGCGCAATGTTGTTACGGCTTCATCGTAGTTGAGCCCTAAATCTTCCGAAATTAAGGACACCGCCGCTTCCGGGACTAGAACCTTTCCGATGAATTCGGAGGGGGCGAGAGGAGAGACCGAGTCAGGAGGGATAGAGTTCGGTGGGAAAAGATCATAGAGCGTTTGGTGAATGACCAAGAATCCTTGCTCGCCGTAACTGCGAGGATGTCTCAGTACGTCTGGTCCATGGCAGGTTGAGAACCTTACTATCCAGGCTGTGTCTTCTCAAAGTTGCCTAGTTGTCCGCCAACGCCGGCGGCGGCTCGCGATCCTTTCTTCCGAATCTCGTCCACGGCTTCCCGCCAAAAAATGCATCGAGAGCGACAGCTGTTTTCCTCGTTTTCGGAGTCGTCCAGCAATCTCTGGAATGCATCTTTGAACAGTCTGATACGCCGCGCCGCATCCTTGAAGTCTATCTGGGTCGGCCAACCCTTCCTCTGTGCCGTAGGAAGCCACAGACTCTCGAACTTGTGTCTTTGGCACGCGGCGATGTAGCTGGAGACAGGGGCCTTACGCCCCAGCGGGTTGGTTGGCCGTGGGTCTGGGTGAGAACGCCTGGCTGCTGCATCCAATAATGATATGAGCTGCGATGTGGGGTTGGTCGGAAGAGGTCCGTCGCAATAAGGACACAACGTGCTGGGATCGACGGTGGGATCCAGAAAGACTAGTAAGGTCGTTAGATCGCAGTCGAAATGGAAGTAGTCGGAGGTTGACGTACTGCGACGTATTGAGAGATCAGCCTCGTGAAATCTGAGATATATTCCTATCAGAAGTTGTGCTTTCATGGCGTAAGAACAGTCGCCTCACTCGTCGTCGTCACTGACGCCTGCGTTATTCGAGGCTTCCTGGGACTCATTCTCAACGATACTCCTGAGCGATCCCATCGACCTGAGGTCTTGCGTTGCCATAGGAAAGGGTACAGCGTTAAACCGGATTTTCGGAGCATGATCGTCGGTACAGGACATATACTCGTTCTCGTCATCACTGGGTGGATTAAGTCGCTTAGATGACCCTTGACGAAAATGGATCTGAAGAGGAGATGGCAGTGACGGTCCCTTCGTGTTCTCTCGTCCTCGCTCCCCGGCATTGTGAATAGGAGATAGGTTGGCGAAGGGATCTTTTCGCCGTGTTCCGGCATGCTTTCCGACTGGCGAGAGAGGAGGAAATTCCTGAAAATTGGATTTCCGGGGATTCGCAGGAGAAATGCGCCCCGGCGGGGCAAGGTTGAGACTTGCGAATGGGTCTGAAGTTGTCTTTTCCTTCGTCCTCTTCGATGGCTTGGGAGTTTCGTCTTCAGACCGCGTCTTGACTTCATCGAGTGCGGCTAACGCCCGTCTAGAGGAGGAAAATTTAGCCACCGATGGCGGGGACCGAGCACGGCCGCGAGGCTTCACGACATCAGGCAGAGAGGTCGAACTGGGTTCAGATGTGACGACCGGTCGCTTGACTGGGCGCGGTCTTGGTCGGGCGCGAGGTGGTGTCGGGGACCTCTTGTTCAGCTTCCGCATCTCGTCCATGTCTGAATGTCGCGGGGCTCGCTCTATAGAGTGATTCGGACTTCCGCGTCGCGTGCGGAGCGGTGTAGCTGCCCGTTTCGGGACACTCGAGCTTGGCGGTAAGCTTTGCTGCGATAATATATGCGAGATATTCGATGGGCCCGGAGTACTCGATGATTCACCCTCATCCTGAATCTTCTTCTTGCGGAAACTTGGCAGAGATCGCTTGGATTTGGCTGCAGAAACATCGTAGTTGTAATCCCTGCCGTCTATTGTGATCCTCTGCTTCTCAGAAACGGGGACCGGGGGGAGGTGGGGTGGGGATGAGCTGGCAGTCAACAGCAACTCGTCGTCGCTGTCAGAGTACTCGTAATCTTCTTGGGCAAGCATATCATGTTTACGGGACGGTGCCTTGCGGAGATGTCTGTCATTCTCCTTCTTCGACTGTGTTTTGCCCCGAGTTCCAAGCGTGAAGTTTGTCGAGACCCAATTGTCGGACGCGCTGCCTCGACCGGGAGCTGGAGAATTCAACACGAGTGAAGGGGGCCGATCCATGTGCATACAAACATCAAGTCCAGATGGGCCGGTAGCCAAGTGGCGATGTATGTACACCCGTAATAAGCGCAATCAAGACGAGTCCGCGTATGAAGGCTTGCGGGAGCTCTATAGCTGGACTGTCGTCGGGTCCTACAGCTTCGTCCCGGCACGCAGAGATGAAGGGCTTGAACTGATCTGAAGCGCAATGACGAAGCGCAGACAGATATAGGAGAAGACGAAACCTGCAGCCTTGACACTGGAACGCGGTCGCGCAAAGCGCACGTGATGGCAATACAAAGCCACGCGACGACGGGAGCGGAAAAGGTACTATTCGGTTGGGTACAATCATTTTGTATCTTCTCTTTGCTAGAGTTCGCGTATGTATACTGCGCGTGTTTGTCACGAAATCTATAATACCATGATCTTTCCCGCTCTCGTACCCAGCACTATTCTACCGGTGACCTCGCAAAATGCGCAGTGTGTAAGATCGGCTGTTACGGTCCGTGGTTAGAAACTTGGACTCACGAACACATGGCGCGTAGGCGTACCTCGAAGATCGTATGAGTCCATCTCGAATACGACGCTACCATCTATGTTGGGCACTTTGAAAAAGGAGTTCGCATCGTCATCGTCGTCGTCGGTGTCGTAGCGCTCCTGGGTGTCCATATCCTCTAGATGTTGCCCTGATTCATGACAGTTGACGTCGAACACGGAGACATCCCGCCTCGTACTGCCCCTGTGCCTTTCAATCCATACGCCGCGCTTGGCTTGAGGTCCTAGGCAACATGCGCTGACGAAACCGCGGGAGCTGCCGGGCGCGATTCGCATTCGTGTAGAGCCTAGGTCAAGGGTAGCCATATGGCGGGCTTCGACCAGCGTGACGTCGAAGGTAGGCGGGGTGCCGAGGGCTGCCGCTGCTTTAAAGCGGATACGGAAGTTGAATAGGCCGCGAATTGGATCCGATGCGAGCATGGAGATAGCGAGGTCCGGCGTCGAATCAAAGGTGGCGCTCCGGGCAATTGTCGGGGAGGAGAACGTTACATCTCTGAATGTTATATGGCCAGAGAAGACGTGTTTCATGGCTTTGAACGCATGCGGCCCAAAAGAGGGTTCTTCATGCTCATTCTCGACCACAGGCAGAGGATAGAGCTCAACAGATCGCGTTTTCATGCAAAGAATATATGGACCACAAAAACGAGCTCCGATGATTCCATTCCACTAACGCGACGCTTTCAGTACGCATGGGATAGGACGGGCGGCAGGAGACATACCAACGCGTCTAGCTCATCGTCTTCGGTGATTATGACGGTTGACTTGATATCCTGATTGGAGAAGTCCGCGACTGTGAGGAACGAACCTCTCGAAAGCGCGACACATGATAGTAAGGGGGAAATGGCACAAACAAAATGAGGATAAGAGCTGGACATCTTGGCGACGAATTCGATCTTCAGGTCGTCATCGATATGGATGGGTAACCGAAGACGGAGGATACACGTCGTTGACCGCCTGGATGAAACATCAGCAACCAAAGCATCGATGGTGATCAGACTTTCCGGCCCACATACGTGCCATTATGCGTTACCGCCAGTGATATAGCGTTCTCGTTCACATACATGGCACTGATGGCTGAAGAGCATTGGATTCCTCCCGGAAGATTCAAAGTATGCTTGAGTAGGTCCACTTTACGCCACACCCGTCTCACTGTGCCAGTCCCGTCCATCGAGTCCAGATCCCACACCACTAGGAGGTCTTCCATATACACGCAAAGCATCCATCTGCGTAGATAAAGCTGCAGATGAATGATGGAATGCAGCGAATGCTCTTGATCGTCGCTTGCGCAAAGTATGGGAACATTGGACGGCCGACGGCGTAACCATTTCCGCTGGGACGCCTCTGCTTCAACAGCAACGCGTTGAAGTTGGGGGGTTTCGCGAGAGGATAAGGCAGCGGTGTTCGCCCTGAATTCGTGTGGCAATGGCAGATGAACCTGTTGCCACCGGATGAACCTAAGCCAAAGGCTTTTCTCATGCGTGAGGGCATGTAAGGCGGAACATGTCTAGGGGGCGTGACGGACGGTGCGGTTCAGGACGCCATCCTCACTGCGTGGTTACGACGATGCGCTTGCCTTGCGGACGGCGATGACGTCGGAGGGTTCGAGCAGAAAGCAGATATCTAGAAGAACTTCCGTGGGCAGGCGCAACAACCCATCGACGGCCTGGACAGCCATATGGTTGTCGGTCGAAGACGGTGGCAAGCGGCAAGCAGGCCCGCTCCGGCGTCTTCCACCCACCGCCCTCGATATCATGGGACCTGTCGAACTCGCCCTTGCTCCACGGTGTACACTCAGCCTCGAGTTCTGCAATACGGGCATCCTGCCTGCAGACACAATCTAGGTTCACTCAGGACAAGATATCGGCGTCTTCCCTTTTGCGCAATCCTCCACGGTGGCAACCGCCAGAAGTAGCGAAGGCGCATCTTTCGCAGTTGGCAGCGATGATACCAACTAGACATGCTGTTCATCGGTTCATCTATGGATATACCGACGGTCCGCATCACATCCTTCTGCGAGCGACACATGGTACCGGTCATTCCATATTTTGGTCGGACTGACCGCCGGACCGCTACGCCCCGTGCACTGACAAAGAAGCCATAGGACCGGAACCTGCCAGAATTCTGAATTGCTAGGAAGTTGCATGCGCTATTTGGGCTTTTGAGAATCATGCAGCTTGATCCGACGAAAGGCTTGCGATGGCAAAAGCTACTTTGGCCGTCTGTACTTTGTGCTTTGTTCTTGAGAGCATGAGGGAGCGAGTTCCGATGCACTTCCATCTCCGCCCCATGAGTGAAATGACACCGAGATGTGGGTTCGAGATATGGCATCTAGATGTTGCGTATCGTCGAGGACTCTCGTCACACTCAGGGCGTCGGTGCGATCAGCCGGCCTTGTTCACGAAGCAAGCCTTGCATCTGTGCATACGGCCATCCTAGCTTCGTTGAAGAAGGAAGGTCACAAGGCCCCTCAAGAGAACTATATGAGCGAGCGTGTTTGCAGCTCCTCAAATCTGACCTTTATCGACATGATATCTGTTATGGCTCGACTTCTCAATCTCAGGACCGCCCTTTTCCTCGGGTTGACTGCTGTTTCCGCCCAGAATGTTCCCGGTCGTGAGTGTTCAGCCTTCATTCGGTGGTCCCGAGCTCATCTAGCCTACTCAGTCGCGCCTAAGGCGTTCTTAAATCTGCCCCTGGGCGCTATTAAACCCGCCGGGTGGATGTACGATCAAGTCAGTCTTCTTCAATGTGCACACTGATCAATGACCAATGCCCGCAAAGCTCGTTGTACAAACCAATGGTCTTGCTGGCCACGAACATGACTTCTTGTAAGTGCTCGCCCCTCTGGCAGAGTGCAAGCAAGACTCATCGTTACGCCCACAGTGACTAGTAAGCATTCAACTGTTCGCTTGTGATCCTATCGGTACTTATGGCCGTAGTGTCTCTCGCACTGATTGGACAGGCGGTGATTCTTATTATTCGAGTCTCGAAGAAGGTGAGGTCAATGCATCGAGACCAAAGACAACGTCGCTTACAGTTGTCTTAGCTGGAAGCTATTGGTTTGTAAGTCGGATGTTCGTCTGAAATATTTATGCACCGACCATCAATATATATTGTCAGAACGGAATGGTACCCAACGGCGTCCTTCTCAATGATGCCACCATCATGAATCAGACGCGGTACTTCTTGGATTATGTCCTTGACCACCAAGATGCTACCGGCTGGCTTGGCCCCGAAGTAAGCTTGCGAGCTTGCGAGCCAAGGATTCTGAGCTGACGCGCTGCCAGGTCAACACAACTAAGCCGCGATACCTATGGGGACGGTATACTACTCTCACCTAGCTATTCCGGGCATCATCTAACCTAGACCCACAGCTATCCGTTTATGTTTGGCGCGATTCAGATGGTTGAGGCTGACCCTTCTTTGACGGACCGTGTTGTTACGGCCCTACACAAATTCGTCAAGTTGGCAAACGCTATGCTTCACAATGGTGAAGGTGTAGAAGACTGGACCGCCACCCGATGGGAGGATTTCGTTATGGTCTGCCAGTGGTATGCAATGTGCCGTTCTACGATTCCCTCGTTTGAAGGCTTTTCTGGCAGGCTATATGACTTCCATCCAGATGGGAATGAGGACCTTTTAATCGATACAATGAAGCAGCTTAAGTATACGGGCGATCCATGGGAACTCGTCTTTCAGGAGCAGGTGAGTCCTGAGTTTATGGTTGTCTCGTCACCGTGGTGCTCATGCATGCCAGTACTTCCCCACCGGACCCGTCGAGAATGTCAGTGCATGAATCACCGATATAATCAAAACTGACATCAGAGACATTCATAGTTGCGAAATCCGTTCTCTGTGTTGACATGGCACGGTGTAAGCATTCATGACGTGTTGCAATCGGCACGCCCCTTACGGAACGGTTCTGAAGGTCAATATGGCGGAAGGATCGAAGGCTCTTCCTTCAACGTACCGCTTTACTCACAACCAATCTGGTATGGGAGATACCACCCACTGTATGCATATCACTGACCAGGCTTCTCCCAGATCTGGACGTTGCTAGCTCCGGTTGGGATCTCCTCTTCAAGGTCTGTTACTCCACGGCAATTCTGTGGAGGACCACACGGAGTTCTGATCTTATATTAGTATCATGGGCGCCCATCCGGCATTTACGCAGCCGACGAATACTTGGCTGGTCTTGAGGCCGCGCGAGGGTGGGTGTATATAGTTTGTCTGTATAACCACTCATTGATCCGGGTCCCAGGACCGAATTATGCCTCGTTGTGGTATGTCCCTTCATTAACGCGATGACAATAGTTTCAACTTTTCTTCCTCCCTAGGAAACCATGTTTTCGTGAGTGTCAAGATAAGACCAGCGACATGAGAGGTGACACCATGGCAAGGGGAGCTTATCTCTTTCAGGTGATCGGAGACCCCAAGTTCGTAGAAAGGGCAAGTTATGGTTTTTGCTCTTCCGCCAGTCACTGGTTGAAACGAATACATCTACAGGTCGAGCGGATCGCCTACAACGCACTTCCGGCTACCTTAACGGGCGACATGTGGTCGCGACAATATTTGCAGCAGCAAAATCAAATCGCTGCGAAGAACATGACGCCGTTAGTTAATATATATTCATCACTGCGCTCCAGCTGACGACCATATTGCAGTAATCCTTTCCCGAACGATGGGTAAAGCAATTTACCAACCATTTTGACGTTGACCAACCTCTTCTTAACCAGACCATATTCCAATGTCTTCGGCCTTGAACCGAATTACCCGTGAGTACCGTCCAAACCCGAGGTGATTGACGGTATGTTCATCGTCGTACAGGTGTTGCACGGTCAATCATCCTCAAGGATGGCCTAAATTCATTACGCACGCGTTCATGACCACACACGACCAAAAGTCCTTGGCACAGGTGTATCTGGGACCTTTCAACACTCAAACGACCTTGGCGAACGGTAGGTATTCTCCGGCCGAACGATGGCCTCTGGCTTATCGGTGAATATCGTGTAGGCAACAAGGTGACGGTTGCAGTGGACACACTCTACCCATTCAGCGACTCCCTTGCCATCACTGTTACCGCCAACGCGGCGTTCACGTACATGGTTCGCGTGCCAAGCTGGGTGACGAACGGCACGATGTCTGTCAACCGTGGGGCGGCCAAGGGGCTCTCTCCGAAGAATGGGTTCCAATCCATCTCCTTACCGAGCGGGACCACGAATATCACCCTCAACTTGCCTGCACCTATCACCCTCGGTGCGCCACTTTGTCGAGCGTGTGTCGTCATATCTAAGAATGCGTAGAATCCCGCCCTCACGGTTCCGTCGCCGTTCATCGGGGCCCGCTGCACTATGCCTTTGATATTCCAAGGTCACAAAAGGTGCCGCAAAGCCGAAGGGTCTTGTGATGACATACTACATACTCATGCTACTCTTGACAGGTCCTTACTCAAAATGCGCAGCAGCCGCTGGCGAAAGATTTGGAGTTCGACTCCGCCTCCGAATGGCGCTACGCAATTGACACCACCTCATTGAAGTTCCATAGCAACCCACCAGCATCCGGCAAGCTGCCTTCCCCCGTCTTCGACTCTGGACTGCCGCCACTGTCGATCTCAGTCTCAGCATGTGTTATCGACTGGGACACCGCCGGGGATACATTCGCGGCGCCTCCGCCGCAGTCACCAGTCACTTGCAAAGGCAATGCTACCCAACTTGCGTTGACGCCTTACGGTGTAAGTCCGATGAATGCTAGTTATGTTGGCCTTACCAACTTGCTTTTGCAGGCAACCAAGTTGAGAATCGGAGAGTTCCCAGTCTTCAAATAGCTTTCTACACGGATAAGCACTGGGGAGCTCATAGGAGACAATGTCGACACGGTTGATCCTTCGGGTGCATGTTCTTATCTTTCAATGATCGTGTACTGGTGAGGCTACTGGTGTGTATAGTTACGAAGACGAAATCATCTCCTTTCTGGTCCCATTTAAGATCTATATACGCTTATCTCGAATTGTTTCGACGATTTGTTGAATCGATACGCGCTACCTCTGCTTATTCTTCACGAAAGTCGCAAACGAAAACAACGTTTTTGGTGCTGGCGAGAGTTTCCCACGCGCACCTTTCGCCACGTGCGCCCCCTTTGCGCGGACCCCGACGCGCGCGTTACGCACTTGCCCCGTCTCGATCACCTTGTCCGGTGTCATCCAGACCAGTTTACAAGGTTGCTTATGCACGAGGAGCAAGGTCGATCTATGGCACTGGCTCCCTACGTATGTCTAACGCAAGAACCCAGATACTTGTCGGATATGCAGTGCCCCAGCGGAACCCGATCAGCCTTTGTTCCACCCATGCAAGTGTTCAGGAACGATACGTTACATTCACCAAGACTGGTGAGTATTGGAGCTTCACTGCAATAGCTTATGCTTATTGTGACTAGCTTGACGACTTGGCTCAACCATAGCAAGAAGAAGACATGTGATGTCTGTAAACATCCTTATGCTTTCACGAAAGGTCCGTGGGCGTTCTCGTAATTAGGTATCATCCTCTGAGCGATGGGTTCAGTGTATGCGCAGGATATGCCAAACCGGCTTCCTGCTATCCTTGTCGTCCGTCAGTTCGCCAAGCAGACTGTGACCACCATGTTCTTCATATGTAGGGGCGTTCTCGTTGCGGTGGTATGGCTCGCGGTCCTTCCCTGGGTCACTGTATGGACATGGAGGATGTACTTCACCATGGGAGACTCAACGTGCGTATCACTCCAGCGGCGCTAGTGTTCTCGCTAACGGCTCACCTACAGCGCATGGTGGATCAGCGATCGTTCACGGCCTGTCCCTGGCCCCGGCTTTCCTTACTTCCCATTTTACCTTAACGAGACCACCTTCAATCAGACTGAGAGCGGTGTCTCGAACAATACGCTCTATGCACGCGTCACATCACATCCTGTTTGGATGGCAATCTCTGCAGACATCTTCGCTGGTCAAATCATCGCATCGTTGATTGTCCTCACATCGGTCTCTGTATTCCTTCTCCGAGAATGGATAGTCCAAAATGCGCGGCCCGGAGTCTTCGAGGAGCTTGACGTACCTCTCGTGGAAGAAGATGAAGCTGTTGCCGCAGTTAACGAACCCGCCGAAGCACCTGCGCCTGTAGACGTGGATGCGAATCCTCCGGAGGGTGATTCTTCGGAATCTGAGGGTGAATCGCATATCGCGCCACACGCTAGCGAGTTCCGTATCGACCCGTCCGGCGATGAGGTTACTCCGGAATCAAATGCAGGTACTTCCGATCCACCGCTGCACCTTGCTTCTGGGCACTACCATTCAGGAGAGCCTTCATTGGAGGATAGAAGACGCGTTATGCGTAAGGCTGCTGTGCGCCGTCGCAGAATGGAAAACGGGGAGAGTTCGGACAGCTCTTCGTCAGATAGTCCACCTCCGTCCAGACCTAGGCCGAAATTTCACACCAGATACGGACGCAGAAGTAGTTCTGAACCACGGACGATAGGTTCATCGCCCTCTTACTTGGACGGTACGGAGAACGATCTGCGCCGACTGAGGCCGTTCCCACCTCCGGCTGTCCCATCCTCCAGTACACTACGATCGCCCGCCAGTGTGCCTCGTCGCCCACCGCTTCCCACATCCGGCCGATCGTCCAAAGTCAATACACCTTTAGCATCTCCCGGCTTAGCCACGTATCGTGCTCCCGAGGATCTCGCTGCTGGACCGTCGGACTACTTTAACGAAGAGGCGATGCCCAGCGAGAATTTGGAACACGAACATCACAAGTATTTCAAGCAGGCTGGCAGTAGCTCCGATAGTTCATCCTCTAGTACGGGAAGCCTAACAGTGGAGGAGTTGGAGTTCGACGAACTATCTGACAGCTTTCCTTCGCTCGACTCCCTGGACACCGACTCAGTTGACGACGAGAATGAGCCGGAGGCCGAGATCGGCGAGGAGGACGTGTTCCTCGACGATCAACCGGCGCATGCGGACCTCGATCGCCAGATCCGTGAGGATCTTCCCTTAGGTGAAGCCGAAGGACCTGGTGTAGAGGGAAATGAGGACTTCGACGCCTTCGCGGAAGATAACGACATGGATGGTGCCCTGGAAGGTCTGTGCGGCGCACTGCCAGATCACAATGCCCTGACCTATAATCCCGGGTGTAGTAATTGGTCTCCGAGGACCCATATTTGGAATCTTCCAGAATGTAAGCAGATGCTACGTTACGGCTCAACAAATCGAGTTGACGCGACGCGACTTGCAAAGGCCGCCTTGGTTATTTTTGTCCTTGACACGATAATAGGGCTCGGAATATGGGTGCCGTTCACCATCGGCAAGACCACTGCGCTCCTTACGGTGTGTGCCTGCGATGTTGCGGCATCTGCATACTCATGTCCTGCGTTCAGTTGGATCCTCCGCGCCTGCTGAAGGTGCTACATTTTCCGATCAGGGTTATACAAGTCTTCACCGATCCCATTCTCGATGCATTACTGTTCATCGCCAGCCGCGTTCTGTTGCCTTCAGTATGGACCGCCCTCTCTGCGTGTGCTCAAGCTGTTGGTCGGATGTCCGTGGCTCTGATGAGTGCGGCCTTCGGTGACTCCGTTACTTCCAAGGCTACCGAGTATACACTTGCTGTTGTGAGTGACATGAAATTCAGCGGATGCATATATTTGACGCCCGGTGCAGCACGGTCGGGGTCGGAGAATCATCGAGGATCAATGGACCGCGATTGTTGGCTCTCTCAAGCCCAGCAACGGTGGTTCGAGCGCTTCCATAGGTCGTGGACCTTTGTCCCTGATTGATTGGATGTTCGAATCGGACGTGCAATTAGCGCGTTGGGCAGAACCCCATTTCGCTGCTTTAGGCAGACGTGTTCGCATTGGCGCCACGGCGGCGGCAGCTATATGGGTGCGCATGGCTTTGGGCAATGGACCTCTGGAGAAGATTTTCGCTACGATCCTTGGCTATGCAGTCGTCGGACTGCTTCTAGCAATCTACCTCAACATGCTCACTGCTGGGAACATGCGTAACGCTGGACGAGCAATTCGAAGTACCATACGCCAGCAGTTCCTGATCATTAAGGTAAGTCTTCGATATAGCTGTCCATCTCCGTCCAATGAGCTGATGGGTTGATTCATTTCATCGTCAGGTTGCCGCATTCATAGTATTCGAATTGGTCGTCTTCCCGTTCGGGTGCGGTCTTATGTTGGATTTATCGAGCATATGGCTCTTCCCTCGTTCGAGCTACGAGTCACGATGGATCTTCTTCTGTGCCCGGCCTATCACAGCGGTGTTCTGTGCGTATTTCCTTCGTCTCTCTTGCACGGATGCCAATTGAAATTGCTCTTTCAGATCACTGGGTCGGGGGTACCATGTTCATGTCCGTTAGGTTTGAAGTCTAACTTAGCGAACTCCCACCTGACATTGATCGCAGGTACCACTTTGCTATGCTCTTGAGCGGTTGCAGGGATATCATGCGTCCTGGAGCCATGTGGTTCATCAAAGATCCTCAAGATCAGAATTTCCATCCTATACGGGATATACTCGAGAGACCCACACTAACTCATCTACGTAAGTTGCTTATCAGTGCAGAGATGTACTCTGCAGTGATCGTAGCTGGGGTTGGCTCTGTTGGAGGATTCATGTGGATGTGCACAAACGTATTACCGATTCGATGGATGCCTCAGTAAGTCACGGAAAAAGGTCGCCTCATCCCTCGCCTAATACCTGGACACAGAAACAATCTGAGTGAAGTACCTATCGACCTCTTGGTGATGCTATCAGTCCTTCCCTACACAATGCAGCACTTCCGCCCATCTAAGCCCATCAAAACCGGCGCTTCGGCGCTCTGGAAATTCCTCTCGAAGAAGCTCCGATTGACGTCCTACATGCTGGGAATTAGGGTGGCTGACGAAGAAATCACTCCTGCGTACTCAGCATGGACGCTGTTCGAGAGCTCTCAGATTCGCGCCGTGGATCTGAAGGATGGCGGCTTCCGGCGTGTCCCGGCGAGCGACCACATCGCATTGGCCCGCGACATGCGTGGTACTGCCGCCGTCGACGAGAATGGAGTACCATTAACCGAGGTCGACTCAAGGATCATACAAAGCCAGAACGCCGAAGCGGAGAAGGCAGGGCGCCAGATAAAAGACGACTATATGATTGTTTATGTCCCGCCTCACTTCAAATGGCGTCTTGCTCTTTTCGTCCTTGGCCTTTGGACTGCTGGCGCTGCTGCTACAACGGCAGTCATATCATGTCCGATCATGCTGGGACGCGCGGTCTTCAAGCTCGTCATCGCTGAGGATGTCCATGACGGATATTCATTCTTCCTCGGGTTTTACCTCCTATACGGCTGTTTTGTTGTTGGCCGCGCCTTCGATCGCATGGACAAGAGGCGACAGAGGGCGTGGCCGGACGACGACGAGGTTTCCAGCGCACCGCGAAGTCTCTACGTTCTCAAGCGCACGCTCGTTTGGCTGGCACAAATCTTGTACATGGTTGCGTTTTGCGGCTTCATCTTGCCCACACTGCTTTCTTTGGTCGTCGAGGTCTACCTCATCCTCCCCATCCGATTCTCCATGAATTCCAATTTCATCCCACGCGTTAGGCTCATCGACATGTGGGCCCTTGGATTATTGTACACTCGGATTGCCCTGAAGACACACCATCTTCACTCCCGCACTGGCATTGCTCGTGGTCTCCAGAAGGTACGAACATAGGTGCTTCCTGTTCCTGTCGCAAGTTAATCGTCCTCGTTAGATCGCGCGTAACGGTTGGACAAGTCCAGATCCGTGGTCGGCGACCGTAGAAGTCATCGCTCCGGCCTTTGGTGGGCTTGCTGGCATGCTCCTTCTACCGGCGCTTGTGGTCCTGTCATTCCGCAAGTTTTTAGACATGCAAGTAGACAATAGGTTCCTTCGTGAGTCTCCCATAACCCAGCATCCTACTGCCGCTCATACGCGACCGCCATTGGCCTCCTCAGTCATGCACGTCTTCCCTGGCATCTTCGCAGCGGCTGGCTTATACCGCACAGCCAATTCTCTGAACGTTTTGTTCGCGAGCTGGTCACAGACGATACGCGACAATGAGTTCCTGGTCGAGATGCGACTGCGGAACATGGAACCGGAGGAAACAAAACCGGAGGAAGTCAAGAGGGAGGCTCGGACGCCATCTCTCGACGGCACCGATATCGGTGAAATGTAATATACAGTCTCGTGTAGCCGTGTTTTCAAAAATAACGATAATCACCCTATACTGAACAATATATCGCCTATGAATCTGATTCCGTCAACGTACTGCTGGACAGAGCACGACAACTTGATATCAAATCATGTCTTCGAGGTATGCCTCTGAGTCGGTTGTCTCATACTCGTCCTCGGTCTCGTCCTCTCGAACCAGGCGGTAAGCCGTGAATGTTCCGTTGGGATGATACACAACGCGCCATCTCTCCGGTCGCTCGCCAATGTCGTCGATAACCCAGTCGACGTAATCCGCACCGCTTTCATCTTCTGGATGCAATGAGATGTTCCAACCTGCAACGTCTTGTGGTGAGCGACGGAAGGTACCATGATGTGTATGCTGGGTGAGACAGCGTACCAAGGTAGAAGGTATTACCCTCCGAAACGATGCTGAGCCCTTCTTCATGAGTGTATTTAAGGTTGAACAACTCGCGCATAGCTTGTGTCCCACCCCGCCGAAGTATCGTAAGTTCTTCCGGCGCATAGTTGTCCAAGTCATATAGGTCGCCGTCGAGAAGCACGCTCGGCGGGGCCCAACGCGCTGGGATATATTCACCCTCGTACGGATCTTCGTCCGAACCCGTGCCATACCCGTATTGGACGTCCCAACCCTCTTCGTCTTCATCATCCTCAGAACCGAACAGTTCCGTATCCTCGTCGTCCACGTCATCCTCGTCGTAGTCCTCTTCGGAGCTTGCGTCAGACGGGCGGAAGATACCTTCCCATGGATCGCCTTCCGGAGGCGGCGGGCTGCGCTGTTTAGCCTGACCCACAGGCGATTTGAACCTCGTGATGGCTTGAGTGATGGATTTCATGAGGAACAAGGGGCTGGGGCGATTGCGGACAATGGCCCTGCATGTCGGACATGTCTTTCGCCTGTATACTAAATCATCGTCTTCGTCTAACTGCATCTCGTCTTGGGCCTTCGGGGCATTGCGGAACCAGCCTTGCAGGCATGTTTGACAGAAAACGTGACCACAGGGATTCCTATCAGGGGTGTCGTTTGACTATGCATCACAGGCGACCAAAGTGTCGAAAACGCACGCATATGGTTGCATCAGCGGCTCCATGCAGATCTGACACTGGCAGCTCTGCTCAATCGTCGCGATCAACTGTGTCATAGTCAAGGCTACCTCCCCCAGACAGTCAAATGGGACACGTACTTCGTCACTTTGTTTCGACTTCGCTTTGAGGTTCTCTATACGTTGGTGGTTCTCCTTTCTGATCTGAATGGAGGGGGAAAATGAGATGTATCTGGAGAATCGAACGATAAGTTATTCTCACCTTGTTGACAGCGGAAAGCCTGTTCTCTAACTCGATCATTAACTGGATTAACTGTTAGCTCATATGCTGGCGATTTGACAGTCACGCACCTTCGCCTGGTGGATAGCCGTCTTCCTAGCGCTACCGAGTTGCTGCATATAATGTCAATAGCTACTGAGCTGTATGTTTATCAACGCGTACTTGTTTGTACTTCTCTACCTCCGCTCGTAGGCGATCGAACTCCGCCTGAGCAAGCGGCCCGCCAAATGTGGGAGAGGTGGAATCTTCAACTGCAAGGGCATCCGAGGGATCCTTGTGCGTAGACTTGACCCGCATCTCCTGCGCTGGCTTCGGCGCCTTGACGAGACTTCTTTCGAACTGGCGAATGGCTTGCCCTGGTAAGGAAGAATCGACGGTCGGCGCTAGTGCGGGCTTCGACTTCATTCGTCGAGGTTTGGATCGGTCGACGAGCATCCTCTCTCCGGGTGAGGGCGCTCGTGAATTGGTGACGACCATGGTGATGGGACGCTTTCTCGTGCGGGCACCCCGTGATGGGCTTCTGGACGAATGCCGACTATCCGCCCTGCGACGCTCAGGAGATCGCGACTTGTGGCTGATGTTACGAGCATCATTGACGCTTGAGGACGCCGCCGCCGAGCTTGCAGCCATGTTCTCAGCGCGACGGTGGTGTCGCGCAGCCTCTCGACGCGAGGCATTGCTTGTTGCTGCGGAGTTCATGGTGTGTCTGGTAAGGGTCGCGATCTCAGACGACCGATAAATCTAGACAGCGTACTGTCTCGTACTCACCGTCTTCTTGGTTGACTCAGACTGCGTATAGACCTCTCGATTGCAACGTGTCCGTGCTTGATGGATTACGGCCGCGCTCGTGTGGTAGAGAGGGTCGGTATAGACTGGCTATGGGTGACGGAAATGAGGCGTCCTGCAGAGTCGCGTGCCGGCACCAAGCGATCTGCTCAACCGGCGTTCGTGTCCAGCTGCTGCTGCCAAGCGTCCAGCGGTCTCAGATCAACCCCCTGGAAGCGCCAGCACAGCCACACTACCCAGCGCCGTCGATCGGCCCGGGAATATCCTACGTCGCATATCCAGCCTTATTTGCATCCGTCATCGAGCGGTGCCAACGACAGCGCTGAGACATACGCAGCGTCACGTAGCTCTCCCAGCTGTGCCAATTCCTCCTGATCGTGCCATTCAATATGTGAGAATAGGCGCCTTGTTCGGCCCACCTTCGAAGCGTATCGGCCGAGAATTTATCTGCAGCCCCTAACTGCATTGCCTGCAAAATATTTGACTCGATCGATTGTATTGTCGTGCGTTCTGCGCTCTTGCACTCCGCCTGTCTTCATCCTCGCTGTATCCTTCCATGTCTGCTGCAAAGGGCCGCGTCTTACTCGCCTACTCCGGAGGCCTCGGTGCGTAACGCGCTGTAACGCGCCGTGGCGCGGTTCGCTCACTTCGCGTATCTCCCACCAGACACATCCTGCATCCTCGCGTGGCTCATCGAGGAAGGATACGATGTGTACGCATTCATGGCCGATGTCGGCCAAGAAGAGGTGCTTAGCAATACCGCCGACCCTTGACAATGATGTTCATGATGTTCATCGCAGGACTTCGAGGCCGCCCGCGCGAAGGCACTGAAGGTTGGCGCGAAGAAGTTCTTCCTCTCCGTTAGTTCTCGCATGCAAGCGGCACAGGACGCCCCGCTGATCCTTCCATAGGATCTCAAACGCGAGTTCGTCACGGAACTGATCTACCCTGCCGTGCAAGCCAATTGCATCTATGAGAACGTTTACTTGCTCGGTACATCGCTTGCGCGACCGGTCATTGCTCGCGGCATGATGGAGATCGCGGAGAGAGAAGGATGCGAGTAAGGAAACAAAATCTGAATGATCGCCAATCCCCTCTCATTTTGCTCAGTTTCGTTTCGCATGGCTGCACGGGCAAGGGCAACGACCAAGTCCGCTTCGAGCTCGCCTTCTACGGCCTCAAGCCTGACATCAAGGTCATCGCCCCTTGGCGTATTCCCGACTTCTACAACCGCTTTGCCGGACGGCAAGCCCTCCTCGCCTACGCCGCTCAAAAGCAGATCCCTGTGCAGCAGACGGCGGCCAAGCCCTGGTCCACCGACGAGAATCTGTTCCACATCTCCTACGAGGCGGGCATTCTCGAAGACCCGAACACCACTCCGCCCGCGGATATGTGGAAACTCACTAAGAGCCCGGAGGAGGCGCCAGACACCCCGGAGCGACTGTCGATCGAGTTCAAGACTGGCTTGCCCGTCAAGGTCACCAGCGGGGATAAGACCGTCACCGACCCTGTGGAGATTTTCCTCTTCCTCAACGCAGCCGCCCGCAGGAACGGCGTCGGTCGTATCGACATCGTCGAGAATCGATTCATTGGCGTCAAGTCTCGAGGATGCTACGAATCCCCGGGCGCGACCATCCTCCGCGTCGCGCACATGGATATAGAGGGGCTCACCCTCGACCGCAACGTTCGTGCCCTCCGTGACCAGTTCGTCACCGTGGAGCTTGGCCGCATCCTGTACAACGGCCACTTCTTCACCCCGGAACGCGAGTTCGTCACCGCGGCAATCCCAGCCAGCCAGCGGACCGTGAACGGCGTCGTTCGCCTGAAGCTGTACAAGGGCAACGTGATTGTTGAGGGTCGCGATTCCGATGAGGTAAGTCTCCGTGCATATCATTCGAACGCAGAGTTGCGCCCCTCACGACGCGATATCCAGGGTCTTTACGACGCGAAACAGTCGTCGATGGACGAGCTGGGCGGTTTCGAGCCGACTGACACGACCGGCTTCATCCAGATCGAGTCGATCCGGATCAAAAAGTGGGTTGTCCTCGATCCCTTGCCCCGAAACTGTCTGTTGATTTTCCTCCGTGTACAGATGGGCCCAAGCGAATCTCCGCAAGGGGCAGGCGGGCGTCGCGCCCAAAGACGTCTATGGAAGCCGAACCTGATCGGCGTTCCGCATCAACATTTCACCCTCCTTGTAACTTGTCTTTATAATTTGTAGAACCAACCACCTTGCTTCGGAGCTGCTCGGAACGGTGCGGCCGTAACGCAATCGCGGCGATCGGTCGCTACTTCACCAGACTTCGCTCAGCTTCGCTCTCGCGACCCAGCGCTCGACTTTACCTCCAAAACCGACCAAAATAAAGTGGATTAATGATTGTACCTGATCACTAAGGAGAAAATTGGCGCATTTGGCGCGGTGTATTCAGAGATAAGTATATGCTGGGCGATGGAGAGCAGTGATGTGGAGATGAGCAAGATATTCGTGGTGTTGGCGCAGGAACATTGCAGTCCGTGTCCGAACAGCCGTGTACGCATTCTCAGCCGAAACAAGCAGCGCTCTCGCGTGGCGTATGTACTCCGAAAACAGGTGATTCTCAAGCTTGCATCACGCGTGACGCTGGAAAGTTTATATTCGCATATGCCGTGGTCGCGGCCGCGGTACGTACGGCTTGGGTAGCTTCGCGAGAAATGTCACACCGTTCTCAGCCGAACGGAAGCACTCGACGGTGTGGGCGCGCATCGGCCATGCGTATGCGTACTTCCTGCGACCTCGCTGTATTCACGTCATGCGCGTCCACGCAGCCATGCCAGCCACATGAACCCGGTCCAGCATCCGATACACCGACACAATCCCACTGAATGCATGATTCGCGCAAGGTTGAAGACGGGTCCCTAAAGGAGAACAAGCCCGTGCGCCAGGCCCGAAGCCCGGACACGCGGCGGTCGGAGAACGTTGCAGAAGCCTCAAGCCAATACATACATACTTTTGGGTAAGGAAAGTGCTGGAGAGAACGAAGCTGCAGTCGGTTCAGCAACCCTCGGCCCCCGGCAAGTCTGGAAGTAACGCCCCCGTGGGAGTTCGTGTCCTGCTGTGTGAACCCATCCCCCGACGCAAGGTGCAGCTTTGCTGGCTGTGCTCATACTTAGAATCGCTCCACGCGCGCGCTGTATTCGCCTCAGCAGATTCGCTTTAGACGCTTGGGAGCCAGGGCAACAGTGTGTTCAATCACCCGACCCTCGGTCTGCGGCATGATAGGGTGTTGGAAACCCCGTCGACCTCATACCCACTGCAAAGGACACAAACCCTCCCCTCGCGGGGCTGCGAAGCCTCGTCTCCTAATGCGTCACTGACATGGCGTCCCAACTCGGACAATGCAAACTGCTCCGGGACTCGGCGTTCTGTACGGTCTTCAACCCGATTCGCATGAACCAGCCGGAGCCATACGATCCCCGAGTTCTCGCTTTCCGACTGGATCCTCGGCTTTCCCGAACAAGGCGTTGTGGCCACGGTTCTCCGTCTTCTTTCGTGTGGACACGACGATGGTGTCGCTATCGCGCCGTTCGCGGATTCCATGCTCGCCGAGAAGGAACATTCACGGGACACTATATAGTCTTCATGGGTATAGCTCGACTCCCGCTGGATCTGGTGTTCTGAGATGCTGCCCACCGTACTCGCCCTTGCTGCGCTCGCAGCCACGAGCATCGCTTCTCCGTTCCATGACAAACGATGGGACAACCTCAAGGTCAAGCATGAGTGGGTCCAGACTCCAAAACACTGGATTGAAGTCGGGCCCGCACCTACCGAGTCCAAGGTGGGAATATATGAACCTCCACGGCGCTACCATCAGTATGATGGTGCACCGCAGTTTTCTTGATTTTCGTCTTCGTTTACTGATACACGTAGTAGATACATCTTCGAATCGGTCTGAAGCAGCATGGCTTCGATGAGCTAGTCAAGCACCTTTATGAAGTTTCGGACCCGTCACACAGCCGTTACGGGGCACATCTGTCGAAAGAAGATGTCGACACTCTTGTGGCCCCCCATCCGGACTCGACCGCTCTCACGGATTCTTGGCTTCTGCATCACGGAATCCAGCCGTCTAGCTGCCATCGCTCATCGTCAGGCGATTGGTTGACAGTTCCTGTTACTATTGAGCAAGCAGAGCGCATGTTAGGTGCCTGGAATACGGTATTTGAGCGTTGTAAGGATCATCGCTGACCCTGTACATTGTATAGGAACGAAATACAGGATTTATCAACACGATATCACGGATGAGCAGATCGTTCGCGCTATGAGTTACTCGCTTCCTGAGGATCTTCATAATCACATTAACGTGGTCACCCCAACAACGTCAGTGATTAGTCGCTCCTATCGACAATCCACCTTCGCTTACGGGCTAGTGACGTCCAGGTACTTCTCCACGATGAAAGCGATGAAAGCGACGCACCGAATCATGCCAGAAATCACATCTTTGGACGATGATCATGCTCTCCAGTCGCAAATCGCTCAACCAGGCGGGCTGGCCACTGTGCCCGCTAGTTGCAGCACGACCATCACGTACGAGGTGTATCGGTAGCTTGTCACAGCACAGTAGCGTTGACGTCGACTGACTAGGCCCACTTGCCTGCGAGCATTATACAACACGTCTACGTATGTGCCGCAAGCCACGGACGTCAATGTCCTTGGCGTAGCAGGTTATCTGGATGAGTACGTGTCTCATCCTCTTGCAAACGTTCTCTCCAGCTTACGATATAGCGCATAGGTTCGCCAACCATGCAGACCTTCAGGTTTAGTGTCGCGTTCTCGGAGCTGGTCGACTTGTAAACTGATTATAAGGACACAAGACTTTCTTCAGCCGGTTTAGAACCGACGCGGTCGGTGCCGACTTCACAGTAGTGCAGGGTAAGTCCTCTATGATATTGTGTTCCGCCCCAGGAGTAACAACGTGCTTGCAGTGAACGGAGGAGGAAATGATCAGACCGATCCCGGTGTTGAAGTAAGAAAGCGACCTTCTTCGAGCAACATACAAGGCTAAACCACCTCTAGGCCAACCTGGATATTCAATACACGGAAGGTAGCTGGGTTCTCCCTACCAGTGTCTCCCAGACTCAATAAGCATGTTCCAGGCATGTCCTTCCCCACTCCGAATGTATACTTCAGGTATGCGGCCGCGAACGATTGAAACGCATGGGGCTGATACGATCAAGCACCGGAGGGTCTCCTCCCTTCGTGGCAGATGACAACGTACGTACAATCATTTTTGATAGCAATCAAACTCGATGTAAAACGGTTACCGATAGACGCCTACTAACACCAACGAGCCGTACGTTTTCACTCAGATCCTCTGGATACAGTTGATATCAATATATATATATGCTATCAAAGATACTTGGATTTCCTCGGATTCCTCCTCAACCAAACAACGGTGCCTCAGACATTGACCACGTCATATGGTGACGACGAGCAAACCGTGCCATTCGACTTTGCTCAGGCGGTATGTAGCGCGTTTTCGCCGCACTCGAACACTGTATTCAATCCATAAACACGGCAGGTGTGCAATGACTTCGCCCAACTTGGTGCTCGGGGAACAAGCATCATGTTCTCATCTGGAGATGACGTATGTGCAGCGTACATATGATGAGACGGAAGACGAGCATTGATTTCCGATTTATTATCAGGGTGTTGGCGGTAGTGATTGCCTCACTAACGACGGAACGAAGTAAGCGAAGCGTGTGACCGTGGTTTGCCTGCCTGAACTCTTCCGCCAGCCGCGTCCTGTTCCAACCCAACTTTCCAGCGTCCTGTGAGTCAATTATCTCCAAGCGAGTCCATGTGTTGACGATGTCGTAGGTCCGTTCGTCACTACCGTTGGAGGGACTATTAGAGTGGCACCGGAAGTTGCGGTGTCATTTAGCGGAGGTGGATTCTCTCGCTACTTTGCTCAGGTACAGTATTTGCCTTTCAATGACTAGCTGATCTCACATCGTTAAACAGCCCAGCTATCAAGCAAGCGCGGTGGATTCGTTCCTGGCCGGTTTAGGTGACACGTTCTCTGGACTGTTCAAGTGAGTTCGAGCCACGTTTCAAACGTATAAACGGTGTGCTGATCCATGATACAGCGCAACGGGCCGTAGGTGGATATTGTTCGTCTTACGAATTACATTCATTGACGAGCAATTTTTCAGGAGCGTATCCTGATGTCGCCGCTCAGGGCCAAGGATTCCAGGTCATCCTAGGTAACGGCTCTGCGTGCTCTGATCCTGTTGTAACTTTCGTGACAACGCGCCTTACAGGCGGTCGTACGATTTCGGTCGGTGGCACCAGCGCCAGTTCGCCGGTGAGAGACTAATTCACGTCATTGCAAGCTATGTTACGGAGACCGCGAGGAATAGACATTCGCAGGCGTCGTTTCCCTCCTCAACGACTTCCAGCTTGCAAACGGGAAGAGTCCTCTGGGATTCCTTAATCCATTGCTGTACGGTCAAGGGACCGCCGGTCTGAACGACATAGTGTCAGGGAATAATCCTGGGTATGTGCTTTCCTGGTGTGAAGGTCAAGGCTGATCTCATTGGCCTCACAGATGTGGCACTACTGGGTAGGAGACCTGAATATGGTGTATTCCCAATACTCATGATTTCTGAGCAGTTTCAGCGCTGGTGTTGGCTGGGACCCGGTGAGCTTGACGCGATACGTGACGGGTTCTCGAGCTGACTTCTGCCAGGTAACCGGCCTAGGGACTCCCGACTTCGGGAAGCTCCAAAACCTACTTCCTTGAGAGAAAGCAGATCTCGCGCCTCAATGGGCCGTGACGTTCAGGCAGTAATCGCTGCGGTGTTTTGTGATGCCAGCTGTATATTAGCGTGTTTACAATCTCAGGAAGAGGAGAATTTGTACTCACTGTTCAGAATGTCATAGTGTCTAGGACGGGGCCCGACTAAACGAGGGAGATATAGCTGTTGCCACAGTAGATGCATCGTCGTGTTGCTTCAAGAAGCTCTTGCACGACCCAGGTACGCGCCGGTATCGGTAGATGAGAGTTACCGTGCGTAGCAGGCAAAAACGCTTTGCGTCCGCATCCGCAACACGTGCGCACTGCAGGTGTGGACAAGATGAAATACGTAATTGTGCAGCGTGCTGCGCGCCTGGATCAACGGTGGCCTACATAGGAAGTAATGAACGCGGACGCACGCCAAAAATGACCGTTTGGGCAGAGTGCATATATTGGGTCTTCAAGCTTAACTTCCGCATGGCATGCAGGGCAGCGTTCATTCACGTCAACGGCCGAAGAGGTAGTATCTCCTGCGACATCCGAGAGTGAGTCTGCTAAGTTCTTAGCATCGAGAAGCAACGCCGGCGATGACCCAGGAAGTGAAGATTGAAGAATCACGCGCATCACAAACGGCCTACTGCCAGCTGAGATTTCCTAATCAGATCTATCGCATTCCTTTGGCACATATGACTTGCCATACCGTCAAGAAGTGGGATCGACGCTTGTAGATGACGGACCAGTATATGCAATATGTTGTGGGAGATGCATGTTAATAGGGATTGAGCTACGTTCCCGACGTGTGCCTGTTGCTCTGGCACTGTGGCTAACAGTTTCTGGTTTTGATTACCGTCACTTGTCGGATGAGGTTGATCGACCATGTCACGCACCCAGCAAAAATCAGCAACGGAGAAACCCAAACGCCAATGCAGCATGGTATCGCTCCCGAAGAAGTGCGAAGTAAGGCTTATCCTGAACCAGTCTCGAAGATCTTCAGTTATGGGTGCAGCCAAGTGTATCTCCGAGGTTCCCTCGAGCTGGCAATCCCGCAGTATGTCCCGAATAGTTGACGACATTCGCATGAGCCGCTCCATTTCGCGGAGCTGGAACAATATGGGCCGTAACAAGTGAATCGGTGCGTATCCCCACACTAAGGGGGATCTCATGGTAAATAGGGACTGATAAGCAAGAAAGATAACACTCACCGGCCTTCGAACGGACGAGAACATCACGTATAGCTTTAGCAACAAGAAGATCGTCTTCATGTACATCGGTGCCGCGCCACATTTTAGCGACGACGAACACGCTCTGATGCTTCGCGTCATGTTTGTAACTGAAGTCAGTGGGTCGTGCTAATCTACGTTGAACATGAAACCAGCATTTCAACATAGGCGACGATGTCACGCACTCCTGCAACCAGACTACTGACGACCAATCGTCATAAGATATCATGCCGGCCATGCGGTTTACATCGGTGAATCGAGGCTTGCGAGCGCTATCTTCGAGATCGGCGTCGTAGTGGATCGCTTCAGTATCGAGAAAAACTCCGCGTGAGATACTTGATAACCTTTGCGTCGATGGCGCCGTATCGATGCTCGAAGAAGACAAGAAGGGCTCCGTGGAGATATTGCGGATGACATGGAAAGAGCCGTCGAAGAGTGAAACGATAGCAGAATCATGGATCGGATCGTAGATAATCCCGGATGCCCATGATAAAGCTGACGACCCTACAGATAGCTTCTGCGTCGAAAGTCTGAAAACTTGGGGAACCAAATCCGATCGGGCAGTAAAGGGCCAAATAATGACAACGCCAGCTTTGCAAATGACAAGGAACTAGAACGACATGAGCATATTGACGCCTTCCACTCGAAATCATCTGACCTGTCCGCTATCGTTTTCAATCCATGCCATGGCAGTGATAACGCGATTATCGGCTTTCACGAGTGGGACATCGGGATTGTGGTGTTTCACATCGACCGTAAGTTCGGCTCCGGCAAGAGACTGCACAACTTCGATCACAACGACGAAGCCGCCGGAAGCAGCACATGCCAGGAAAGCACGGCCTATGCAAAGCCACATAACTTGCGAGCCGATAGAGATGAACCAACAAACTCACAAACATTTGGGGCGCCGTTTTGCCATGAAGTCCAGGCGGCGTGAGTTACGGGTTTGTCGGAGATCTGCAAAGATGCTGCATGAAACACGGGACTTTTTGCTCGAGACCCCAGTTCAGAACTGTAAAATTTTCAGGGCTTGGGGCATGAACAGAAGAGGTAACACGCATGCCGTAACAGTATCACAGCGCCTGCGCGGTTCCCAGCAGCCAACAGTGATCCATCCAAAGGCGGAGCCGGAGAGAGGCCAAAATCAGTTTGTTTGGACCACGAAATACCTAAGAGTTGTCGTTGGCTATTGCTAACGATGACCAATGAACAATGGGCTTACAGGTGATCTGCGCGCCCAGAGTCTTCTCAGAAGGTGGACTCTGATACGAGACGTAGTGATCTCTCAGAAAGGCCGTGATATCTGCGGACTTCTGATAGCTGCATCCCATCTTGCGTAACGAAATCAAAGCACGAACCTTGGTCCATTCTCCCCTGAGATGGTTCTTCGTAGAAGCCCACAACGAAAGCTCGAAGTTAGAATTCAATATCGCAAGCGCGCATCTGCAGAGGTACTCCCATCAGTTCCTGTTAGAGACGAATAGTAAAGCGCGAACCCGGCGCCCGCAGTCAGATTGCTTGGAGAGCATGTTACAGCTCGCATTGATATGTCCAGTGATCCGGCCGATAGGACTTCCCAATCTGCGAGGTCGGTCGTGTTGGACCGTCAAGTCCCTGGAGATCCAAATGAACCGACCTTGACATTCGGCTGGCCATTGATACGTTATACCCTTCCCAAGTTCGATCATCGTCATGTACCACGCGAGGTTTGTGGCGTTGGTCATCCATATGTTGTCCTTGGCAACCGGTGTCCGAACCGCCAGCGCAGTATCCAGACTAAGACCGTCCTCGGGTGTCTAACACGTGCGAAGTCAGGGGCATTACGGATGTAGAATGGATTCCGCTCACTAATATGTAAACTGCGGATTTCGTACACAGGATAACCTGCCCGTCTGGGGACCATTGCAAACACGCCGAAGACGGAAAGCTCGCATGCGTAGGAACGTTGAGCGCGGTGTAAACAGTGTGCGAACTTCGCGTAGCCGAATTTTCAGTAGCCATCGTATCTGGGCGTGTCGCCTACGGCAGCAAGTTGTTCTAGCTGATCGGTACGAGTATGTAGGCCCGCTGAGCGTTCTAATGTTTGGTGAGTTCAGGGAGGAACAGTGCGCGCCGTGTGCGACGAGTACTCTGCATGCACCCGGACGGATATCGCGAGCTATTGCGAAGAGCGCGTATCCCACGTGATTATCTCAAGCCACTGCTTGCAGTTGATCCGCTTCCGCTTCCACGACATTCGGTATTCCAGTGATCGCTAACAACACAGACAACACAAAGGAACATCACATCCTCGGCCACGCTGCTTCACCATGACTGTAAACGATGCAGCAACCTTTCACCAGTGAATGCCAGCTTGAACCTTTCTCCAGGACCTCGCGTTCTGCTATTTGCACATGTCAAGTCGAGAGGTCCACGCGCTGGATACCATCGAAACTGCGGACTACATCGAGGGCGATCTCCCAGACGAAGGTATCTTTGGAACACCGTAGACGAGTTGCGGAGTGAGACCATCGTTTACAGAGGTTGATGTTCCCTCCCATCTCATACCACCAAACCCCGATGATTCGGACGGTATGTGCATCGATACTTTGGCGTTCATGACTACCCCATGAGACGTGAATGGATAACCAGTGTTACCCGCTCACGTTCATCCGTCATACCCATACGGTGACCCGAAGAATATCAAACATCCGGCATCAAAGCCCCGAATACCTCACGACAGAGGCTCGCGGGCCTTGTTCGAGGACATGGGCTATGCTTCCTCGGGCGTCGCCGGATCTCTGCGCTGGAATGATCTCGCTTTGGATACCCTCCTGCCGGTCGACCGCGAGCGGGAGGAGATTGAGAAGGCTACGCAGGCACGAAAAATGGCCAGCGGAGCGACATCCAATAATCCTCACCCAGATGCGGTGCCGTCTCAGCAGCCCCGAGCACAGCCTGCCGCAGACACCACCCGAGAAACCATAGAGGAAGATGACGAAGATCAGGAAGAGGAAGATGACCACGACGTCGAGGGAAACAACGAAGGAGATTCATGATTTTACACATATGTTCATATGGTGACGCGTATATCACGGCCGCGAGGAAGTTGCGGCCACGAGGGATTCCCCGATATCGTCTTGTAGCAAATCCCTCGCAGAACCCACCTGTTCCAATGCCCATTCATAGGCTTCCAGCAGTATAGTGTCCGTCAACGGAATGAAATGAGCGACTAGGATATGGATTATATTAGTAACTCGCGAGATGGCCAGCCGAGTTGCTTGGTCGATATGCTGAAGAACGGGATAGTTAGCGGTGCATGCATAGAGTCGCTGACTGCTCTCACATCATTTTGATTGGAATACACAGCTTGCGCGTCAAAACCTTCTTCGCCCTCCTGGTCGTTGGCCTTGATGTGTTTGCTTACCCAGATGTATCCGTTCAGGCCCAGAATCAGATCAACCCCGCAGGGGAGGGTCAGAAACTGCGATTTTAGCCGCCGCACGAGAATGGGGGGTATCGAAACCAGCTGTCCGTTCCGTAACTGCATTGCCTGACATCAGCGGCGAACTGGATGACATCAACGCTCACTGCTCACCTTGCCGTATCTCAGCGACCGAGTGTGGAGTGACATCGCTCCGTCTGAGAAAAAAGCTTGCACTTCGGCAACCAACAGATCACCCTCCTCGAAGAAGCTGCGCATTTGCAACTCGTCGCTCTCTACTTTACGTCGCTGTGAAGAATGCATTGAGTTGGGACGGGGCCTCGACGGGGTCTAGAAAAAGCTTACTTGAATGCCGCCGGGGAGGTTGACCGACGATAGCATGAGTACTGCGTCTTGACGCGAGTTGGCATCTACCTTCCATCGCTTGGGCTGTACATCCGTAATTCTACCGATGACCAAGTCCCCTACTTCAGGATTATATCTGATCCGCATCCGTGTCAATTCGGCGCACACCGCACATATATTCGGCGTTCGCTCACCTTGAGCGAAGCGCGCGGACGGTGATGAGTCGGTTCACCCGCTCGACCGGTCCAGCGACGGAAGCAATCACCTCGTCTTGTGCGACGTAAGTGCCATGACCACTGTCATCATACAGACCATAAGCTTGCGGACCGTGGTTGGCACATCAGAACGTCTTACCGCATGAATGCCTGGGTGGATGTGAGAGAATCTCCGGGATACGTGAGTTTGAATGCATCGAGGAGCTCCTCGTCATCCAGGTCCATATACTCATCCTCGATCTCGGACTGGTGCGCGCGGTCAGAGGGGCTCAGACCCGGCTGTGCGGGGAACGAGGTGAAGGCGATCATTGTGTGGAAAGTAATTTCGATGTGCGGTGAGGTTAGGGTCTGGATGCGGTCGGTCACGTCACGCTTCCCACGGCGAACGAGGACAAATATCGATTCGAGGTTGGGATCGACCGCGTTCGTCTTCTGCCCGACTCGTCCACCGACTTCTCGGCCTGAGCTTCTCACGAATGTGTCTTTCTGCCCGCCGCTTCCCTCGCGTGGACCGAAGCGGCAAGCTCACCAACGCCTTTCTATCCAAGTTTCTATCGCACCTTCTGGCGAAAGTCGGGAACGGCCGCTTTACGGCGACGCGCACGGCGACCAAGATAGTCGAGGCGTACTGCCGATCGGCCCTTGTAGCCATGCCCATTTGCATACCATACACTCACTTCCCCACGGCTCCTCGCCCATCAGGCAGATGGTCTCAGGTTGCTTCACCCGTCGTCATCTTCCCTGTTGATCTGGTTCAGCTATGTTCGGGTATCAAACGTCCGGAGGCAGGCCCTCGTTCGGGCACGGTCTAGACGCCTGCAACGGGCGATCCTCCTGCGTCTGGAACCCGTTCGGACCCGGATTGTGGGACGATTAAGGCGGCGGAGCCAACATTATACGGATGGGTACGGTACAAGGTATACCTAATTCAAATGTCAAGGGTACGCAATGCTGGCGTCAGGCAGGAAACCCGAACTATAACGAGCTTTGGCGGAAGACCGGTAGGCATCTATGGCAGGCGCGTGTCTATGTGCGTGGAGCTGTGGGCCGGAGTCAGTTGCGCGCTAGGTCAAAGCGGTTTGAAGCCCACCTTTTAGATCATTTGTATGCGAGGAAGTAGGACGAGAGCGCAGGCAAGTCGTTCGAACCGGCATCTGTGTAACCTTGTCTACGGGATCCGTTGAATTTCAGAACGAGGACTGGCCCGCTCCACGGCTTGGGTGCAGCGCCCGAAGTAATGCGATGTATGGCGCGATTGACCGGCGCGCCCTTCGCTAAGGATATCGGGCAATACCAGAGATGCAGCGGAAAGCGTAACGGCTCGTTGTTCAATCCCTGGGTGAGCACTACGCTCTGGGGCTGACCTCGCGGGAAAAACTCTCGCACGAGGGGTACTGGGCAGGCACCGGAGGATTGAGGTTGGCAATTGACGACGATTATTCGCGGTCGTTCTTGGAGCCAATCAGCATCGGGCAGCTGATAGAGAAGTCCGATAACTCACCTTCTTCGGGCAGAAAAAGAACAGCCGAAACCGAGAAGAGTTGCTGCGGCTGCACCTGGATTGGGACGGGAGCGGCGTTGCGCTGCTGCTCCGGAACCGCACTAGTAGGAACGCATTCCTTTTTGTGACGGGGCCAGTCCTGCGAACAAAGCCGGTAGGTTAATAGTCTAAATGGATAAAGTCCCGGGGTATTCGCCTCACATTTTGGAGATGTTCGGGACTGCAGTACCACACCCGTTGGCAGCGGCTGCACCACATCGAGGTCGCTCGGCAGCACACTGTGCATGGATAGTTGATGAGAGGTGCGGCACTCATGAGGAAGGTATGGTAGGGGATCGAGGCGGGGATTAGGACTTGTTGGGTTCCCTCCTCTGGTGGAGACTCGCTCTTTATACACGAGAGGAGGGTGGGTTCCGGCTCTTTTCCGTTTTTCTGAGGCGCCTGCGTTCTTGGAAGTCGATGAGAAAGGGTCCGTATGAGAAGGCGAGTAAATATTAATGGTAGGCGGGATCAACCGACGGCCAACAGGAGAAGAAAGAGACGTAAATCACCATCGTGAATCCCGCGAGTTCCACGTTGTGAACTGAGCTCCAGGCACATGATGAAGAAAGACTGCAGACGTCAGATCGTCTCTACCGAAGGGGCGGTGCGCGAGATTGCAAACGCATCAGTGCAAAAATCTGTGTTGTCAATCGCGGCCGGACATGGCGTCTGCATTTCCACACGCAAATGCCACGCGACCGCGATGTTCGAGCACGCCGGAAATCCATGTGGATATTTGGTCCCGCAGTGACTGGGCACAGGAAATATTCCACAGCCCGGCGATTTCCCGAGGGACTGGAAATCAGCCGAAGTGGACCCCGTCGCTTCCGCGCTGCGTAACGAACGCTGTATATTCGAACATGCTCCATGCCCACGGCCACGGCCCGAATGCGGCCTGAGTATTATACGGTCCGAGTTGCGCGTGCCCGAGTAGCGCACGACGAAGGAGCCGAGGTCTGATTCCCGAGAACCTCAAAGGCTAATGTGGACGAGACGGAAGCATATTCTGTTCCAAGCCCTCGACGTCACCGTCCAATGACGTCCGAGTGCGATTGTGTTGCTAACGCAGGCGCCACGAGCTCGTATCATTTCGAGCTCAGCAGCTCCGCCGAAACTCCGCTCAGCCCGCTCGCCGGGGGTACAGCCACTCAGCACCTGCTCGACCTGCGTCCTTGTTATTCCAGCGCCTTGCACTACTTCTGAGGAGCAATGTCCGACAACGAAATGAACATTGACGAAGGTGCGTACTTACCTCCTATATATCATGCCTCTCTCAACGGATCTCCATAGTTGAGACCGGCGGAGGCGCGGTCAGGCGCAAGGGCAGAGGCTTCAAGACCACCTCAGGCGAGCCGCAGCTCTTCTTTCCCAGCTGTCATTCTAACAGGAACAGGCGGGGACGAGGTCGTCAGCAGCAAAGACGTAACATACGATCGTGTGGAATCGAAGGAGGGCACCGATACCAGGGCCGCTCGATGTGCGTCGTTCCCGTACATGCTCTAACCTCGATTGCCATACTGAAAAATAGAGCGCTCTACGTGCAGCCGTGGAAGGGTGGATTGTTCTCGTGACGGGCGTTCACGAAGAGGCGACGGAGGAGGACGTCATGGACCGCTTCTCGGAGTATGGGGAGATCAAAAACTTGCATCTCAACCTGGATCGTCGGACGGGTTACGTGAAGGTCGGTTGGTCTGCTTCTCCATTAGATGTTCTCCTCAAATCTTGCATCAGGGATACGCTCTCGTGGAGTATGAAACTATGGCCGAAGCTCAGGCCGCTATTGACGGCGCCTCGGGCTCTCAGCTCTTGGAGCAGACTTTGCAGTGTGATTACGCGTTCGTGCGTCCACCACCGACAGGACCGAAGAAAGGCAGGGCCCGCGGAAGGAGCGCGAGTCCGTCACGTCGTAGGAAAGATTAGGCTGACTGCTATGTATCCCTTGCCTTGATGTTGCTTTACGTCGTACATCTGCATCTGAATCGCATATATTCGCGCGGGCGCTTCGCTGGAGGCCGCGCTGCACGTGTTCTGTCAACGCAGTCAACACCGAATGTGAAGCCTTCGTCTTTGGCGTCACTTGACCGCGCGACCTCCAGCGCGTTCCGTGGCTTTGCTCTCACCTCAGTCCCTACTACTCTTTCTATCTTCTTTGCTGCTTCATAAATGCCACGCAGAACTTCCAACGCTGCCTCTGATTCTGGCTCTGAGAAAGAACAAGGTAAACATGCAAGACCAGTGCCGGGTTGTGTCGGTAACCCTCCGCGCTCTCCACAGAATCGAAGGAGACCAATGAGGGGGAGTTTGAGATCGAGGCGATCGTTAAGCATAGCAACAGTGCCCTTGGCAAGGTCAAGGTCTGCGCATTTTAAAGTTGATGCCTACTGACCGCAACTTCCAGGGTATCAGAGCGTACTACGTCAAATGGAAGGGCTACGACGACGAAGAAAACAGTTGGGTCACAGAGCAAGACGCTGCGTAGGTGTTACGTGACTCGGTGGAACGTTGACAGTAACAGGGGATGCACAGGGGTGCTCAGGAACTCATCGACGCGTACTGGGCCGAATACAATGCCAAAAAGAACAATCTCAGCTCTTCGACGTCGAAGGCTGCACGTCGAGCGAGTACCGTAAAGAAGACCCCGGATCGAGGTGAACCGGCTTCCACGGGCACCAAGCGAGGTAGAAAACCGCGCACCTCCAAGGCTACGGAAGACGTCGACATGGATGCAGACGCAGATGATAGGGTGCCTGCAAAGAAAAGGAAATCGGCTGGAAAACCTGAAGTTCTTGACGACGGTGACGCAGAGAACACGGAGGTGCATGATATGGCAGAATACGCAGGGCAGAGGTCATGGGAAGGGCTGGTACACACGATCGATACTGTCGAGAGAGACGACGACGAAAACCTTACTGTCTACTTCAGACTGTGCGTCCTATGCTTTGCCCGAAGTTCGTATGGGTGGTTGTCGCTGAATTTTGTCGTTCTGCTCTTGAAGGACGAACGGCAGTCACCGAAAGGAGCGCTCAAGCGTCTGTGCGGAGAAGTTCCCGAAGAAGGTATGTCACGCCAGACTCCAGAGAGTACTGACTGACGGCGATCCTGACTTCCAGCTCATCAAATTCTATGAGTCCAATTTGCGATGGAAGTCGGCTGATGCAGATGGCTCCTCTTGAAACATCCGATATTCAATGCGCCTCCATGTGGCTCATTCGAGCATCAAACCATCCACACCCGTAGCGCATTTGCTCATTGTTACATCCTGCTGGTTTGCTAGTGCTTGTATTCTGCTGAGATCCTGCCTCGATGGCAATGACATGACCTGCATGTACGAGCCTCAGGCCCGCGGCGCTCGGGGCGATGCCTTTCCCCGGTGTTTCCACGTACCTGATGGGCATTTCTCCTCAGTCAAATATCACTGCGATCATCGCGGTGACCCGACATTCGCTTCCGCTCTACGTAGACAAAAGGCTGATACGCAGCAATAACCGTAGGATAACGACCGAAATACAAGCGAAAACCGGTTCTCGTGCTTCGGGCATAATCAAAGCCTCAAAGATATTAGGGCGATAACCTCATCATCAGCGTCGACATCGGGGTTCTGGAGTGAAGACGTAACGTAACGACAAGGGAGACGCACAAACTTCGAATGATATCATGACATACATCAGCCGCGAATAAACACATGTATAGCTGGGGTCATCTTGTGTGGACAGGACTGTCGGAGCTGGCGTGCACGTCCGAATATGTTCGAGCAGACGAATAAATGGAGCTCTTTTCCCAAGGCGGGCGCATCACTTCGGCGCCGGAAACCGAGGGTCAGAAGTTTCAAGACCAAGCGGACGCGAAAGTACCAAGAAGGTACTCGCCTACATCGGGTCACAACTCCCCATGGAAAGGCTCCGATGCCGCTCCCTCCTCTTCGGCCTGTGCTACTATTGCCCGGACGGCATCATCACCACCTTCCGCCTCCTTGCGCGGTAATGCGTCCGTAACGCTTTCTGATTCGACCTTACCGAGAGCATCCAACACCTCCTGTTTGCCTCGGCCAATAACGATAGGTGGTGAGCCATCTTTGACAGCTTCCGCAGCGCGGCCTGCGTCAGGAACGGGAAGGATTGAAACTTCGGGCTCTGAGGGTATGTCGCTGTCCTCGTGAGCGTCCTCAGTTTGGCCAGAGCGGAAAGTGCGGTCTCCCGTGCGTTTTATCCGCCGAAGGCGCGTTTCGAAGCCCTTTACGATATCGTCTACATCCGACTCCAGCTCGTGTAGGCTGGCAAGTACCGGGTTCGCCGGGGGAGATGGGTGAGTGCCGTTCTGTATAGAGTAGGCAAGAGCGGTAAAGTTTTCGCTGCCTGTGTGGAATTAAGTATCTGCATGGCGGAATGATCTCAGTCGGGCACATACGTCTCACAAGATCATGATAGCGCTGCCAATCGGTGTAGGTCACGTCATCGAGCCAGACATAGTCCAGACCGATGTCAGCCTGCGCGTTCCCGGCCATGCTCTTAACCTCTTCAGTAACGCGCCGGACCTAAAGTCCGATGTTAGATAACGAGCGTATACCATTAACAAGGATCGTCACCTCATGGAGTTCCTTCTGTTCGACTCCTCCGTACCACGTGTTAACCACATCCTCGGTCTCCCGAAGCTTTTGCATGAACTTAGCCTCGACCTTCTCCACGACACGGTCCCACAGTGCGGACTTCTCCTCGTCTTTCCTCTTTTCTTTCTTTAGGTTCTTCAGATACCCTTCCGCACCCCTTAACATTTTCTCAGCCTCCGACACGAGCTCCTCGATGCGAGCATGAATATCTGGATGCGTCTTCAGCTCCGCCGCCGCGGCCTTGCGCACAGCGACGAGCGCCTTGCGCAGCTCCTTCTTCGATGATTTAACGAGGGCCTCTAAATCCTTCTCCCATTGCGTATGCCGTTTATCGATGTTCGCGCGCTTCTCAGCCGTTTGACGTTTTTTCTCCGCCTTTCGCTCTTCTTCCAGGCGTATTCTCTCGGCCTTTTCCTCCTCTGTCTCCTCGTGGGCCGTCGGCGCTGGACTGTTTCCTTCCAAATCGTCCACTTCGGCCTCGAGCGAGGATAGGTCGTCCGATATACCCAAATCGGCAAGGAAGGAGTCAGGATCTAGTTCAAGATCGTCGCCGGTGCTGTCTGCCGTCACGGCGATCGCGACCGAAGAACTGGACGACGTCGCTTCGCTCACGAGCGATAACGCAGACGAGGCCACCGATGAGGCGGCGTCGTCAACAGAATCCGTCGCGTCCACAACCGCAGATGACACTGCACTGACATCTTGGGAAGCCGATTCAATACCTTGGCTTCCCAATGATGCTGCGGCAGACGAAGCGCTCGAGAACTTCTCAGCTCCGGTATAAGCCACATGTGCAGCCGCTGAAGCGCCACTTTCGGCTGCAGAGGCGACCGTGGAGCTGAGCTCCTGGTAGTAAGAGGAGGCGGAAGTGCTGGAGCGTGCAGCGACAGAGCTCAAGCTTGAACCTGCGCTCGAAGCCACTGAGGATGCAGCGCTTGGGGCAGATACGATCGAAGAAGCTGCCTCTGCCACAACAGACACCGCCGAGGCACCGGTCGGTGATACCACGGAAGACACTTCGGATAGAGTTGTGGAGAGGAGGGAAGATACCGAGGAGCTTGCAGGATCCGCGGATGGGGACAAAGATACACCCTCTAAGATAGAAGACGCCGAACGGGACGCCACCGTGGCGGCGGAAGAGACTACAGAGGCCGCGGGAGATAATGTCTCCTTAACCTGAGCAGTCTCGGCAGCATCTGTCGAGGTCCACGGGGCTGTGGACGTAACGGCGTCCTCCAGGAACTGGGACGTCGTAGCCAAAGTGCCCCCTTTCGCGTTCGCGTTGCTCGATTCCTTGATCTGGGCCCAAATACGGGCAATATGTGGGTCAACATATTGCTTACGTTGCTCGGCAGCTAGCGCTAGGGCGTGATACACGAGCGCGATGAAGCGTTCCCAGACCACGATAGCGTATGGCTTTGCCTTGACGTATCCTTCATGGGTCTTTGCCGCGGTGAGGGCGATATAAGGTTGCGCTTGGTGTTGCCAACGATTCAGGTTATAGGCAGCTAGCCGGACGTACGGTTCCACGGTCCGAGCGTATTCGTGCTGCACGCGTTGATAGCACGGTTCGATCCTCTCTTCGGCGCGTTTGAGCTGGGGTGTAACGTGCTTGCTCCAGTATGGAACTACGCGCTGATCCCACTGCGGGGCGAGCCGGTGGCTCCACTCGTACTGTGTGCGAACGGCGACGGGCTTTACAAATGCCGCTACCTGCTCCACGTAGGGTCTGGCTTGTTCTATGCGCGGCGCGATGGCGGGATGGGCGAGAGCCGCCTGGACTCTGGGGAAGACGTAGGGTTCGAGAATGAGGCGGCGGTATTCATAGAGGGCCTTGCATATTGGACGCTCCAGGTCCGAGTCGTGTGGACAAACGGACAGACTGTAGACCGTAAACCAGATGAAGACGATCCGCGCCACAAAGTCCAAGAAGGTATTACGGGAGGACTTTCGTTTCTAACTGCGGGGTCAGTCAACGTAACGCCAGCGAATCCACCGCACCAACCTTGCCGCCCTTCTTCTGCTTCCCTTTCAGCTTCGCCTTTCCGCTCTTCTTCGTTGGCTCGTCCTAGTCGCAGAGTCAGCATGGCTCAGGCGATCAATGGATAATGTATCGAGCCAGCTCGTCTGCGGTGTGAACGCGTCGTCACGCGAAACACTCGAAGCAAGGTTGCAAGTGGACCGAGGCTCACCAAGCTATCGATTTCAGGGGGCATGCCTGTATCTGTATCCGACGCGCCCAGCGCGGTAGAGGGTGCCACAGGGGCTGTCTTGACTTTGTATTTGGGTTGCGATGATGAATTAGAGCGAGCTATCGATGCAGGAGGTGCCGGTGCTCGACGGGTAGTAACCATACGGGTGTTCTGTAGCGTATGCGCTGCTACACGAGGCGGACAAAGGAGCGGGGAGAGCAAGGAGATAAGCAGAGACAACTGAAGCAAGCCTAGTGCGTGTCACTAGTGTCTGCAAGGCCAACGGCTGCGTCATGATGGAGGCGTCGCTCTGCAGTCACGTGAGCTCATTCTCCGCGACCTCCGAGTCCGACTCGAGGTCAACCACCACAGCGACGCCCGCGCGCGCATACTGTATCTCGTTGCGGACCGGTTCCCTCGTCGCTGCCCTTCCACCTCGACAACAAAACCCATGGCTGCAGCCGGCGCCCTCAAGCCTGCCAATCGCGCGTACAGCCGCAGGCATGTGCGGTCCTCCAACACCCTCTCGGTTACTATGGGCAGTCTGGACGCGACTGGATCTGACTCTTTGTTCTCGGGCGACTCGAGCAGCCTTCGCAAACGGTCTCGCCAGAATCTCCGCCAGGAAATCGAACAGGAGGGGGACGCCGCCAGAGACTTCGCCCGATCAAAGAGGAAGCGACCAGAACCTCTCTCCTTCAAATCCTCTCTGGCAACCGTTTCTCTGCCCGCGCTAGGATCTCCTTTCGGTGATGAACTGCAATTCTCTTTTCAGACGCCGAACCGCAAAAACTTGGACTCACCTTTGAAGCCCGCGGCCAGCTCCCGCAATCTCAAGGAAAATGTCGGGAGTATTCCACGTGGTCTGGATTCTCCCTTCCATACACGGCCGAACTCTCCTGCGGACTTACCCCTCGGTCCACTCGTACCGGCCAAGTCTCACATCAACAGGAAAAATGACAACCGCTCGAGAACTCGCACGCGGGCTGTACATTCAAAATCCCGCACGCTCTCCACCGACCGTAGGAAGAGCGTGCTGGAACCGCCTGTGGAAAGGCCCATCCCTAGGAACGCGACGCATATACGCGGTCGCCTGTGCTCTCTACCTGATATCGCACCTCAGGCTCCTGTCGACTGGCTAGTCAAGGGGCCCACCCCAGGCGTAGGCGAGATACCACGCAGCCTGTCTCACACACCTTCGTTCCAAGGCGTTTCGCAGAACAGTCCTTTCCGCCGGCTCTCTTCCCCGGCAGTTTGTCTTACCTCTCCCAGGGGCGAAATCGAATCTCTTATCTCAGGCAACATTACTGGCAACCTTCTCGCTGGATTTCTTGACGAAGATGTGGTAATGGAAGACGAGCTGCGGTCCCCAGGCGCCGGCGGTCATGTCTCCGTTGACCGGAACCGTACGCCTCCGGCATATCTCGTCCCGCCTTCAGTACTGTTCCCGGCCGAAGAACTCATGCGTTCCCTCAGCGGATTAGGTCTCAATGCCGGTACGTACACGGTTTACTGGATTTTGGAGATGGCTGGGAAGACGTCTCCGCAGACATAATGGAGTCGAGCGACTCGGATTCCCTGTTCAGCGAAGCTTCCGGCTTCGTCTCGGGTGCTGGAGATAGTCCTGGGAGCGAGGACGCAGATGGGACGTCACCGGTTCTGAACCTGCCGAAGGGGTACTACCGTGCTAGGAGCGGGACTATCAGGGTCTCTCACCCGGGGCAGGCCAGCGACACCTCGACCGCCAGCGATATGTCTCTGGAAGAACTCGTCACTCCCGGTAAGGGTGCCAGGTCCGTAGCGTACAAGGACTTTCCAGTGGTTTCTCCCGTGGGCGAACCTGCAGAAGACGCTCACGTTCCTTACCTGGAGCTTTCAGTTGCAACGCCTGCCGAGCCCGAGTCTCCGATCACCGCTTTGAGTTCTGGCTTCAGGATGGCCCTTTCCGTTGACCCACAGGACCAGCAGAACCGCGACGACCGCGAGAAGCTTTGGCGGCAAGGTCTAGCGGTGCGCATGCGTGTCGAAGACGAGGCACTGGGCGAGCAACGATCCAACGAGAGTGACGATGAATTGCTTTTGACAAGACGAGTCCCACGGTTTCCCTGGATCGTCGACGAGCAGCTTTGGACTGAATAAACGAAGAGAGGTGCCGTAAGGTGAGTTCGCTCTCTCGCTCCCCCCTCTCTATTCACTGGTTTTGGGTAGCCGTTGTCACCGTCTAATCGTTGATTCTATCACGCTCGGTCTCTGTCATAGCCATATCCATCGGGACACTCTCCCCGTCGCATCCCGCATAATCCAGTTTGTAGCCGTAGCCATGTTTTTCATTCTTGTCCTCAGCAGCCCTCTCATTCATTCACTTGTTCCATTCCGTTATTGGGTCACATAGCGAAACCTGTGAAGTAGCAAAGCTTGTAAGTTGTAGGGTTATGATTTCATCTCGGACGTCCGACGCTCCACGCGAAGCACTCGCGGTTATCAAAACGCCGGGCGCAGTGTTGCGTGGGCGAGTACACATTCTGATTCGGGGTCTGTGTAGATGAAATTTTTCCTAGGTATGTCGAGCAACATTCAATCCGCGCCTCCTCTATGCTTCCTCCCCAGAAGGTGCTCATCTGACGAGGCCGACTAGTGCTCCCGAATACTTTGATACGGCATCATTTGGCAATCCGGACGTTCGTGTCCACCCCTTGGTATTCGTTGAAACACAGGATCCCCACTTCATCCAGATGTAATCAGCAAATGACATACACATTACGCAAACCATACAAAGTCAGGAAAGGCCGAGATTCAACCAACGAATATTTCCGCCAGCCTCCGTGATTGCAATACAACAGGCGTCTATATATCACGCCCGGAACGGCCGGTCCAAAGCCGGTACCCCATACCAATGCGGAGTTTTGAACCCGGGGTGAGCATCAGTCTCCGATGATGCTGATTCCTTCCTGTTGCAAGATTTTCGCCCAAGAGTTCCACCACTCGTCTGAACCAGTTCGTTTCTTGATATCTTCAAAACCTTTGGATGCCTCCTCGGTCGTACGCAGAAGGGGTGTCGACCCCAGACAGAAATTCTTCATGGATAAAAACCGCGAACCGCATAGGGCTGCGAGGAAGTTATCGAAGCCGGCGAGGGTGTCGTATGAGCGCACGCGAAATGTGCGCTGGGACCGGAAGGATTCGAATTCCATGATGACAGGGCCTTCACAAGTCATGACATTGGTCAATGCTGTTGAACTCGCGCGACAATAAATGGAAGTAAGGTGAAGGAACGGCACGCCCTCCGGCCGAAATGGCTTGCATCCAGCCATTTGGTTTTTCTCTATCGTGAACTCCCGGAGGTACGGGAAATTGCTAATAAAGTCCTCGAAGAACGTGTCCAGCCTCATCCCGGTGTTAACTGAGGCCGTGATGGACGTGATTCGGGGCGATATGGAAGCAAAGAAGGTTTCCAAGCTCGCAAGCTGCACCCGTTCGACCTCCGCATCGAGGTGGCACAGGGACGGCATATCAGCGTGCGTGAAGATTCTGAAGTGATCATTGGTCACTTCGTTGAGGTCCCACAGCTCGACCGTTCCGAAAGCTAAGCTCTTGAGCCTTGGAAGGGACAAAACGTTTGCTGCTTCCCCCGTGGATAAGGTATCTACAGATTCCGTGATGGACAATGCATTCAGGTTCCGACAATGTTGGAGAACAGCTACCGTGTCCCGTACGTGCGGACGAGCATTGAGGTAAAGACGCCTCAGCTCAAGGCTTGGGACGGAGCAGATCGCTCCGAGGATGGTCGTCAAGGAAGCGGGTAGCACACTATGATAGAACAGCACGAGGGTGCGCAACCGGGCGCAGTATTGAATGAACTTGGCAATATCATGGCAAGCGTAATCGATGATGTCGCCTTCGAAGGACCGCCCGGGACCGCGGACATAGATTTCCCGTACCCATTCCCGGCGGTCAACGTTGCGTTCAAGAGCGTCGAGCAGCCTCAGACCACGCTGGGTGAGGCGCAGCTCGTGCGATCCGTCAGGCTGGCGGATCATGTCGCGAGTGAGTACGACGGTCTCGTACAAGGCCTGGAGACCCAGGTCATGAAAGCGCCGTGATACTTGAATTATGGAAAGCTTGGTGGTGTCCGGTTTTCCGCGAAGAGACGGATACCCGCGCGGGTCTTTGCCGACTTGACTCGACGACGTGAGGCGAAAGACTTTGACCCATAGCTCGGGGGGAAGGTCAAACATGATCCTATTCGGAGCCCAATATCCGGTGTCAGCGGGTACAAGCCGGGTTCGTAACAGTCCACCGCTTACCTCGTGATGACTATCGCAAGCGCGGTGTCCGAGTCACCAACAGGGGTGCCTGTGATGTGAGTCCGTAGGATCGATGGCGAGGTGAACGACGGAGGAACGAAGGATGGCCAGCACACCGCAGCTCGAGACCATCGCTGCCGCTCATCAAGATAAATTGCGGCTGTGTCGTCCACCGCACGATCACTCGAGCGCCGATTCTGTTAGCAGCCGCCTCCGCCAGTGTACATAACAGCTCGGATGGATAACTCGCGACTTCAAGAGAGCCTGCAGGTGCGCGGATATAGACGCCCTGGCGGTGTCGATGGTTGACTGCGCATAGGCGGAATGGTGCCCCCCTCTGGACACCAGCCTTCTCGCCGCATTGGTGGCCGAACTGGAAGCAGGGGCGAACGCCGAAGGTCGCCAACTATCCAAACCAGAACTCGACGCCCTGCGCCAAACACTATCTGCACTTGCCACTCAAGCAGAACAAGACACATTCATCGACGTCGAAAATGGCCTGAACGCCCTGCAACTGGGCGAGCCCGAATCGTCGAGCGCCACCGGAGACTCTACCACCAGCTCCCCTGACGACTCCGTAGAAACCCACTCTACTTCCGTCTCTTCCGATGCATCACCTCGCTCCTTTAGCTCGCCACTTGGATTCTTCCAGACGGCCTTCCCGAATCTGCCTACAGAGAAACTCATCGGGACGCTATACAGGTCAGGGGATTTAGACGACGCGGACATGATGTCAGTGTTGGAGGACCTGCTCAATCTCGAATACTTGCGGGAGTTGGAAGATCGTGGGATGGATGGGGCCGACGATGTCGCGTCGGGCATGCATTGTGAAGGCCTCCTCGACCTGGTTGAGGCGAAGAAGAAGCGGGCAGCACCTGGGCAATCGAGGAAGAAGCAAAACAAAGGGAAGACTATCACCCTCTATGATGTTCGCCAACAGCAGCACGTACGACAGAATACCGCATCTGCTTTCCGTGCAGCTCCCGATCCATGGCACCAGGTCGCATCCCTCTCTGCGCACCTAGCGTCTCTATTACCGCCTCATCCCGAATCATATTTCACGTCCGCATTCCACTCCCCCGAGCACAAGACTCCTGCCGCAGCCCTCAGGGCGGTCCTTAAAGCGATTGGCGGAGACCCAGACGAGAAGGAGCGGTCACATGAAGAAACGCCGATGCTATTCAACTTATTCGATCTTCTTCAGGAATCACCCGGGTTTTCTGACCTCAACTCAGAAGAACGCGCCCAAGTCATGTCGGATGCGCAACTTGCGCTCGGCGCCACAACCGGCAGACCCGATGAAGCGATTGACATCGTCTGGCTCCTCCGCGAGCTCGACACCGACGCTGACATGGCTATGGGTATCTACCATTCTCCGGTCCCTACCTCCCCGGTCCTCGAGTACAATCAACCACCGACACCTACGTCTTCCCATCATCGGCCGTCGACAATGCCCAGCGCGCTGCCGGATGTGGTGCCTCCAACCGCCAAACGCAAGTCCGCATCTTCGAATGGATGGCAGACGGTTCCGATACAGAACAAGTCTTCTGCTATGTACATGCATCCTTTGGCCGAGTCCATCCCTGCATACAACCCGTTCAATGGGGCACGCAAAGGCCGCATTAAGGGCAGCGGCAACGGTTTGGGAAAAGGTGGCAAGGGGGATGTGGGAGAGCTTCGAGAGGTACAGCGGGCCAAGGCACGGATGCGTGAGTTGCGGCAGGCGCGGGACAACGCGCTGAGAGATGCAACGAAAGCATGGGCTAGAGGACATAGGGGCTCAAGGGGCGGGGAAGTTGCCTTGTACTACGCGGAGCGGGTAAGTCAGTCTGCCGTTGCAATGGTGGGCCGTTTTCAATAACGCGCGTATTGCGATCCGCAGGCGAGAGAGCTTCAAGAACAGTCGAAGAAGGAGGCGTTGAAGGTTGCTCGTGCCATGGTAGACGCTAAGAGGCAAGTTTATCGACCTGGTCTGCAACGGCGCATCCCATGCTGATACAGTACGACGACCAGAACGGATGGAAAGGGAAGGGAAATAGATTTACATGGCACTACAGTGGCGGAAGCTACAGCTATAGTACGATCCATTCTCGCCGAAGAGGACTGTACAGCGAGTAAGCTTGGTATATCTGCAACAATACGCAGTCGCGCTTAAAACCTTACACAGCAAACCCGCTCAAGATCATCACCGGGAAAGGAAATCATTCTGAGAACCGTATCGGTGTCTTAGGGCCGAACGTCAAAGCTGCGCTTGAGCGTGACGGTTGGCACGTAGCGAAATGGGACGGAGGGTTGATGGTCAAGGGGAGAAAATGATCATGGTCTTGTTAGCACGATTTGTTCATCTCGATCGTTCAATCCACTGGAAGCTGTTCTATCATTGCGCATGTATTATCTGTCATGTATCGGTAGCAACATCTGTAGTCTTAGTTATAATCATAGACGTGTACTTGAATATCTGGTAGAGGGACGTAGGATCAGAGACGAGAACACCCTCCAAGCCGATTCAGAAAGCCTCTGCACATATCCCATGGGCACCTCCCCAGGAAGATACGAGGATGGGGAATCTAGCCAACGCTCGCAAGCCACAAACATCTCCCTATCAGGGAATATTTCCTCGATCTCGCACTTGAAACCCTCGGTTTCCAGGCGATACAGACGACTCAATTCCCTCCTCCTGCGCCCCTCTTCCGACACAACGCGGGCGGAAACGTCCAGCAACGAAAACACTGGCACTCGCATCATCTTCCGAAACATCTGCCCGATGGCATATTTCTCGTCGAGGAATAGTGCTTCACAGTCGGGTGAGGTAAGACGGACTTTGGACGTCGCAACGCAGACAGTTCGTCCCGCGCATACTAGGTGTACTTGCCTCTCCTGGGTGATAGGTGCTGCAGGAGATGCGGGTTCGTTCCGAGGTGAAGTTTCGGCATATATGCGCTCAATGCTGATAGGCCTAGCAAAGAATGCACTATTCGACGAGACTGATAGTGAGCGATGCCGGTGCACGTCTGAAATACAACGTATACATACCTTAAGAGGCGCTGTAAATCGCCCTGTGCGGCGAGCATGATACGTTCAATGCCCGTTATGTCGTCTGGCCACGAGAACTAGACAAGCTGAGCGGCAATTACCCTTGATGATTCGTGTGCTCACTTCAACTCGAGTTACACTGGGGTCGTATGAGTCAATTGCGGGCATTGTCGTGGTTAGCGACAGGAGCAGGTGTGATCGACAGCTTGGCGAATCCGGAGCCACCTGAAAAGGCTCATGAGCGGGTGGGCGCATTCAGCGGCGCGCCAGATAGAACATCATATATACTTCGCTGCTAAACCGCAACCGCAACGCACGAACCCCGAACAGCTTGAATGTGAGTTCCACCGTCGGGCATCATGCATCATGATCAGAGCAGTATCTAGGAACCCGTGGCGTCGAAGACTAAGAGTAGATCGGAATGGACCGCAAGCCATGATCGTGACAGGTAAGAGGTAGGCGATGTTGGTGGGGCACGAATTTGGGGAGGCGGGCGAAGTTTGACTCCGATCGCACAGAATGACTTGCTAGGTGAATATACGGCCAATCAAAGGGGCAATAGGGGGTGGTAGTATACATGAGATGACCGGATGATAGTCGCAAAGGAGAGAAGACAATGACTAGAGAAAGCAACAACAGCATACAGTAGATAGAAAGCACGGGCCATGGGTCCGATGAAGACGCAGATCAGCGGAGGAACGCTGGGAAAGGATATAACGTCGTGAGAATCAAAGACGGGTAACCGCCTTCGAATCGAGAGGCATGCCTACCAGAGGAGCCGTCAGTGCAGGTCGTTTGACGGCAGTGGGTTGCTTACCAGACGGATCGATGCCGTTCGCCGCCAAGATCTGGTTCTGGCGAATGAGCCTGGCTTGGTCGAAGCTACAAATACAGGCTTGCTCAGATTTCCGCGACAGTTATATGTCATTGTAGTGAGTACACACCCTACACGCTCTCGTCGCATGATCTCAAGGAGACGGATGAGCTGCGGTATCTAGGGATGGCCACGAGCGACATACCTCCAACACCTCCTGCGTCCCGCGCTCATCCAACCCAGCCCTTGAATCTCCATCCCGAATATTCGCCTCGATATCGAATGCCGCACTCGAGAGCCCAGCATTGGCCTGGGCCTCAAACGTGCTGAGAGGAGTATACTGTTGCAGGCGAGGGAAAAGGGCGTGCACTCTGGCCTGCAGGTGGCTGCGATACCTGAACGCGACTGCGGAGGTTGTTCTTCGTCAGCAGGGCCCGACGTTGCATACGCTGAGGGCGAGGGACGTACGCATGACCACCAGGGCGAAGAAAGCGAGAAGGGATGCGTGAACTATCATGGAGCGGGGCTTTATGGGCGATTAAGCGAGTTGCCACGAAGGTCAGAAGCAGGGTTTAGTCCGGCCGAATAAGGAAATCCCGTAACTTGTCCTTCAACTTCACCTCATGGAACACAGCCAGGGTGGACAGCATGCTACAACGTCCAAAAAACAGCCCACTGGCGGGATGTATCGCATGCAGACGCAGGCGTTTATAGAGGCAGGAGACGAAGTCGACATGGACGAAGACGTCCTAGAAGACCTTCTGAGCGGTTTCGAGGACGCATCGATCACCGATATGTCACAAACCCACGAGGAGCTTGAGCTTGTAGAAAAATCAGAGCCTGATGACCTGGATTTCTCTGAGTTCGACGCATACGCCGACGAAGGTAGGCGTCACACTGTTCCTCTGAAGCGTGATAATAAGACCTGCCTCTAGCGCAGAATTCATGGACCAAGCAAGAAACGCGACACATGATCCACCAGTTGAAGGAAAAGGGTAATCGGGGCATGCCGGGGCTGTTTATGCGCTCATACATCAGCACATAGGGATGAGTTGGTGGATAAAAGAGTATGTTCTGAAGCGGGCTATACCAATCCCCAAGTTGCTTTATGCCTTCGACATCGTCCTGGTCAGTGTTGCAACGCGACGTTGGAAACGCGTTCGACGGCATTGATATTTAGTTGACACACAACAGTGTCGGGAGCTTCGCGACAAGCGCCCAAAGACCCTCTTGTTCTTCCTCAAAGTGGCCTTGTCGAGGCAGTAGGCTGCATCACTTCCGCTCTGAGAACGGAAGTATGACAGTTTTGGTACAGACTAAGTCGACGGGACAAACTTCCTGCCTACAACACAGTTGATGATGCCGTCAACTTGCTGCGTAACTCCAAGCGAATTATCATTCTCACTGGTGCCGGGATCAGTGCGCACTGTATTCCCGTAATCGACCATACATCCTTGTGCTCACCGTGGGCGCAGGTGTATCTTGTGGGATCCCGGATTTTCGCTCGGAGAACGGACTTTACGCGATGCTGAAGCAGCGTGGCGAATACGACCTCGATGATCCTCAACAGATGTGATTGGCTCAAGTCAACCTGCTAAGGTTGAAGGTTGAATGCTGAAATGGCCTGCTATAGGTTTGATATCCACTATTTCCGGGAACAACCAGGAGGTACGGGTAACATCATGAGGAAATCGCCGTGCTTTTCTGTTAATGCACCATCCTTCCAGTCTTCTAGCGAGTTCTTCAGTCCCTACTAGTTCAAGCCAGCCCACTGATATCTCATCTAGCTCATTTGCTAGGTTACATATCGAGCCTCCAATCTTGATTGTTTATCTGACTATGGTCATCAGCCAGATATATCCCTCAAACTTCACGCCCTCGCCGTGTCACCATTTCATCAAGTTTATAGAAGACCGGGGACAGGTACACAGTACTCCATGTATATTCAGCCAATCAGTTGATAATCGCTTCCCGCAGCTTCTACGCGTAAGCTATCAACCTATCCTCTCACCGCGGCGTTGCTGTAAACAGGTGCACCCCAGAACTATACGCAAAACATCGACACCCTGGAAACTTTAGCAGGCGTGAAGAACGTCCTCCAGTGCCACGGTTCGTTCGCGAGTGCCTCATGCATCGAATGTCGTACCCGCGTGCCCGGTAAAGACATTGAAGACGACATCCTGCGCCAGCGCATCCCGCTGTGCAAAGTATGCCAGGCAAACGCAGCACAAGCAAGGGCCGCCGTGGCCGCCGCCAAGAAGCAAGAGCAGTCAAAGAAGAAGAGGAGGAAAAGCGGCAATCCGTGGGATGGAGACCACAGCGAGGATGAAGATGAGAAAGGGATCCCGAAGGTCGGGGTGATGAAGCCGGATATCACGTTCTTCGGAGGTGAGGCTCCACCAAAGTCTGTATAACCGAGGATCCTAATGGGTCTGCGACAATGGAGAGAAACTCGACGACAGATTCGACCGGTGTCTGGAAATGGATAGGGAGAAGGTCGATCTTCTGATTGTCATCGGGACCAGCCTGAAGGTTGCGCCTGTGGCGGATATGATCCTGCACATCCCGCATTCCGTTCCACAGGTGCGTGAACCCAACCTTCGCCCGGATGTCTGACGCCTGTAACATTTCTGACGTCTAAGCAATCGCAGATCCTGATCAACAAGACGCCCGTCAAACACATCAACCCTGACGTATGTCCAGCTGTGAACGCCGCATGCCATTGACGTCAACGATGTACACTAGATCGTACTCCTCGGTAATGCAGATGACGTGGTTGTTCATCTGTGCGAGAGACTTGGATGGGAGCTGCCTCGCGCGAAGACAAGACCAGAAGCGACACGTGAAGGTCTGCGAAAGAGGCCATCTGTGGAGACGGGAAAGCCCCCACCACAACCACCCCGAAGAGTTGGCAATAGGTTAGCCGCTGATCAATTGATTGCTTCATCTTGCTGCGTGGGTCTGATTACGGCTGCATTCTCAGCCATGTCTGGCTCTTTGAAGGCGCGGAAGGTGGTAATTGGCTCGAGACGCTGGAGATTGACTCAAGGGAACCGAGCGTCTTCGGTGATTCCCCGTTGTCCCAGGCTGACGAAGATGAAGAGCAGGTCGATTCCCATAACGACCGAGGTGCCAAGAGGGCAAGGGTTATTTAGCGTACAGCGATGTCTGGAGTGATCTAGCGGCGGAGGCGGAGACGAATTGCGTTTTTGGAGGCGCGGGAATGCGGGTCCAGGTAATCTTCATAAAACCCTGCAACAAATTCTTCCGCCTTGAATCCAAACCGATTGTAGAGCAGCTGTAGATGTACATCCAATATTAGGCTCGGTATCAACCTAGCGAGCAATGGGCAGGGCGCACCATAGCTGAATTGCTAGCGGAGACATGCAGGGTGATGTCACGTCCAGGAACGAGGGACGCGAGATGGTAAAGCATGTTGCTACACACGATAGAAGTGGTTGTCATCGCTTATAAACAGAGGTCTTGTGATGGCTACTTACGTCGCAATACGTGCGTTTTCCCAACCAGCTCGTACAGCGAGGTATGTTATGTACGTTTCAACAGGAGAACTGAGCAGAGCGACGCCAACCACCAGTGATTTGTAGGCGGCCACGATCGTGGAGCGCTCCGGAACGTAGGTAAGAGAGTCGCTGACTGAGCGGAGATCAGAATTGTGGAGCACTAATACACAGACCCAAGACATTGACCATCAATCCCAACCCAGAATGTACGCCTGAGGATGTCGTGGATCTGAGGGAGATGAGATGCCTGGAGAGTAACATAATGGATAGGGGCAATCGCCTCATATATGTGTTCACGTTGGGGGCTAAAGCACCTTGAGTTAGTTTTGGGCTTAGGGGCATAGATGGATAGGCTCACTGAGCTAATTTGTAATGTTCTCTGACATCGTCCATGAGCTCCATCCACGGACTGGATGCGTTCCAATCGATAGCTACGACCTGCGACTGGGCGGAACATGGGTCTGCTTGCACGCCGTGCAATCTAGAAAGGAAGGAGCTTCGAAAGGGTGTGGTGCGAACGCCGTTGAGCGCGTTGAGAATTTCGGGGTTGACTACTGGCGCAGAGACGGGCGGTGGAAGGGGAGATATAGTAAACGGTGCTACCAGCTTCGGTTTCGCCGGTATCTCATGTCTCCGCCGTTGCTGCGAAGTTTTTCGTCAATACAAGACGGAAGATGGGTGGCGGTCGCAAAGTACCTGCTCGGATCTGAGCTTTCGAACGATTAGGGAACGAATGGGTGGGACGGGAGCGACGCCTCCACTTGAGGCCGCAAAAGTCGCCCTCTCATAGCGGGTCAGAGGTCGTAACGCATGGCCCTAATATAGTGAGTTAGTATCTGCCCAAGAGCCCCTTCGACAGCCTACGTGCCTGCTCGTCGAGCTCGACTGCATCGTGAAGTACACGATTCCGTGCATGTAGATAATCGTACTGATATTGATCCGCGAAGTCATCGTATGGATAAAAGTCGTCCGCATCTTCGGTGGTATCGTCGATAGATCTGAGCAAAGGGACGAGGGATATGCCAGCGTCTTCGGGGACAGGTTGCACCTTCTTTCTCGTCCGCCTCCGTTTGCGCTGTTGGCAACTGTAAATATCGCGATCACAGGCGCCGTTGTTTTTGCGTACCGGCCGTGTGAGCGCGTATGTGTCGTCGCTGCTGCTGTCGGTGAACATGTCCTTATCCTCCGCCATGAGGACGTTCCTGTGGCTGTACACCCCGGAAGTTGCACTTTAGGAGGTCGTGCGGGCCGCCCGGTCGATCTTTTCCTGTGTCCATTGCCACTGCCTGTGCTGGTTATGTTTCCCCCCTTCTCGTTCCAGTTCAACCTGCCTGGCATACGAAACCCATTTACGCGTGCACCAGCAGCGACGAACTCGGCGCAATCTAGCAGCGCTTCACCCGGATCAGCTGCCCAGCCCCACGGCGCGTCAATTAACCCTCAATCGGCGCTCCGACCTCTCCATCCTAAACGCCCCCACCCAAGGGACCTTTCTCCCTCCCAGCCGACACGCAGAAAGCGTGGATGGTCCCCGTCGCTCGCCGAGCCAAGCAGCACTGTCTTGACCTCCTCCGGAGCCACTGGCTGGGTCGATTCACCGGCAAAGTACAGGGACATGGCTGCGAACAGGAACGATAACCATGAGGGAGAGCATATGTTGGGAGGTGAGTATCTTGGCCTACCGCCATTACTATCGCAGCGTGTATTCTGCATGCGCGTTTACGTGACTACTACATTACTGGAGCCACGCGCCGTACACGTGCTGCCGCAACAGTCCCTGTTATTAAAGCAGATGCCTTCGCATTCACTGCCCCTTATGCCTACGTTTCTCAAAATCCGCGATGTTCACATTTCGTTCCATGTAGACCTACCAGCCGCCAAGAAACGGAGGACGCTGGCTGGTTCCATCGTCTCCACTGCCATGAGCGCCGCCCTCATCGGCACCGCGGTTGGCCTTACTGTCTATCGTTTGTACGTATATAGTTTCATGGTGATAATGTCCACGCTGACCGTCCGAGACAGATGGAGAGATCGGGGCAAGGAACCCGAGGCTCTACCTCCGCCACCCTATCAGCAAGGGGACTGGATCCCTGCCGAGGCACCCCCGGAGCCGCCCACGACCACCGTCACTCCTCCGACGCCAAAACGCAAGCCCAAACAGGCTCTCACGGTTGGTCGACACGCGACCTCGAGCAGGCACCGTAAATCCCGCTCGAAGGTGCATGCTATGCCTTTCACCCCTCCGCGAAGCTCGTCTCCGTCCAAGACGCAGTTTCAAACGCGACATGAGATTGAGCCTGCACCTGCGGGAGAGGATCCCAGCGAACTCGAGGATCAGGTAAAGCATGCCGTCGTTATTCGCGTGATGATAGCTCACCAAGGATTTGTACCAGATGGATTGGATGGGTGGCAAACTCGCTCAGTTGATCGCTGAAGGCCAGAAAGCGCTGGGAAGAGAAGTTGTCGTTATGAGCGAGGCGCCGGAGGACGAGGTGGACGACGCTACGGGCGATTGGCAAGAGGAGGATAACGCGATGGTCACTGACACCCCGGGCCGTTCCACCGCCTCCTCTCGCCGCGGCTCCGTACGTCGGAGGCACGCTCCGTCGCTCTACTCCGGCACGCCGTCTCCCAGGAAAAGCCGGTTCGACGGCGTGGATGTCCCTCAGTCATCTCGGGAAAAGAGCGTCGAATTATTTTCCGCTGCCGCCAACCCCAACTCAAGTGCGAGCATGAGGGAGAACGAGCACGAATGGCAAAGCGCGGAGATGCGCGAATTCATGGAGCGCGCTCGGGCCGCTAAGGCTTCCAGGCGGTGACAATGCCTGCTCCTGGCGAGCGGAAGACGGGAACTGTTTGCACGAATAATCACGACCTCGCCCTTCATATCCTCTTACGAACACCCACACCCGTCGGACGCCTCGCGACACGGCTGTACTCCTCTCTATCTATGCACCTCGCACTCGGTATCTGATTTGCTTGCTTTTATTTTATTCCTTCCGACCATCAGACATACATCATACTCGCTATCAAATGCATTTTGTATTATTGTACACCAATTGATGGAATAGAGTGGTTGGCCATGCCAAACCATTGAGCTTGTTGATAGTACTTAGTGTTGACGTTGCACATCTGCGATCACACATTATTATTAGTCACGGGTACCGCTCCTTGATATACCTCCATTGCTGTCTACCTTCATTGTAAGGACCGCTTCTCAAGACCGTGGTGTGGTCCCCCGGATCTGCCTGTGCGCCCAACAACCTGCCATAGGGTCATAGATACATCCGCCTGAAGCACCGGCGTCAACTCTCGAGTCATGTCTACGATCTCGACGCAACTTCGCAACTTCAAGGAGCCCACGAAGGAGCAGCTTACCCAAATCTTCTTCTCCATACCACACAATGAGCTCGTTGATGGCACGAAAACGAGCGGAAACGGAGAGAATGCGGCTGGCGCGGCGGGGGAGGAGGCCATGGAAATCAGCGCTACACTCACAATGGAGCCGGAGGCAGATGAAGATTCATACGTGAGGTCTACAGACATCTAGCTGTCAGATACGTACGGCTCATCAGTGTCACAATAGGCTGGCAAATTACACTTGTTGCCTCCTTACCTCGCTTTCGCGAGTAACGATCGCAAGTCCGTGCGATTCACCATACCTCTCTCAACGATCAGGAAGGTTGAGAGGCTCAACGCGCGGGCGGGAATTTACGCGCTGAGTCTATCACTTTGGCATGGGATGAAGATCGTATGTTCTACCTCCCGCCTTGGAGCGCATGCGCTGACGCTCTACGTACATAGGTCGTGCAACTCACTGCGCTCCGACCCACTGCAGATCTATTCTGTGCTCTCCTCAAGGATTCTCTCAAAGCCGAGTTGCAGCGCGGCCGGATGAAAGCCGTCAAGGTGTTCGTCAAAACGTGTTACTCCGAAGCACTTCTGGCGAACTCTGCCTCCGTCGCGGAGAAGGAGCGCGAAGATGGCAGTTTGATAACTAGCGAGAGCTTAGAAGGGGTGGTAGACACACCCGAGACGTCATATCACGGCGGTTTAGGCCTTAAGTTTAGGTTCCCGGGAGACCCGAAGAAGTGAGTCCTGGTGTTAGATTAAGTCGATGTCGATCCTGACAACATAAGGTTGCGCGAAGCCTCTAAGATAAAGCTTTGGACCAACTACTTGCGAAGTACGTGCTTACTTCGTTTCCCAATAGTAATCGGCTAGGCTAAGCGCAACCATATCTCCAGCGCATGGACGCAATCTCACCCTCATGCGGTACCCCCAGTGCACTCGTCTTGTTCAGGTCGGCCTCCCAAATCGTCTCCGCGGTGAAATGTGGGAGACCCTTTCGGGCTCTATGTATCTTCGTTTCGCGCACCCCGGGGAATATCAGCGTATCCTGGAAGAGAACACCGGCCGCACAACAGCCAGCACTGATGATATCGAGAAAGATTTACATCGCAGCCTACCCGAGTATGCTGGGTATCAGAGTGAAGATGGTATCAACGCGCTTAGGAGGGTGCTGCAAGCGTACTCGTTCAAGAATACAGACGTAGGCTACTGTCAGGTGTGTGTTGGGACAGTGTATTGGCTGAAGCGTCTGTCTCACTCGGTGGTGGATAGGCCATGAACATACTTGCGGCTGCCATTCTGATATATATGTCGGAAGAGCAGACGTTTTGGTTATTAGACGTCCTCTGTAATCGCTTGCTGCCAGGCTACTACAGGTTAGCTGTAGACGCGGTCTTGAACGGGAAACTGACCGCTTATTCATGATAGCCCATCCATGCACGGAACGCTGTTGGACCAGCGCGTATTCGAGTCTCTTGTACATCGGTGCCTCCCCATGATCCATGATCATTTCCAGGCGGTGGATGTCCAACTTTCGATGGCGTCACTGCCGTGGTTCCTCAGCTTGTGAGTTACCCTATGATTCCACCGCCTCCACCAGGATTGAAGAGGTCTCAGGTTCATCAACAGCATGCCGATGGTCTTTGCATTCAGAATCATCGACTGTTTCTTTTGTATGGGTTCAAAGGTTCTATTCCAGGTCGGGTGAGCAAACTTCCTTCCTGTACTACTTCAATCAACTGATGAAGTCTGGTAGGTTAGGTTAGTGCATATCGGTCTCTTATGTGCTTTCCTTATACCCCGGCAGCAATTCTGAAGATCAACGGCGAGAAGCTCCTGCAAATACAGGATGACGGAGGCTTCATCAAGTACGTGTTGTACTTATGTCAAATACCTTATGCTGAAGATACGGGTGTTCCTTACAGTCTTATGCGAGATTACTTTGCCTCGTTAGGTGATTCCGCTCATCCCACCTCCTCCGACCCCCGTGCGAGAGCCATCACTCGCTTCCAAGAGCTGCTCTTGGTGTCCTTCCGGGAGTTTTCGCTCATCACAGACGATGAAATACTCAAGGAGCGCCGCAAGTTTAGAACGGATGTGATCAATTCCATCGAATCCTTTGCTAAGCGTGCAGCTGTCCGCAACCTGAAGACCATGGGCAGGTTTAAGAAAGAGGAAGTTGGGTTGATATATGACGCGCTGTATCGTGCCATGTGCATCATCCCGCCCCCGATCGCACCAAATCGACCTAGTCCGTCGCTCTTGACGTTGAACAACGGCGAGGAAGAACGACCGGAGACGCGCGTCGGATTGCGGACATTCCAATACTTCCTCAGCGAGATCGCGACTTGGGCGAGAGACGAAAAGATAGTTCTCAATGGTTTCCAAGTGTGTCTTATGGGTCCACATTTAAACATTGACTTAACATTAGTTCACAGCAAAGAGTTGATCGGGATGTGGCCGAGCACGAGTTCATCGACCGCTTGTTCTTTTTCTGGGATACTTCGTGTAAAGGCGCCCTCTCCTTTCAGGTGAGTACGCTTCAGACCTTCCGTCGACCCTGCGAACAAATGCACTGCAGGACCTTGTGTCAGGCCTCGATGGTGTCATGTTCAACGGCTTGATGGAGAATATCGAATGGTTCTTCAATTTACATGACAAGAACAAAGATGGCTATCTGACAAGAGACGAAGTTTTGACACTCTCTGAATCTCTGCTGGTGGGATTACATTCCAGCTAATCTACACGCATTCTGAAAAATATCCAGTTCATCTTCCGCTTCGAGGCGGGAGACGCTTACCTTGGTGCTGTAAGCCGGTGGGTGCAGAAAACAAATCTTCGAAGACGATTTCTCATCGGAATATCAGATTCATGTCCAATGTTTTCGAGTTCGGGGACGCTCTGCAACCCGAACCGCAAGGGGAGCCTGCGTCTGAAATGTCGTCGAATCAACCATATCTTAACCTCGCGACGTGGGTCTGCGTATGACTACTTCTAGATTACGAACTGATTTTTTCGGACAAGGTTCCGGATGGTTGTTTTGGCAGACGAAATCTTGGAGTCCTTCTTTGAAACCGACTTTTCGGCTTCCTTCAAGCTTGAATCCGTCCCATCGATGGAGCTACCCGACAGTAGTAATTACGGGTTCTTGGGCGGTCTCTGGTCAACGATAGCGTCTGACGATAACAAGAAGATATTCAACAAGTTCAGCGATGAGCTCGGCAAGACGATAGGCAAGCATCAGGTACTTGCAATACCTTCGTCCACATCAAGATCACATCTAAATCGTTTTGTAGGTCATACACAGGCCCTCCATAGGTCGCTACACAAGACTCGACGAACCGAAGGCGCGAGAGTCATTGCTAACGCCGTCCATGCGCCGATCTCCGTCGTCTGCATCGCTGAGGAGCACCGATCAAGCGACTACATCCCAGGCAGGATCGTCGCTGGTCACTTCTCCCTCACATCTCAACGTAGACACGAGTGCTACTCCAAGCTCTCCTTCCCTAGACGCGCAAACGATGCCCAACCCGATGCAGAAGGCCGCCGATGCCGCTAATGCCGTCCTGATGGAACGAACGCCGTTTGCCATCGACGAGGCAGGAGACGAAGACGACGATTTCTTTGGCGATGATGGTAGTGGAGGTAATGATGACGAGGTCATGGACGAGGTAAATGACCGACTGCCTGAATCTTGCCCAGAAATTCACTTCTAGCTCCAGGTCGACGCCTTCCTCGAAGCGCATGACTCGGGCCTCAGCGCAGCCGACCAAGCACTCAATAAAGGTCAAATACCCCCCTTCTATTCTCGCACATGCTCATTTCGGACGTGCTCGCAGATCTGCTCCACGCGGAACCCATCCGATAGACATTTTCTCGGCCTTCTGGGGATCCGTATGACTGACTGGACATGTACCAATAGCTCATCAATACAACAGACCCTGGAGGGTGTTGCTGACGTCGTAGCGTGTCATCAGGCCCGAATGATGAGGAGACAAGCATCATCATGACGTGAGTACTGGAGCTTTCCAATCGAATCATTGTTGCACGACTCGCCTGTGCTGGATATTGCTTATTTAGTGACTGCGGTTCCGGACCACAGTCCACAAGACATACAGACGTACGCTACTTCAGTCAGAACCTTGTGTTATGCATAATGCGGCAGGGGCACGTCTTCAACGATGGCATCGCAAACTTTCATTGTTCGGGCGACGTTCATATTGCGGTTGTACACCCCACCCGATACACGAACCTGACCCTGTCCACCCGCCGGCGATGAGCCCTCAGTCACGATACTCCAAGACGACAGAGTTCGCTCCTTTTTTATCAGTCTCTCTTGCGCCTGAAGCAGAGATCTCGCAGCAGCAACGATTCTGAAGTAGACACCGAATCCAGTATCGACGAGGAGGAGATCACGGACGAATTGGCGCCGCTTGCGAGAAAGCTCGACCCAAGTGCAGGGAATGCTTTCCCTTAGTCGTCTTCTTCATTCAGCTTCTCTTCTGTTTGTCAGGAAACCTCCACAGATGAAAGTTCTCTTTCTCGATGACTGGGCGAAGAAAGTTGGCGCCGAGCTAGAGGCAAGCCGTAGCAGCTACAAATCAATCGGGGATGCAGAACACATTACGAGAGGGCGCTTTATCGCCCGGGAAATCAGCAGAGGACGAACGGTAGCTGAAGGGCGGCAGTGTGCAAGGAGGAAGTGGAGTACCAGCAGCGACCGGACCGCGAACCCTACACCTCAGACGAGCGAGACGCGCATCGCCAAGTACGATGAACAAGGAGCCTCCTTCAATGGGCTTGAGTACGAGCTGACATATCCTTCTCCGGCTACCCACCGAACAAGGATGAAACGCAGAGCGGCCTTTGTGGACGAGGTCGCTCCGAACGATGAAGCAAAGAGGATCACAATCAATGCCATCCGAGCAGGACTGGCGGTATGAAGTAACCCAAGCACCCGTTCACATCTCAATGCGCACTAATGATCCCACTCTCGCGTTTGGATGCCATACCCTATGCATGAACTGCGCAACAAGCCAAACATTGGACTGATTAAATGCCCTCATTCACGATGGTAGAAACACGGAGCTTCGCCGCACCCACCGGCCGATTCTATCAGAGCGCCCACGCAAAAAAAAAAAAAAAAAAAGGAGACGCGAGGAAAGATTACATAGCACAGTACAATATCGATATAAGGAGTATAATGACCAGGCCAACAAATCAGATATTATGTCCTCTCGCCACGGAGACGACGAGCAAGGGCAAGATCCTTAGGCTGGATGGTAACGCGCTTGGCGTGGATCGCGGCAAGGTTGGTGTCCTCGAACAACGAAACGAGGTAAGCCTCGGCAGCTTCCTGCAGCGCCATGACCGCGGAGGACTGGAACCGCAGATCGGTCTGAAGACGAACGGTCGAGTCAGCATGAGTCACGACGACGCCCGAAGCCGCCGCTCACCTTGAAGTCCTGGGCGATCTCTCGGACAAGCCGTTGGAACGGAAGCTTGCGAATAAGCAGCTCCGTCGACTTCTGGTACCGACGGATCTCACGAAGAGCTACGGTACCAGGGCGGAAACGATGAGGCTTCTTCACACCACCCGTCGCAGTCGCGGCCGTCTTCCGCGCCGACTTGGCGGCGAGCTGCTTGCGGGGCGCCTTGCCTGAGGTGCAAAATCGTCGGCCTCCAGGGGGGTCAAGTCGTCATAAACGATTACTTACCACCGGTAGACTTGCGAGCGGTTTGCTTCGTGCGGGCCATTGCAGAGGTGTTAAGTGATAAGGTTGGGTATTCGGTAGCCCGGCGGGATAGTGTGGGTGGATACGAAGGCGTACCAAGCCATCTCGACCCCGGTGGCTTATATACGGTCCAAGGTGCTCGACGCGCACGTGACAAACGCGATCTTCTTCAATCAACGAAACCTTAACGCGAGCACAGCACGCACGCTTATATAGGCGGCGGTGTCTCTCGTGCTGGTGGAGATCATCTATCG